GTGAACTAATGAAATGTTTAATAAAAGTACAGCCAACAGTTAACATCTACTTAGCATTCACACGTCACGCAAATATCTCACACATCGCAGTTTCACTACAAGAGACATTCTAAGCACCATAATCACAACACACTTTATAGTCCCCATTTAAGAGAAACTAAGCAAAAATGAATGTGTGGAATTCTGAGCTGATTGTGACTATTGATTTATTAAAAATCATTACTCCTCTCTGTTAAAAACCACACACACGCTAATCCAACAACCATGTTCCCAGTAGAACCAATACATTGTCAGGATTGTTCTCCAAGGTGTGTCTCGAAATTGCAAAATTCATTTGACAAAACATTGTTCTTTATTCACTAAGGGCAATGCAAGATGAAATTCAGAGATTAGTATCAAATGTACAAAAACAGGAGTAATCCACTGTCTGCTAAAACAAAGTCCCAAAATGCTCAAATTTTATAAAAAGTCCCTATTAAATGATTGGGGCTGTCGAATGGCACCACCATGCACTCACACCATGGCGGTATTATTTCAGCTTTTATTAACTCTTCCTCTGCTGCCTGAGATGTGAAACAGGGGGTGTGGTATTTGCTAGTTGCAAATGAAATCAGCTATTTATCTTGCAGGCAGCACGGTGAGACTGTCCTAATATTTGCCTCAATGGAAAAGTTCCTCTGCCTCCTTAATGCCGACCTTCCTAGCCCACCTTGTCTCCCCTTGTCCATCCCCCAACCACCTTCTGTGCTGCCCATACTTCCTCCAACCTCCTTCTGCTCTTCCGTCGGGCAGGAGATGAGCGGGCTTTAGCGGCAAGATGTACTGTCACTCGGCTCATCTCACTGCTTTGGAACGAGCACAACGTGTGCATGCTGGGTGTGTGCTCACTACTTCTGATAGAGAAACACTGGATTCAAATCCTCCCTATCATAAGACGCTGATTGACGGGATGTGGGGCTTGCCTTCAATGCACCCATGGTCCTACAATAACTCTCTATAAGAAATATTTGATTGCACCTCTTGGTCACTAAAAGGGTGGTGCAGTGTGACATCAGAAAAGGCAGGGAAAGGTTCACAGAAAACCTCATCTGGCACGTGATTCAAATTAGGTTTCTATCTTATTTTACACTTTTTTACACCAAAAATATGGGGGGGGGGACACAGGGGACAAGTATATAAAATAACTTTTAGATAACTTTTTATTGATTTATTAAAAATCATTACTCCTCTCTGTTAAAAACCACACACACGCTAATCCAACAACCATGTTCCCAGTAGAACCAATACATTGTCAGGATTGTTCTCCAAGGTGTGTCTCGAAATTGCAAAATTCATTTGACAAAACATTGTTCTTTATTCACTAAGGGCAATGCAAGATGAAATTCAGAGATTAGCATCAAATGTACAAAAACAGGAGTAATCCACTGTCTGCTAAAACAAAGTCCCAAAATGCTCAAATTTTATAAAAAGTCCCTATTAAATGATTGGGGCTGTCGAATGGCACCACCATGCACTCACACCATGGCGGTATTATTTCAGCTTTTATTAACTCTTCCTCTGCTGCCTGAGATGTGAAACAGGGGGTGTGGTATTTGCTAGTTGCAAATGAAATCAGCTATTTATCTTGCAGGCAGCACGGTGAGACTGTCCTAATATTTGCCTCAATGGAAAAGTTCCTCTGCCTCCTTAATGCCGACCTTCCTAGCCCACCTTGTCTCCCCTTGTCCATCCCCCAACCACCTTCTGTGCTGCCCATACTTCCTCCAACCTCCTTCTGCTCTTCCGTCGGGCAGGAGATGAGCGGGCTTTAGCGGCAAGATGTACTGTCACTCGGCTCATCTCACTGCTTTGGAACGAGCACAACGCGTGCATGCTGGGTGTGTGCTCACTACTTCTGATAGAGAAACACTGGATTCAAATCCTCCCTATCATAAGACGCTGATTGACGGGATGTGGGGCTTGCCTTCAATGCACCCATGGTCCTACAATAACTCTCTATAAGAAATATTTGATTGCACCTCTTGGTCACTAAAAGGGTGGTGCAGTGTGACATCAGAAAAGGCAGGGAAAGGTTCACAGAAAACCTCATCTGGCACGTGATTCAAATTAGGTTTCTATCTTATTTTACACTTTTTTACACCAAAAATATGGGGGGGGGGACACAGGGGACAAGTATATAAAATAACTTTTAGAATCAAAATAAAAAAAGTTTTTAAAAGGGTTGAAGCAATCCTTTAAGAAATTACACATGACTTCAACCAGAGCTATTAATCATATATTTAATCTCATCTTGGAGTGGGATGCGATCGAATTCTCAACTAATGGATACAAATTCTGTGGCTTGCAAAAATAAAAAAAGTTTGTTCCGAAATTATTATTTTTTTAAAATAACGGTGATCTGTAAGTGATCCTTAGCATGTTCAGTTTGGAAGAATGCAGCGCACTCCAGGAAGAACATGACGGCTTAATGTAGTGTTTAAATAGCTGTCTAACGCCACCTCTCGTGACTGTCACTCAGGCAATCAGTCACTTGGACCGCCAGCAGGTTGGCTTCCTGGGTGCTCTGCACAGAGACTCCAAACGCTCCCCATAGAGTTATATTGAGCTTACCCAGCCCTGTGTGGGGATGCTGACTGTGTGGTGATTGCTGCGCATGCACACTAGGCCCATGGGGAAGCATTGGATTGGCTGCGATAATCAGAATTGACCATTTTAGCCGGCAAAGAGGGGCATGTGTGGTGAGACTGGCGTGTGGAGGGACTAGAAGTAAGTAGAAAGTATTTATTTAATTTAAGGTTGCCCAATAATCTAAATACTGGAGAAAAAACTTTAATTTTAATTTTAAGACTGTTTGTCATTCCTTTAAACCATTTAGCAGTGACAGTTTGTGATGTGACTAAAGAAGAACCCAGACAGTGAGTGAGAGCGATAACGTGCACCTGTCATAACCCTAAACACTTACAGGGTCATTTACTAACGTGAGAATTCAAAGTAAATTTCAAATTTAAAGCCATTATGATCTTATATTTCCAATTCACTTTGAATTCTCAGCAGTTCTAACTTTAGGAAATAACCCTGTTAGTATAGGCTATTAAATGTATAGATGTAATGTAAACATTATTAATATTATTATACTTTAATTATAAAGCACTAACACATTCACAGCGCTGTACAGTCAATATTTAGAATTTCTCGCTAGAATTACTGTTATGCCATTGGAAAATATGTTCTGAGGATTACTTTTTATCCTCAGATGGGCAGTCGTGTTTTAATAGCGCCCCTAACCAGCTGCGTGAGGGGTCTAACTTTTTCAGTTAACTATTGAAGGTATATTAATTTAAAAAGTTTATTCAAGCAATGTTTCAATACTATATAACACCTTTCATTATTACCCCCCTATGGACACACACATTACCAAGCCTTTTAAAGCTAACTAGCCCTGAGGCCTGATAGGCCTTGTGAAGCCAACTGGCTGCTAAACATTGGGTCCTGTTAGTCCACCTGAGAGCAGCATGGATTTTTCAAAATAAAATAAAATTAATTCTCAGCTGTGCCATAAAATAATATAAAAATAAAAACATAGAAAATGTGGAACATAAACAACACGCCCACTTTAAAGTAAGTATTTTGGGACACTTGTCTCTGGGAAACCCAGAATGTTACTGAAGACAGAATTCTCAGAGAATTTCCACTAAGTGCCAATTGTCCTGCGCCAATCCCCCAGCACATTGCTGGCATTTCACAACAAACTGCACATGTTCACGACCTTAATCCTTTCCAAATCTCAGCAGAGTTTATAGGAAGGGGCCGCCTATGAGACATTATAATTATAATTAAAAGGTATGTGACAATCTGAAGATAAAACCTACTTTAATGTGTTAAAACGAGTATAATGCATTAAAAAGGGGATGGTACCCTGAGACTTGTTTTCACCATAACCACTGCCATGAGCTGTAATAGACCCAATGTCTGATTTGTACATAATACTACTTCTAACATGACGACAGCTTGTGGCCTGGCCCATGGGAGAGAAACTGATATATTATAATAAGTGTAATTTATGTATATATATTGACATATATTTATTTGAAAGTATTGGACATGGTTTCTTACACTATTATTGTTCTAATAAATTCTGCGTTGTTTAGCGGACTGGGGGCGTCCATTTTAGTTATTCCCATTGGTGCATTTTATGGTCAGTGACCACAACTACATTGTTATTGGCTGTGTGCGTGCTGTATGTGTGTACATGCACATACACAGAGGTGAGACATTAAAAGAGTTTAGGTTCCAAGTGGGTGGCTGTTTAGTGAATAGACCCCTTTTTTCTCTCTGTCACCTGTAGCCAGTGACACAATGTATCATGTGAGATCTGACTCACTGGCTGACCTACAAGGAATTCACATTGTGACACTGAAGGCACTGGGTTTGTCACCTAATGATCTCTCTCCCCTGGGGACACTCTGTATTACTCTATGTATCACAGCATGTGGCTGGAGTGGCAGCTCTGGGAGAGAGATAACCGGTTCTGGCCAAGGAGTGGTTTTTAAGGTCGTTCCTGTCCACAAACAGCGTGATCTTCGTTTATGTGATCTCTGTTCATATTTACAAACAGAATCCGTGTTACAGGAATCCTATGTCACAAAGTAACACATTGATACAGATTGGCAACATTGTATCTGCTTGGATGACGTCCTGATTCCTCGGTCCACCTTAACAGCAACGTACGGAGGGTACAGCTTGTGGGAGAGTCCATTGTGTGAAAGAGGGGGAGTCTGGTGAGTTAAATAAATCAATTTACATCATAATTAGTGCTTCGCTAATTAAACAGTGAATTGTAATGGTAAAGTTAGTCACAATGTCTCATTTTATTAGAACTTCCAAGCTCTGACATTGGTGAAAACCCTGAAATAAGACAAAGTGTGAAAGCCACCCCCCCTGGGTTCCATCTATTTTTAGCATCAGCTGTTGCAATATAAAGAATGGTTAGAATAGAAAGTGAGCATTGCTTTGCAGAGGATCTCAGAGGAGGCTGGTACTTGGGGCACTGAGCCTGGCATCTGGGGTGCCCAGCCCCCCACCATGAAATGAGGGGAGCAGAGACAGGGACAGGGCAGCCAGCCTGGCCATAGATCTGGTGAGTACATGCTGTCCCCTGCCATCACTTAATGTCACCAACAAGCCTGGTAGCGCTGTACAACGTGAGGTGTCAGACTGTGGCCCCTCTCCCCATGCCCCCAACACCCACTTTGCCCCCCCCCCCAGATAGCAACAGATTGTGATATTGGATAGGGGGAGCCCTGGCTCCAATTCAACAATGACCTCATCCCAATTTACATTCTTAGTTAACCCTGTCATTGCCAGGGGAGGGAATAATCTCCCATCCTACATACAGGGTCTACACCCCCTCCTCCTCCAGAGCAGGAGAGAGCACATGGGTTAGGGTTACCCTGGCATTAAACCACCATGGTGTCTCAGCTGGGGATGTGGCCTGGGCAGATAGATTATCATCTAGATAGGGACTGTTATTGCTAAGGGGCTATTTACTAAGCAGTGCTGTATAACTGAATGGCAACATTCAGGACAAAATAACTGATTTGGAGGAAAAATCCCTAAGTCAGCTGTGCTAACTGCTTGAGTATTTTACTCTGCATTTTTTAATTTGGCCTTCAGATTACCATTATACACTGTATATGGATGAACATCTATTTGAGTAAAATTTAGCCAACCTTGATTAGGGACCTCTGATATGACATTACATTTGACAGAATATTTCTATGTTTTGTTTACCAATGATGATACAGCGCTGTGGCATATGTTGGAACTATTCAAGTAAAATAATTTCTGGATTGGATTCATATTTTCTGATATCCAAGTGAATATTTGCACTTGCACGTCCAATTTTCTTCCAAAATGATAGATATACGCAGCAGGCCTCATTGCTGTTCCATATCTTAGAGACTAACCAAATTTTGTTTTATTTAATAGTATTGTACATGTAATAATGTACATAATATTCCATATATGAGGTGCTGAGCTGGAAGGATGTAATGGAACATTTTGTGGTTTTGGGTGCTGGCATAGAGGGGTGTTTTAAAAAAAAACAAAACAAAAATATTCTGCAGGTCTAAATGCAGACAGATTACAGGAACATTCTAACATTCAAAATACATTTATCTATTTTAAAATCAGTTGTGTTCCTTTTTTAGTTTAGATTATATGCCTCTAATTGTTAAAATGGCTACAAAATGCAATTAAACATCGCTGTAATCTCAGGTCCAGTCAAATACTTCTATTAGAGGAGCATTGAGGGCACATGGCGCATGTGCAGATATCCATCAGTTTGCTACCTCTCATATGAGAAGCATTGGGCATGTTAGGCGTCATCGTGGCCTGAAACACGTGGGATGTATAGAAGCAGCGGCTCTAGTGACAGTTAGTCTGACAGTCATTAGAGGCTTGTTTTTGGCAAAATGTCAGCTTTATCATCTCTTTGAAATAGCAATAGCGTTATAAATAAAAAGGACAATATCTATTTTCCAAAATTACTCTGTCAAGATGAAGCGCCTATAAGTATACATCCAAAAAGTCTTCACAAATCTTAATGTCGAGCTGTTTGTGAAAAATGGCAATTATTGCATTTTGCCAAAAATGCACCTCTAGTAACAGACTGACAGCCACTAAGACTTCCCCCACTATGCTTCACATATAGCACTTGATTGGAATACAGCGATGACCATGCATGCGCAACAGGCCCTTAATGCTTCTCTGTGAGAAACCTCTGATTGGGCGTCTGTGAGGAGATGGTCCTAGCACTAAACTACAGCTAAACTTTATGGCTTTTATTAAAAAAAACATTTTGTTTTGTTTTGTTGTTAAGAGTGACCTTAACTCAAAACTTGCTAACACTCAAACTATAAATTTATGTTGAAGTGTTCGTTTGAAGTACAAATTATTGTATAAGAGTAAATTCCTTGCATTATTCAGCACACATTTTGCATTATTTATGTTGGGATTGTTTATATTTTACATTCTATCATTCTGTATTAGGTAAACACATTATGAAAAATAACCGCATTTTCTGCAGCATTGTACAATAAATGGAGTGTACACCAAATATTTGCGATAAGTTGGACATTCAAGAAGAGACATTAGTGATGACCTTGACCATACCAGCTTACTGTTTCAATGTTTTATTTGAATAGAATATAAACATAGCTGTATCAGTAAGTTTGTAAATTGCTTTCAAAAACCGTTTAGTTTATAGCAGCCCTGGCCCTTGGAATGCTGTGTGAGATCCCGTGGCACGAACTGTGTGTAACTGACTGTACAGCCTTAATTTAAAGGAATTGTTTAGAAATCCTGTATCTGTACTTTTATTGTTTCACATCACTGGTCTATACGCTCCGTCGTACCTCCCCAGCCTTCCTGTAGCCAATCACAACACGGGGTCTCTTCACTAGATGGTGAGTTGTGATGAACGGAAAACTGATTTGACATTTTTTTAACAAAATAGCACAATTGATATTAGTCTCCATTGGAGCTGAATGGAGGATTATTGCAAATTGATCCTTTTTCCCTAAATGTTAGGGGAAAAAAGTCACATCACTATTTGGTAAATAAACCCTAACGACTGCAACGCTTTCTCCATTGTTTACAACTTCCCAGGTGTCACATGTCGAACTGGTTAGTTATACCTTCCTCTCACTACAATTCGCATTACTCGCTTTCTGTACATCGAAGAGCTTCGTTAGCAGTATTCTGTATTAACAGGCAAGTCCCTTAACTAATCATCTACCTCACATAACATAACCTCATTGGACGATCTCATTTATAAGAAGATATCACACAACCCCACAAAGTGCACAGTTTACAAAATTGGCAGCTGGCTTTTAAACCCTTCAGGATCCAAGTCAGTCAAGTCAGAATTTTTCAGTCAAAAGCAACTGATGTCTCTGCTTGAACAAATGACTGTTGAGAATCAATTAAAGGGACACACCAAGCACCCTAACCACTGCTGTTTATTGTAGTGGTTGTGATGCAACTAAGCTGTGGGTGCGCCCCCCTGTGTTTTTATGAATGTTTACTAACAGGCGCGTTATGGGTAGCGGTGAATTGTCATTAACCCCTTGATCATTAATTGATCTTTTGGGATCTCGTACGATCACCTGGGCTGTGCAAGGTAAGTAATGAGTGCTCATTGTATTATTAAACTTAGAGTTACAGTTAGGGTTAGATGTAAAGGGGAACTTCTCTGAAAGTGACAGTTTATTCTTCCTCCAAGTGAAGCAATTTTAGCTTTTACCAGAGTGAGCATAGCCGTGTAGATAAGCTCTAACGCTCTTAATCTCTGCTGTAGTTCTACGGCAGGGGATGTAAATTAAAAACAATTAAACTAGTAAGCTTTTTTTTTAAATGAATAGCACAATCAGTGGCTCATTTTAAGTTAGATATTCAGTTCTGCAGATTTCTTCCTAGTGACTACAACTTCCCAATAAGTCTTCAATGAGATGAGAAGTTATGGGGGTTGGAGTGTTCCTTTAAATTTGGAAATTCATAACTGGGTCACAATTAGGGTTAGAGTAACCTCTAGGGTTCATTTTGATGTTGGGGTAGACTAAGATTTGGTCATACCTAATTTGCCCCTTCATTTAATGACCTTATTTCACTCACCTTGCAGGAGCGTGCCAAGCAACCCCTTCTGTGTAACTATAACATAACAACAGCAATACAACCCCTAACATTTCCAGTACCCTTCTATCCTAGGTAAATTAAGGTTCCGGTACTCTCCTGTCCTAGGAGAATAAAGGTTCGGGTACTCTCCTATATTGGGGGAATAAAGGTTCCGGTACTCTCCTATACTGGGGGAATAAAGATTTCGGTACTCTCCTATACTGTGGGAATAAAGGTTCCGGTACTCTCCTATACTGGAGGAATAAAGGTTCCGGTACTCTCCTATACTGGGGGAATAAAGGTTCCGGTACTCTCCTATACTGGGGGAATAAAGGTTCCGGTACTCTCCTATACTGGGGGAATAAAGGTTCCGGTACTCTCCTATACTGGGGGAATAAAGGTTCCAGTACTCTCCTATACTGGGGGAATAAAGGTTCCGGTACTCTCCTATACTGGGGGAATAAAGGTTCCGGTACTCTCCTATACTGGGGGAATAAAGGTTCCGGTACTCTCCTATACTGAAGGAATAAAGGTTCCGGTACCCTCCTATACTGGAGGAATAAAGGTTCCGGTACTCTCCTATACTGGGGGAATAAAGGTTCCGGTACTCTCCTATACTGGGGGAATAAAGGTTCCGGTACCCTCCTATACTGGAGGAATAAAGGTTCCGGTACTCTCCTATACTGGAGGAATAAAGGTTCCGGTACTCTCCTATACTGGGGGAATAAAGGTTCCGGTACTCTCCTATAAAGGTTCTATTCTATACTGGGGGAATAAAGGTTCCGGTACTCTCCTATACTGGGGGAATAAAGGTTCCTGTACTCTCCTATACTGGGGGAATAAAGGTTCCTGTACTCTCCTATACTGGGGGAATAAAGGTTCCGGTACTCTCCTATACTGGGGGAATTAAGGTTCCGGTACTCTCTTATACTGGGGGAATAAAGGATCTGGTACTCTCCTATACTGGGGGAATAAAGGATCCGATACTCTCCTATACTGGAGGAATAAAGGATCCGATACTCTCCTATACTGGGGGAATAAAGGTTCCGGTACTCTCCTATACTGGGGGAATAAAGGTTCTGGTACTCTCTTATACTGGGGGAATAAAGGTTCCAGTACTCTCCTATACTGGGGGAATAAAGGTTCCGGTGCTCTCCTATACTGGGGGAATAAAGGTTCCGGTACTCTCTTATACTGGGGGAATAAAGGTTCCAGTACTCTCCTATACTGGGGGAATAAAGGTTCCGGTGCTCTCCTATACTGGGGGAATAAAGGTTCCAGTACTCTCCTATACTGGGGGAATAAAGGTTCCGGTACTCTCTTATACTGGGGGAATAAAGGATCTGGTACTCACCTATACTGGGGGAATAAAGGTTCCAGTACTCTCCTGTCCTAGAGAATAAAGGTTCATGTGCTCTCCTATACTGGGGGAATAAAGGTTCCGGTACTCTTCTATACTGGAGGAATAAAGGTTCTGTTACTCTCCTGTCCTAGGGGAATAAAGGTTCCAGTACTCTCCTCTCCTAGGAGAATAAAGGTTCCCGTAGTCTTCTATATTGGGGGAATAAAGATTCCGGTACTCTCTTATACTGGGGGAATAAAGGATCTGGTACTCGCCTATACTGGAGTAATAAAGGTTCCAGTACTCTCCTATACTGGGGGAATAAAGATTCCGGTACTCTCCTATACTGGGGGAATAGAGGTTTCGGTACTCTCCTATACTGGGGGAATAAAGGTTCCAGTACTCTCCTCTCCTAGGAGAATAAAGGATCCGATACTCTCCTATACTGGGGGAATAAAGATTCCGGTACTCTCTTATACTGGGGGAATAAAGGATCTGGTACTCGCCTATACTGGGGGAATAAAGGATCTGGTACTCGCCTATACTGGGGGAATAAAGATTCCGGTACTCTCCTATACTGGGGGAATAAAGGTTCCGGTACTCTCCTGTCCTAGAGAATAAAGGTTCCGGTACTCTCCTATACTGGGGGAATAAAGGTTCCGGTACTCTCCTGTCCTAGAGAATAAAGGTTTCGGTACTCTCCTATACTGGAGGAATAAAGGTTTCCGGTACTCTCCTGTCCTAGGAGAATAAAGGTTCCCGTACTCTTCTATACTGGTGGAATAAAGATTCTGGCACTCTCCTATACTGGGGGAATAAAGATTCCGGTACTCTCCTGTCTTAGGGAAATAAATGTTCCACTACTGTCCCATACTGGGGGAATAAAGGTTCCGGTACTCTCCTATACTGTGGGAATAAAGGTTCCAGTACTCTCCTGTCTTAGAGAATAAAGGTTCCGGTACTCTCCTATACTGGGGGAATAAAGGTTCCGGTACTCTCCTATACTGGGGGAATAAAGGTTCCGGTACTCTCCTGTCTTAGAGAATAAAGGTTCCGGTACTCTCCTGTCTTAGAGAATAAAGGTTCCGGTACTCTCCTATACTGGGGGAATAAAGATTCCGGTACTCTCCTGTCTTAGGGAAATAAATGTTCCACTACTGTCCCATACTGGGGGAATAAAGGTTCCGGTACTCTCCTATACTGGGGGAATAAAGGTTCCAGTACTCTCCTGTCTTAGAGAATAAAGGTTCCGGTACTCTCCTATACTGGGGGAATAAAGGTTCCGGTACTCTCCTATACTGGGGGAATAAAGGTTCCGGTACTCTCCTGTCTTAGAGAATAAAGGTTCCGGTACTCTCCTGTCTTAGAGAATAAAGGTTCCGGTACTCTCCTATACTGGGGGAATAAAGGTTCCGGTACTCTCCTGTCCTAGGGGAATAAAGGTTCCCGTACTCTTCTATACTGGGGGAATAAAGATTCTGGTACTCGCCTATACTTGGGTAATAAAGGATCCAGTATTCTCCTATACTGGGGGAATTAAAATTGCAATGTGTTTTATAATCACCCCAATGGAAAATGCATCCCCTCTTTGAGCACACCTCTGGCACTGAATGGGTTAAACATGGTATGTTTAAGGATTTTACATATAAGGTTTAGAGTACAAATAAATTACACCAGTTTGTCCTGCATGGAGGCCATACTGTGCCATGTGCTAATCTGTGTCATTTTTATCAGCACGCAAGAGGTTAAAGCTTTTTCCCCCAAATATAAAGATTAGTTTAAATAGAAGCACAGATATTCATGCCAAAATGAGTTCCATTTAAAGGGAAATCACATCATAGAAGCTCCAAATGATAACGGCTGTGGCTTTATTCACCCACAATATCTGCTTTAAAGTGTTATCTTGCAGAATTCACATTATTATCAAACCATCACTGCTGAACTGTGGTGATACCTGCTAACTTTAGAGCGAGGTCCCCATGTTGAGGGCGGCCACAGATTTTTGGTGACCACTGTGAATTTAGAAAGAATCCCGTGTGTCGCGGGTTGAGAGATTCCTCCAGGAAGACCTCTTCCAGCTGATTCAGGTTCCCGCTAGTCAGTGGAGGGGGCAGGAGAATTGTGAGGAAACCTGTTACATCCTTCATTTTTACATTAAATCCTTTGAAGAAAAACTTAAGACCCCTCGCAGTGTTTTACCTTTGTATGATTTGACATGTTAAATTATACTCACCGCCCCCCACCCCCCCTCAACATCCCTTCTATCCAACTTGCCTTCAGAGGCTTTGGCCAGATTTACAAAATTAGTGACAAGTTGGCTTTTTTCCTTTGTTATTTTTACACTTTTTATAAATGCAAAAAAAAAGTATTGTTTAGGGACATCTTTTTTCCATAATGACATTAATTCCCCCAATACACACATACTTATAGCAATATAGAGGTAGTTCAGTAACAAGGCATTTATAGAAGAAAAACAATACGAATAAAAAACTTGTGTCTGGGTGACCGAGTTTGTAGCAAAGCAGATGTTTTAGATAATCTTGATGTTTCAACACGCTCCCACAAACCCATAAAATGACCGATTTCTGCTTTGTGTGTGTTGTTGTTTTTACCATTTTCTTTTGAAACCTTTTAGGTTCAATGACAAGTCTAGATTGCGATGATAGCAAATCATTTGCCTCACGCTGGTGCTGAAAGGGTTAAGGTGCACGTGACATAGAGAAATATTTTAATGGCGCTATGTCAGCGGGCTTTTAATGTCGGCACGTCTGCAATTTAACAAAATAATAATTTGGTAGATTCGCTTTTATGATTTGTTTGCACTTTGTTGGAAGTAAAAATGAATGGATTCCGCCCAGATTGAAACCTGCAGCTGTGTGGCTTGAACCATTCCTGTATATATATTTATTGGCCTAACCTCTGACTTTAGTACTGGTCCGGGTCTATTTTTCACCATGAATACATAGTGTTCTTTAATAATAAAAACATATTCACAATATCTACTTGTACTCTAAAATGGAGATATAAAACTGGCCCTGTATTGGTATGTGCGTGTGTTTTCTGCGTCAATCCTTCCGTAGTCCAGCTTTTCCGTGTTTGCTGTCGTCACTGTAAGTGTACAGAAACACGGTAGAGGTAGGTGCACCGCATGAGACAGGCCCGGTGTATACCACTGTCATGTTCTGTCTGGGAAGCACTATCTCCTGCCCCCGGATATAGAAAGGAATAGAACATACTAGGGTTATCGGTTACCCTAGGGGTTAAATAAATGTACAATAAATAATAACAGAATAGATTTAGGTTTGAATATGAACAAAAACAAAACCATTTAAAAACAATAGTCATAGAAGTCACAGTTCTTTCTTAAAAATACATTACAGACAGTAATGCGTGAGATTACGCACTTATTCACTAATAATCCTGTATATTTCTGTATATACGCCATGTTTACTAATTATCATGTATGTCGCTGTGTATACACCATGTTCACTAATTACCCTGTATATAGCTGTGTATACACAGTGTTCACTAATTATCCTGTATACGCCATGTTCACTAATTATCTTGTATACACCATGTTCACTAATTATCCTGTATATCGCTGTGCATATACACAAGTTCACTAATTATCCTGTATATCGCTGTGTATACACCATGTTCACTAATTACCCTGTATATAGCTGTGTATACACCATGTTCACTAATTATCCTGTATATCGCTGTGCATACACCCTGTTCACTAATTATCCTGTATATCTCTGTGCATACACCATGTTCACTAATTATCCTGTATATCTCTGTGCATACACCATGTTCACTAATTATCCTGTATATCGCTGTGCATATACACAAGTTCACTAATTATCCTGTATATCTCTGTGCATACACCATGTTCACTAATTATCCTGTATATCGCTGTGCATACACCATGTTCACTAATTATCCTGTATATCTCTGTGCATACACCATGTTCACTAATTATCCTGTATATCGCTGTGCATACACCATGTTCACTAATTATCCTGTATATCTCTGCGCATACACCATGTTCACTAATTATCCTGTATATCGCTGTGTATACACAAATGTTCACTAATTACCCTGTATATTGGTGTGTGTTTTTAGTAAATAACTCTAGCAATCAAGGTGTGTATTTATTCCAAATGACTCGAATCATTTTACTATATTAAGTAAAACGCCAGTATCCATGACCTGTGTTTTCCTAATTACCAGCTGTTCCTCTCAGACTAATTCATTGTTACTCCAAAGACAGAATATAGAACATATGCATTCACTGTGTTGTTATGGTGCCAGGGATTGAAATATAGACACCCTATAGGCATGTATGTTGGAAAGCCGTACATCAAGACTACAAAGCTCTAATAGACTGCAGTGTCATTACAGAAAAACAGCATCCAGTACAGCGCCTGGCACACTGCTGTACCCAGTGTAGAGACACAGTGCTGCAGTATGCTCTGTGCTGTGGGTTAGCCACCTTTATTCTAACATCCCCTAATTATTGTTTCCTATTGTACAGCGCTACACAATATGTTGGTGGTTTATAAATTATTGTAATAATCACAGAGAACAAAAAAAATGTCTCTAAATAGAAGATCAGGTTTATTTCAGTGGACAATGAGTAAGAGTATTAACAAGTAATTTGTCAGAAACATAGAAACATAGAATGTGACGGCAGATAAGAACCATTCGGCCCATCTAGTCTGCCCAATTTTCTAAATACCTTCATTAGTCCCTGGCCTTATCTTATAGTTAGGATAGCCTTATGCCTATCCCACGCATGCTTAAACTCCTTTACTGTGTTAACCTCTACCACTTCAGCTGGAAGGCTATTCCATGCATCCACTACCCTCTCAGTAAAGTAATACTTCCTGATATTATTTTTAAACCTTTGCCCCTCTAATTTAAGACTATGTCCTCTTGTTGTGGTAGTTTTTCTTCTTTTAAATATAGTCTCCTCCTTTACTGTGTTGATTTACTCACCACAGCGCTGTTTGCTGACAGAACAAAACATCAGTCTCTCTAGAACTTTTTAATTCAATGTAGAATGTCCTATTGGGCATTGCTCATTAGGTGCCCCCTAAAATGCAGGATCATAGTGTTAAACTTATCTGAAACCTAGCACCATACAAAGCTCCCGGCGTTCCTCTCTACGCCTCGTTCTGATGTCACTGACTCCCTCATACGGTCCAATCAAATGCTTCTCAAAGAGAGTAATACCAAATATCCCTGTATGTGCTGTGTTTTAAGCAGAGGTACCGCACATACAGATTACTACCACCATGACCACTTTTAAAAGCAGAAGTGGTCTTGGGGGTTAGAATAACCGTTTTAGCCGACATTAATAATACATGATTTAAAGGAAACGCTACAGTGTTAGGTATACAATATACAAACCTGTATTTCTAATGCGGCAGTGATGGAGTAAATGTTTAGGTTACCGACTACCTTAGAATAGAGTTAAAAGGTATTTAAACTTACCTTTTCTCCATCGCCGTGCTGATCTCGCCACGGCTGGCTCCGCCTCCATGGTTGACCTTGTCAATGTTCTAGAAAAGCGTTGGGAGCCTATTGCAGCAATACACCATACTGTGCCAGTCAGCATCTCCTCATAGCGATGTTTTGATCAATGCATCTCTATGGGAAACATTCAGTGTCTCCATGCACAGTGTGGAGACGCTGAATGTAGGTGCTGTACACTGCGCAGGACTGGACTAGGAAGCACTTCTAGTGGCCGTCTGAGTGACTGCACCTAGAGGTGTTAGGCAGAAAAATAAAAACTGCAATGTTTACATTGGTGGGTCTGCAGGGACAGGCTGTAGACACCAGAACCACTACATTAAAGGGACCCTCTGGGCAACCAGACTACTTTTTGACATTAACGTGGTCCCTTTTGCCCTTAGTCCTGCAATGTAAGTTTTAGAGTAACCGCAATGACAGCAGTAAGACAGTCGCTAGTGGCTGTGTACCAGACTCTGCATAGAGGACATCCAGTGTGAAGGTAACTATATAGTGTTAGGTATACCACTTTGTACATCTAACACTATAGGCTAACCTTTAAGCTGTAGTGTTTTCTGAGCTTTTTCTGTTTTTTTATTTATTAGGATTGATGTTTGGGACCATATTTAACAAATTCTTTTGGGCTATTACACATTTCATTCATTATTAGTGGAATATTCTGTAAGCGGATTCCTGGTTAAAGGACGTTACAGCAATCGTTGTACCATAACTGTGAATTAGAAAGCATGTATTCCATACTTTAAGTGCAGTTTTAGACATGGCTGATGGCCTAAAGCACATTCATAGAAAGTGGTATCAGATCTCTTTTATCTTGTGTAAACAGGAACTTTATGATATTTTAATTTACTGGAACTGTATTGCGTCGTGTGCTATATTTGATTGCATGTTACTGAATTACAGTATGAGCGGTAACTGTGAATTGCAGTGTGAATGGTAACCTATGAATTACAATAGGATGGGTAACTGTGAATTACAGTATGAATGGAAACTGTGAATTACTGTATGATGGGAAACTGTGAATTACAGTATGAAGGGGCACTGTGAATTACAGTATGAGTGGTAACTGTGAATTACAATATGAAGGGGCACTGTGAATTACATTATGAACGGTAACTGTGAATTACAGTATGAAGGGGCACTGTGAATTACAGTATGTTTGGTAACTGTGAATTACAGTATGAAGGGTAACTGTGAATTACAGTATGATGGGAAACTGTGAATTATGTGAATTACAATATGATGGGAAACTGTGAATTACAGTATGTTTGGTAACTGTGAATTACATTATGAACGGTAACTGTGAATTACAGTATGATGGGAAACTGTGAATTATATGAATTACAGTATGATTGGAAACTGTGAATTACAGTATGAACGTTAACTGTTAACTGTATGATGGGCAAACTATTAGTCCCCGAAAAGCCTTCTGTTAGTTTTAAATAAAATCTCCAAAACCTGTGTAGATCACCACTTTCCTACTGAGAGATGGGACTCACAGGGGGGACCTGAGTCCAGTATATAGAATGGATAGATTCTGATAAACATTGTGCCCTGAGAGCAGCTCAATCACATGGAAATTCCAGCTCTTAAAGAACTCCAGAAAAGCTTAGTCCTGGCTGTGCCGTGAGATTTAGGATAGGGATTTTTAAGATTTAATAAAGATGTCTTTTTATGCACATGTTGTATATATCCTGCTTATTCATCCTATATCCAGCAGATTTTATTTTTCTCTGCATATGAGAGCAAAAAAGTATTGTCACTGATAAATAGTGCTTAAAATAAATCCGCTACCATGTGTGTATATATAGAGCGAGATTCTTTATTTATGATTTATGACATTGTTTTAGATTTATATATCCTTAGTAAATATACTGCATATATAGAGCGAGATTCTTTATTTATGATTTATCACATTGTTTTAGATTTATATATCCTTAGTAAATATACTGCATATATAGAGCGAGATTCTTTATTTATGATTTATCACATTGTTTTAGATTTATATATCCTTAGTAAATATACTGCATATATAGAGCGAGATTCTTTATTTATGAGATTGTTTTAGATTTCTATATACTGTATATATAGAGTGAGATTCTTTATATATTTTTATAAATACTTTGTATTTTTGCAGTATCTGTAATCGGGTGTTGAGCTCTTTAAATCCCACCTTATTGCTCAGCGACATCAGTGGTTATAGTAGCTCTCGATTCACACATCCCTGTTCAGTTCAGAGAGTTCATAAGTGAATGAATGGCGTTAGAGGTCACTCTCCTGACACAATCTTCACTTTCTATAGTTTAACAAAACGGAAACAAGCTGACAGCATCACAATCTTCTCCAGATGTACGAAAAAAACACAAATCCCGATTAACATCTGCAAAGAACCAGAAAGTGGCTGAGACCAGACAATGATTTTAAATGGCAGCAGTACAGCGGCAATGATAATGGCGACTTCCATTCTATAGATGTAGAAAGACAAGTTCCCAGAATGCCTTGCTCAGCGCCTTGAAATGTTTGCAAGTCACACTAGTCGTAGCATAGAGTTACAGGGATTGCAAATTAAAAAACTATTGCACAAAAAGTACCGTAGTTACCATGGCAACAATGGAATAATCTCGCTGATTGTGCCCTTTTTTCCCCAATTTCTCTTTAAAAATAAGTGCAGTGTCTAAGTGATGGAGACACAGATATCCGAGGAAGCTCTTTCTGTCTGTCACCCTCGGAGCTGTACAGACACATTCAGCGCTCGCTGTGCGGTTTGGCAGTGAATTGGTTAATGTTCTGCATTTCAGCACAGACAGTAATTAGCACAATTCTCTGCTGTCCATGCGAACATCCAGCAATCTGAGACGTAATTAACACCCCGGCTGCTTGTTATACAGCTCTGGAGCAATGTTCCTGTCTGTGCCGTGTTAGAGAGAGATCTTAAGGCTATACTGGCAGTCTGTCTGTCCGTCTGTCAGGATGATGTGTAAAAGACTGGGATGGGATCTAGTTCAGTCATGTAATTGGTACTAAAGGGGATCTATGTGATTGGGTGATAATAGGGCAAGGGGGGGGGGGGCGGTGTCCCAACCAAACCACTGTACATGATGTTAGGATAAAAATATAGGTTGTGCGCATCACACCCACCACAAGAAAATAAGGAACTGCAAACAACTGTGTTATTTATTTTCACATTCCTGGGCCACCAGGCCATTATGTCCCTTGGCAACCAGTCCATTGGCCATCAGTCAGTGACCTCACTAGGCCTCTGCTCCTTCACTTAACTGGGTCTCTATCCCGGGGACACCAGCTCGGTATATCCCGGGGACACCAACTCAGTATATCCCTGGGCCACCAACTCAGTATATCCCTGTCAGTATATCCCTGTGCCACCAGCTCGGTATATCCCTGGGCCACCAACTCAGTATATCACTGGGCCACCAACTCAGTAAATCCCTGGGCCACCAGCTCAGTAAATCCTTGGGCCACCAACTCGGTATATCACTGGGCCACCAGCTTGGTATATGCCTGGGCCACCAGCTCAGTATATCCCTGGGCCACCAGCTCGGTATATCCCTGGGCCACCAACTCGGTATATCCCTGGGCCACGAACTCAGTATATCCCTGGGCCAGTAATTCATCAAATGACTAAGACTATAATGGGACTAATAATACCTGATACAATATCATCATCTTGTTATTTTGTATGCTTTACTTTATATACCAATGCCTTGCCTCGAACCTTGTTATGCCAAGTGCATTGTCACCACACAGTTAGAGATGTAACGCAGGAAATAAAGAGAGAATAGTTATGAACATCTGTATGTACGGCCTCCTTTGTTATGACCTATGTTGTTTCTGGATTGATGTTTCTTGTGACCAGGCCACCGGCGACATTGTAGTATAGGAGTCGTGGATCTGTGCACAGTAGCCTTGGCAGTAATGGCTGGCACACAGCGGGCGGTTAAACATTGAGGGAACAGAGACAGAGGCAGCTGTGTACCAGCATGATGGGGGTGTCAGACTATTTGTCAGGACAGAATATAATAGATGGGGGGTAACAGCATGCATCCTCTGCCACTGCTCGTCAGTGTGTGGGATTATATGTGCTTTTAGTATAGATGGTAATTGGGAGAAAGCGCTCCTACATGTTTACAATGTAGCGAAGATAAAACCGTGCGCTGTGGGGTGTGTCCGGGGGTGGCGCAATATGACTTACATTTATGTCTGCTATAGTGTGTGACACATGAAATCTCCACAATTTTCAGATGGTTCTGTAAAATAACTAACAGGACGTATTAAAGAAATAGAGGATCAAACTACACAGTAGTGTAGGAAATATACACCAAATATAATTTTTAACTGTTTGCCCAAATCTGTACTGTTTACACAATAAAAGATTGTGGGTTGGAGGTTCCTCTGGACCCTTCTTTAATTCACTATGAAGATGGCAAGTCAAAAATATTAGAACAATATTAATATTATATTACTCTGAATGGGATCTCTGATTACCTTGTATAACTTCTTGGTTTATAATCATGTTCTATTAATTCCCGCCCAGCAGGGGTTTATGATCACATTCTATTATTTCCCGCCCAGCAGGGGTTTATGATCACGTTCTATTAATTCCCGCCCAGCAGGGCTTTATGATCACATTCTATTAATTCCCGTCCAGCAGGGGTTTATGATCACATTCTATTAATTCCCGCCCAGCAGGGGTTTATGATCACGTTCTATTAATTCCCGCCCAGCAGGAGTTTATGATCACGTTCTATTCCCCGCCCAGCAGGGGTTTATGATCACGTTCTATTAATGCCCGTCCAGCAGGGGTTTATGATCAGGTTCTATGAATTCCCGCCCAGCCAGGGTTTATGATCAGGTTCTATTAATTCCCGCCCAGCAGGGGGTTTATGATCACGTTCTATTAATGTCCATCCAGCAGGGGTTTATGATCACGTTCTATTAATGTCCGTCCAGCAGGGGTTTATGATCACGTTCTATTAATTCCCGCCCAGCAGGAGTTTATGATCACGTTCTATTAATCCCTGCCCAGCAGGGGTTTATGATCAGGTTCTATTAATTCCCGCCCAGCAGGGGTTTATGATCAGGTTCTATGAATTCCCGCCCAGCAGAGGTTTATAATCACGTTCTATTAATGTCCGTCCAGCAGGGGTTTATGATCAGGTTCTATGAATTCCCGCCCAGCAGGGGTTTATGATCACGTTCTATTAATGTCCGTCCAGCAGGGGTTTATGATCACGTTCTATTAATTCCCGCCCAGCAGGGGTTTATGATCAGGTTCTATTAATTCCCGCCCAGCAGGGGTTTATGATCAGGTTCTATTAATCCCTACCCAGCAGCGGTTTATGATTAGGTTCTGTCATTTCCCGCCCAGCAGGAGTTTATGATCACGTTCTATTCCCACCCAGATGGGGTTTATGATCACGTTCTATTAATTCCCGCCCAGCAGGGGTTTATGATCATGTTCTATTAATTCCCGCCCAGCAGGGGTTTATGATCACATTCTATTAATTCCCGCCCAGCAGGGGTTTATGATCACGTTCTATTAATACCCACCCAGCAGGGGTTTATGGTCAGGTTCTATTGATTCCCGCCCAGCAGGGGTTTATGGTCACGTTCTATTGATTCCCACCCAGCAGGGGTTTATGATCACGTTCTATTAATTCCCGTCCAGCAGGGGATTATGGTCACGTTCTATTGATTCCCGCCCAGCAGGGGTTTATGATCATGTTCTATTAATTCCCGCCCAGCAGGGTTTATGATCACATTCTATAATTCCCGCCCAGCAGGGTTTATGATCACATTCTATAATTCCCACCCAGCCAGGGTTTATGATCACCTTCTATTAATTCCTGCCCAGCAGGGGTTTATGATCACGTTCTATTAATACCCGCCCAGCAGGGGTTTATGATCACGTTCTATTAATACCCACCCAGCAGGGGTTTATGGTCACGTTCTATTGATTCCCGCCCAGCAGGGGTTTATGGTCACGTTCTATTGATTCCCACCCAGCAGGGGTTTATGATCACGTTCAATGAATTCCCACCCAGCAGAGGTTTATGATCACGTTCTATTAATTCCCTCCCAGCAGGGTTTATGATCACGTTCTATTAATTTCCGCCCAGCAGGGTTTATGATCACGTTCTATTAATTCCCGCCCAGCAGGGTTTATGATCACATTCTATTAATTCCCGCCCAGCAGGGTTTATGATCACGTTCTATTAATTCCCGTCCAGCAGGGGTTTATGATCACGTTCTATTAATTCCCGCCCAGCAGGGGTTTATGATCAGGTTCTATTAATTCCCGCCCAGCAGGGGTTTATGATCAGGTTCTATTAATTCCCGCCCAGCAGGGTTTATGATCACGTTCTATTAATTCCCGCCCAGCAGGGTTTATGATCACGTTCTATTAATTCCCGCCCAGCAGGGTTTATGATCACGTTCTATTAATTCCCGTCCAGCAGGGGTTTATGATCACATTCTATTAATTCCCGCCCAGCTAAGGTTTATGGAATCAAAGCCATTGTGCACGCCCCTGGACCATGCGTCTAGAGGAGCTGATATTAAAACTGATCAGTTTACACTCCTGATAATGTAGAAATGGTGATATTTGTTTTATGGTGTCCTGTAACGTGGTTCATGTGAGCACTTTATCGTTTCATTAAAAAAATATATATATATATCCCCTCTCCTCCCCTGTATTTCTTAAGTAATAGATCGGAAGTGAATTGCCCTATTTGCTTGTAAGAGCAGTGAGCACAGGTGGTGGGGCTCAGGGGAGGACCGGGAAAGCAGAAATTAAAACCACACGCTGATTGGTTACTTTAGGAAACAGCAGAAAGATTTGCAACTTTCCTGGACGTGAACAGCTTTCTAAATGGAAAATTTAAAATATCTTTCACTCTATTCATTGCTCATACTGGTGGCACAGATCAAGGGGTCCCATTATCTAATGGTAACAGCCAATCCCATTCTAGCTTTCGATAAGCAATTCTTCTAATGTTGGTCTATTTGTTAACACTCGCTGTTGTTTAAGGAGCACATGGTTTATTTAAGGGGATTTGTCAAGTTGTGTTTGTTTTTTACGTCATGATATTTTCTCCTTTTTTCGTCTTCGTGTTTTAGAGTTTAAGCTGTGTACGTGTCGGGACAGCACTGCCACCAGTAAGAGAACCCATAATGCAAAATGATCTACATTTAAAAAAAAAAAATTACTTTGAAAGGTTGCACAATGGAAAGGAAAGATGCATTTAGACAGAATTGAAGAATTTCTAATATGTGCAGCTAAAACCAAATTCTAACTCCATTTTCACAACAATAAACTGAAATTGGCCTTTTAAAGGGGAGCTTCCAACTGAGAATAATTTCTCTATATGTCGAACTTGTAACATTATACATTTAAATGTCTCGCCCTGCGAATCTGAAGATTTATTTAGTACATTATTCACACCTCTACGACCGTGTAAACCTCAGTGATCGTATCATGTAAGAACTTCCTTTAATGTAAATGTTAACAGAACAAACGCTGTATGCCCACGCTCACACCCAGCAGACAAACTAACAAACATTAAATGACAATCACCGATAATCACCACTAATAAGGCGTATTATCGCTTGATCTGGTAAGGCTGACCCAGTACTGAAATGGTGAAACTGGTGATTTTACTTGTTTACAAACTTTTATTTAATTCTCTTTTCTTTATTCTCTTTTGAGCTTCCTCTTTGTGGTTTGAGCTGTTATTCTTCTCAGTTTCCCTAAATCTGTCTTTAACCTCCCCTCTGTATCTCGGCATGCTTGGTCATTATAAAATGGAATTGGTATCTGGCCTAGTAACATCCCGTAAAACGTGGACGTGGCGGCTGCTGCATGGCGGATGCCAGATTCCTCGGCTGGAGAATACACAGTCCGGTTACTAGTAATAATTCTGTATTATTATTCTGGATCAATGTTATAACCTCTTGACATTGGATGACGGCCCGAGATGTGGGTTGTGAGCGATGCTGGTGGCATTTGTGTAACTGGAGGTAAGGCATCCAGGGCCGTTTGCAGTATGCGTTATCTTGCAGCCATTGTGCTCAGCCAGACTTGCGCAGAGTGATGTAAAAACAACCGCGGGCATGCATGACCGCCACAAACATTTGATGTTAAGTGTCTTGTTCTGAACGATGTCAGGACAAAAACCTGGGACAGTGTGACTCGACGACATTAGCAGCTATGGCATCCCCTCTAGATTGTAAGCTCTCTTTTTGTTTCTTAATATTTATCCCTGTTGGTATAATTACCAGTGTTATGTTTGCATAAATTGTAAGACGCTTTGGATAAGAGTACTATATAAGAACTTTTTAAATAAATAAAATGTTTATTATACTGTGGCTCGGTATAAAGGCACCAGGCTGGATGTGTACAAATCAGCAGGAACATTACAACATCAATCCCTTTACATATCGTATAATTATTAACCCACTGTATCCACACCTTTACCCCAATGCAGACAGTAATGCTTGTTTTGGGACTGAAATGGAAAGGCTTAGTCCAACCACTGTGCCCACTTCTGCTTTTTGAAGTGGTAGTGGTGGTAGGAGGCCAGGATGTGCAGTGTTTCAGCTAGATTTTTGGTTTGATTATACTGACACCAGTCCATGAATAAGTGTTGCCTTCAGCATGTAAATATCCCCAAAACATTGCATGAAAAGTGCTGGCCATGAAATTTGGTGATATGCCTTTAACCCCTTAAGGACACATGACATGTGTGACATGTCATGACTCCCTTTTATTCCAGAAGTTTGGTCCTTAAGGGGTTAAACGTTTTCACATTGTGAGTGCACTCATGGTAGCAGTTTGAATCTCTATTCAGATATATTGCTCTACGGTATGTTCCGCTGTTGTTTTTTTAGTATCTCCCCTGTTGTACAATATGATATTACGCCTGTATTACATATGAAGAAAGCTTGCTGTTATTAAAGGGAAACTAAAAACAGGAAAATGAACAATGTTGCATCATTTTATATTTCAGAATACAAGTCCTCCAATTGCTATTATGAAATCCCCTGGTTAGGATGTTGCATTGAATTGCTGGTGTTAGGACACACTTATCTCCCCAGCCAAGCAATGAGGCTGCAGGCGTTAACCCCTGCGCATGTTCTCTATAACTAGCTGGGGACAAATGTAAAATCCTGTTATATAGTGAATGCAATGACTGCAATGCATCTGACCATAAAGAAATTCACATAAAGGTGCAGATTCACTAAACTGAGAAACTAAGATTACAAGAGATTTGAAATTCTAGGAACATTAATAAAATAAGAGAAATTCAGCAATTTAGCTGTTTCTTAATTTTTCCCAATTACATGTCCAATCAATAGACCCCATTGTGGTGTGGGAGCCGTGGGGATAACGCTTCACTTAAATGACACGTTATGGGAAGAGCCATACGACACAGCACACAGCAAACAAACACACAAATCACCTTACCCTTTCTAGTGCGGGATGTTTGCTCAGTGTGTTTGGAATTAATATAATAATTAATTTTTTTATGAAATGCCTCAGTTCTGATATACAGAGCATTAAACGACCCAGGAAAGCATGGTTCTGTTGTTTGATGGAGAATGGTGTTTTTCAATGTTATTTGAGGGGTAGTGTCATGTTTAAACATCCTGGGAGGTGACTTTCCCATGCCCACAATGCCAGTTTTTCTTTGTGGGGGGGCTTTGTGTATGGAATCAGACAATTTAGACATCACACGTTGCCACAGATACGAGAGACACTTCTCCGAAAATGCATAATGTGAGATTTGCTACAATTCCCCATGGAATCCATCCAGGCCTTTCTGTTCAGGCAGCTTAACGCCTTAACCCCATAGATACCAAGTGGCTTCAACGGAGAGCGGAGAGAGGTTTTACCAAAGAAAGGGCGGCGTACATTCACATGTATTATGCATCAGTCTTTGTGAATACTTTCCTACAGTGTCAGCAATGTTTTTACAGAAAAAAACTGCAATAATTCTGGGTTAAAATGGTAAATGTGAAACGGTCACCAGAAATTTAGCATTTTGTCTCAGACTTGCCTTGATAAGTATGGCAGTTTTTTGGGGTTTATTCGGTGCACACCACAAGACCATATTTACCCTCCATGCTGCTCTATGGCCGGTGTCCTGTATGCACCCCTCAGATATAAATATTCACTATTCAATCATACCCCAAACTAGTCATATAAATGTATCCAATCTCATACTCCAAAGTGTGTGTGTGTGTGTGTGTGTGTGTATATATATATATATATATATATAAACATAAAAACTTAAACGTGATGTTAAATGGGACACGTCTGGGAGAGAATGTATGTGTGTGGAGGCTGCATGTTATCTTGTATGTTTGTGGGATTGCTTGTTCAGAGATATTTGATGTCCCCTCCACCGGCCTCATGTGTTTAACACTGTAACGTGTTGTTTCCCACCATAGTGTGTTGTTTTTTTTAATGGTTACATGGGTTTTGTAATAGGATTAGGCAATTTCAATTAAAGAAGCACTGTACATTTATGATAGTATTTATTAAACTACCAGTTCCTCCCATGACTCGCTTGCTTGGCATGTGAATGGGTAGTTGTATAGGTTTTGAATAATATATTAAATAGCAAGCATTTATCCATATAACCCTTATTTACCTAGGATTCCACTTATTGTAAAATGTGATGCCTCTGATGTCGCTAGGCCCAATTCTGTAAAACTTGTGATATGTCATTTTTCAGAATGAACAGACTCATGAGAAAATGTGACCACATATTCATTTCTTGTAATACAGATAACCACTGCAAAAAAATATGCAGATTCTAAAATTTGCTCAAATATTTTCTAAGCCTAACTTACCTTTCATTAGCTGTTGAACTGGAGCAGCATTGGCTAGTGACAATGCCATACTTTGTTGGCCAGCACTTACGTCCTTGTTAGTGCTGGGATTGTCACCCAGCCATGGGCAGCCTGTCCACGGTGTCTGGGGTTAGAATGCTTTGTAACGCAAATTTGTACAAACTTTATATTGTCAGCCAGGAAGGGATTCTTCCAGCTGGCTGATTGACAGCCCAGGGAGGTGGTGCTGAGAGTGACTTTTTAAGGTTAGCTGAATAATCAAAAAATAGCAGCAGCATTCATGATGTTTGTGGTCTTTGATATGTTAATTATTTGTTGCATTCTGTCTGCTTTTTACAACAACCACATACATCAGCAGCGTTGGATGAATACTTCCTAAAACATGAAAATGAAATGTGCCAGATTTACTTTTTTAAACAAATGTCTATTTTGTGGCTGGGCTCCCCTGGCGTGCAGCATTTAACCAGTTTTGTCTTTATTTTTACATCAGGTGAGGCGCGAGAATGGCGAGCAGCGCGGTGCTGAGTGAGAATCTCCCCACATATAAACTGGTGGTGGTTGGTGATGGAGGCGTAGGTAAGAGTGCGCTCACCATACAGTTTTTCCAGAAGATTTTTGTCCCGGATTATGACCCCACCATAGAAGATTCCTATCTAAAGCACACGGAGATCGATGGGCAGTGGGCTATACTCGACGGTAAGAAAATATTGTGTTCTTTATTTCTCTGTATTTAAGTCTTTACGTCCTATTTTAACATTGAGAAGGTAAATCAACCTCCCGTACAGCCATGCAAACTTTGTGTATTTGCACGACCTGCATGCAAACCGCGTCCTTTGCCTCTCACGTTAAGACTTAGTACGCGGAATGGGATATGGGCGGGGTTTGTATGTAACCACACCCACATTTGCACTCGTGGCCAGGTGTCTGGTGTACCTTGAAGGGACTCCTGTTGCGCATGTCCCAATATTATAACCGCGCCATCTTGTGTTCCTTGACACAGTCTATGCAGGCATATGCAACCTTTGGCACTCCAGTTGTTGTGTACTACATCCCCCATAATGCTCTTACACCCACAATGCTGGCAAAGCATCATGGGAGGTGTAGTCTAAAACAGCTGGAGTGACAGAGGTTGCAAATGCTTGGACTCTGGAGTCTGTTCCGCTCTTCCATCGAACATAGCGTAAGTGACATAATTGGCTGAACGCTTTTCATCTACCTCCTGGTCTGAACAAGCTCACTGCAGCAGTTGCAAATCTTTGGTAATCTACTCAACAAATGCCATTCAGCTTCTGCATGAAGTATACATCACTCCCAGCTCTTATTGGACTTCCACTACCATCACACTCAGCTAGTCAGAGGCCTTTATGGAAAATATTACTCTTCTTATGTGCGGCTGTAACTCCGTCATTACCAAATTAAATTGCAAGCTCTGATTCCTCGATCTCATTCCCACAGCTATGTAGCGAGTAGTTTCCCTCCCACTGGTTTGGGTTTCGTTTTAGTATAAAAATAAAATGAGTTCTGAAAGATCCAGGATCAGGTACAAATACCAACATTATATCAGCTTATTGTGGCTGCTCCGGAGGTGCGGAGTGGACCTATTAATCAAAAACGGTTTGACTGAAGAGCTTACATTCTACCTGCAGTGTAGATTATTGCACCAATAAAAAAGTTTAGCATTTACTGTAAATTCTCATTCTTTGCAGCCTGTGCTTTGAGCTCATCCCAAACCAATATGTGACTGAGCCAGTTATGGTTCTCACCTAGCTTTCTACAAGCAATGTTTAGGGTGCACTGCAAGGTTTTCTGGGAGTTGTAGTTCATTTGTCAGCTTTCTGCTGCATAACACTAATAGACCTCTTAAATTCCCAGAAACATTCACAGGAAGGAACTGGAAGCCTTAAAGGGGCAGTGACATCGTTTCTGTTTTAGGTTTCAGTGTGCTTCTAGTTGTCTTGGCACAGACAAGGTATACCATGCAAATTGATTTAACTCATCTAGAGCAATGTGCGCAAACAGCATTTAAAGGAATGGCTGAGGAAGCTGAGCGGAAGCCAGTGCATGAATGGGCACAATGCTCACCTTGACATCACATGCAACAGAGCCTCTGCTGTGCTTCTCACCCCCCAGCTTGCTTGTCCGTAGTGTTTACTGCGAGGGAACGAGGCACTGTCACTTTAAGAGAAGCGCTGGTTTATCTATAAACTGGTCTTTGTTTCTATGAGATTTGAACGGAAGCCGCACATTAGCAATTAAAGCTTTAGTTACCTTTCTCCTGCATGGTTAAAGGAATATTAATATTTAAAATGAAAACACTTACTGCTGTAGCATTGCTGGCATTTACGAAACCCTGACACTTAACTACTCCGTTGCTTTTAGTCTAATACTATGTTGCCAGGAATTCATCTTGTCCAATTTACATGTAAAAGTTTCTGCTTAAATCTCTATCCTGCGAATAGTGGGGTTATTTTGTTTATTTGAAGCCGACTGCAGCTAACAGTGAGCTCTCACCAAACCAGGAAGTGATTCACCCAGTGACCCTCACTTTCTATAGCACTGCTCATCATATCCCTGAAGCAGTGCTAATGGTGGTGCCCCCCAGTAATATTTGTGGTCTTGCTTTGTGAATTTAAATGGCAACATTTTCCAGGGTGAAAAGGAATCTTTGTACAATGAGTTAATATGACCAATATTTAGTGAAAAATTTTACTGCTAGCAAGAAGTGCAAAGCCTTCTCTAGTGTTGAAAAGGTTAATTTATAATTGCACACAGAGTATGCCGCGCCTGGCACTGGAACGGGCAGGGTTATTGCAAGCTGCTGAGAGAGGGGAAGTCTCCTGGCAGCAGTGCCGGGGTTAATTGCTTGCACATCACACTGTGGCCGAGCCAAGAATCTCTCCTTTATCTGAGCCACTCCTAAAATATCGCCCATAGCCCAGCCGCACCCTCTCAGCCCTCGTAACCTGCGCAGACAAGTAATCTCTGCAGAAATCAAAACTGCCATCAGAAACAGACCTGGGGAACCGGGGAGTAGGGGTGCCATGGCTTTGCCAATGCATGTACTGGCACTCGTTCACTGAAGAGAATATTGTCAGGAATTCAGAGTGAACATCTATAACCTGCTCACTATTAGCAAAACTCAGAATAGGGAACTGGCAAACAGATGGTTCGATGATTCACTTTAATTTTATCTGTCCGCTATGCTTTAATTTAAGCTACTCTGGTCTTTGATTTCAAATTCACTTTGAATTCTCATTTGGTGAATAGCACTGCATAATTCCTGGCAATGCATCCTTTAGTAAATAACAAATCTCTATCAAAATACTTAAATATACAATGCCATGCCTTCTAAAATCCTTTGTACACACAAGGGGAAAGAGCAGGACTTGCAGGGCAATGGTCACCTCAAAGCAATTAATTTAATATTTAATATTGCGGATTACTAGATTTAAAAAATAGTTTTGAGTTGTCCTTTGAAATATAAACATAACGAGACTATTCTAACAACAGAAACCAGATCTAGATTAATTTCCTAAATACAAAAGGCCCATCGAGCTCGTTCGCATCGAGGAAAATAAAGGGGGGAAAATGTAAATATCTCTCAGACGGTAAAAAAATAATGGAATAGTTCACATTAATTCAATATTTTATCTGATTTACAAAGTTATTTACTGGTGAGAATTTAAAGTGGATTTCAACTTTAAGGCCAAAGTAGCCAATCTGGAAAAAGTCTCCAAGATGATTCCAGTTTTTGCTAATTTGGACTTAAATTTGGGAGTCTTTTTGAATTCACCTTGAATTCTCACTTTAATGAATAAACCCTTTTTAAAACTAAGAACTGACCGGGAGAACAAGGACATGGCAAATATTAGGTCAAATAGCTGAAACTCGCTATTTTGCCTGCTCAGATTTGCAATCCCTTCATAAAGTCTTTACAATTCTCGGTGAATTAGAACTAACCTCTTTTTCTGATTCAGGCTGGCTCGGGGCTGGTTTTATTTAGGAATTTAAGCAATGATAAATTATCAGAACTACTACCAGCCATTTCTGTCGGGTTAATTCACTATACATGGATTTATAGTGCACTAAACGAATTGGACTGAATTTCGAATTTTGGAAAAAGTTTCCAACTCCACCGCAGTCACCGTTCAATTTCAAGTTGTGACATCGGAGCACAATGGAGACCCAGGTAAGGGGTACTGTATTGTTCCCATTACCAGGGAACATCTCACATTATAGCCCCTGCATCATGCTGTAGTGATTACGGTGCTTGAAGTTACTGTTCCCCAGTAATAGGCCATTCTGTAAAATTTAATTTGCACATAATTTACCTTAAGTAGCCCAGAACTAGTTTCAAGCTGGCTGATGACCCCCTCAGGTGCTTCCAGAGGTGGCGTTACGCCTCCAGCAGCAGACGGGTTAAATGCCGTAATGGAATCTGTATCTGTCACTGTATCTCTTCTGTGAAAGTAACGGCTCTTTATCTGTCACTGTATCTGCAGTGAATGTAACTGGATTGTATCTGTCACTGTATCTCTGCAGTGAATGTAACAGAATCTGTATTTGTCACTGTATCTGCGGTGAATGTAACAAAATTGTATCTGTGACTCTATCTCTGCAGTGAAGGTAACATAATCTGTCACTGTATCTCTGCAGCGAAGGTAACGGAATCTGTCACTGTATCTCGGCAGCGAAGGTAACGGAATCTGTATCTGTCACTGTACCTCTGCAGTGAAGGTAACAGAATCTGTCACTGTATCTCTGCAGTGAATGTAACGGGATTGTGTCTGTCACTGTATCTCTGCAGTGAATGTAACGGAATCTGTCACTGTATCTCTGCAGCGAAGGTAACGGAATCTGTATCTGTCACTGTACCTCTGCAGTGAAGGTAACAGAATCTGTCACTGTATTTCTGCAGTGAATGTAACGGGATTGTGTCTGTCACTGTATCTCTGCAGTGAATGTAACGGGATTGTGTCTGTCACTGTATCTCTGCAGTGAATGTAACGGGATTGTATCTGTCACTGTATCTCTGCAGTGAATGTAACGGGATTGTGTCTGTCACTGTATCTCTGCAGTAAATGTAACGGGATTGTGTCTGTCACTGTATCTCTGCAGTGAATGTAACGGGATTGTGTCTGTCACTGTATCTCTGCGGTGAATGTAAGGGGATCTGAATTTGTCACTGTATCTCTGCAGTGTTAGACACGGCTGGACAGGAAGAATTCAGTGCCATGAGAGAGCAGTATATGAGGACTGGCGATGGCTTCCTCATTGTGTACTCCGTCACGGATAAAGCCAGCTTTGAACACGTTGATCGCTTCCACCAGCTCATCCTCCGAGTGAAAGACAGGTGAGTGCACCTAGTATGTATGCTATTGCCAATTTCCATCATCCTCTGGACTTCATACAAGGGCTGCAAACACTATATATTCAGCCGGATGAAGAGATTTATTCCGCCAGTGTGGAACCGGCAATGGGTGTAGTTTGTTTGTCCATTTCGCAGTTCCGTTTTGTTACTGCACCAATCTCATGTCTCGTCTTTATAAAATACTCGTTTGTTGGGGAGAGGAGGGCGACCGTGCCGATTTAATCTGTAATATGCCATTAAACTGTGATAACCATTTAAAGATACCCTGTCATACTTTGACTACCAGAGGAGCCATCATCATGTTCAAGGCAATTAAACAGATCTCTAGAACACATCCAATTCTGTAAATATAAAGTGTGCGTGAAGACGGTAATGATTGTGAAGCATTGTTGTCTTCGTGCAGTTAATTAAGCCCAAGTTTCTCCTGTTTGTCTTACAGAGAATCTTTTCCAATGATCCTGGTGTCTAATAAGGTCGATCTTATTCATCTCAGGAAAGTTTCCAGCGATCAGGGGAAGGAAATGGCAGCAAAACATAATGTAAGTCACGGTAATCGAGGCTGTGAGCAGAACATATGGGGGGCAGTATTACACTGCATGGAGGGAGGGGGCAGTATTACACTGCATGGAGGAGGGGGCAGTATTACACTGCATGGAGGGAGGGGGCAGTATTACACTGCATGGAGGAAGGGGGCAGTATTACACTGCATGGAGGGAGGGGCAGTATTACACTGCATGGAGGAGGGGGCCGTATTACACTCCATGGAGAAGGGGCAGTATTACACTCCATGGAGGAGGGGCAGTATTACACTGCATGGAGGAGGGTCAGTATTACACTGCATGGAAAGAGGGGTCAGTATTACACTGCATGGAAAGAGGGGGCCGTATTACACTGCATGGAGGAGGGGGCAGTATTACACTGCATGGAGGAGGGGCAGTATTACACTGCATGGAGGAGTGGCAATATTACACTGCATGGAGGGAGGGGGCAGTATTACACTGCATGGAGGAGGGTCAGTATTACACTGCATGGAGAGAGGGGGCCGTATTACACTGCATGGAGGAGGGGGCAATATTACACTGCATGGAGGAGGGGCAGTATTACACTGCATGGAGGAGTGGCAGTATTACACTGCATGGGGGGACCCGATTACTCCAACCAGTCCCTGCAGTGTGAGGTTTGGCAGGAAGTCAGGGACTGGTTGCAGGAGGCAGTGGGATGCTCTGCAGCCTGCAGAGATTGGTTGGAGGAGGCAGTGTAATGCCCTGCAGGGACTGGTGGGATGCTCTGCAGGGACTGGTTGAAGGAGGCAGTGGGATGCTCTGCAGGGACTGATTGAAGGAGGCAGCACAAGATAAAACACAGTGAATGTTGGTGTTGTAACCTGTTGTAACCTGTATGTAACAAATAGAAAATGATGAAAATTTAAATTTTATTTTCAGATCCCTTACATTGAAACAAGTGCAAAGGACCCACCCCAGAACGTGGACACGGCTTTCCACGACTTGGTACGAGTCATCAGGTGAGATATAACCAGTTAGCCATGTCTGTGACCGGCCTACAGTGACGTCAGACTGAAAAAAATGCTGTTTTCCTTTTCCTTCCCAATTATTCACACTGTGTTTTATTCCCATTAACAGGCAGCAAATTCCAGAGAAAATCCAGAAACGTAAGAGGAACACCAAGTGGCGAGGGGACCGTGGTACGGGTTCTCACAGGCTGCAATGTGTGGTCTTGTGACAGGGCGTTGGAATCTTAAAACAGACTTATGAGCATTAGTGTCACTTGTACAAGGACTGTGCCACGTCAAAAGCTACCACTAACCCAGGCTGCCTCACACAAATGAAAGCCAGGTCCACAAAGAATGCTCCGGTCATTGAGCGAGCTACACGTGCATCAAGCAGGCCTTCCCTCCCCCGACGTCAAAACTGTGGAGTCGACAAACTTGGGTCCTTTTTTTTTTCCGCAGTCTGTCTTTCCTCACACATCATCACTTTCTAGAAGACAGATGCAGCCTTTATTTGCTATTCTTATTTAACCGTGGTACATACATTTGAGGTTTTTGGGGTTTCTGTCTCAGGCCGATGGCATGAGTTAATTCAAGTTCTCCTCACTGTAGGACCCAGAGAGGATTCAGCGTTCTTTGCGGCTGCAGCATGAAAATATTAATGGTTTTCCATACTGGGAGGAAACAGCCTTTTAATCCTGCCAACCGGAAGCTCAATTTGCATTAAACGATTCCCGGCAGAACAGTTTTTTTTTTTCTCTTCTTGTCTTCTCCTGACCTCACACCACGTGTCTCTGTGTCTTGTAGTTTACACATTCATTGGCCACGTATCCCGTTAATTAACCTCCCAATAGGGTTCGAACAAACAGCACTTTGAAGACTTTCATACTAAGAGATCCAGTCAGTTTTTGGACATCTTCTTGCATTAGGGCATCAGAATTCCATCAACCCCTTGTAGAACCAGGAGGGACATCCGTGCATTCAAAAGGCTTCTGCACTAAAGTCCTGTCCGTTCCGAAAGCTGCCAGAAATGCTGCACTAGAAGCCTTGCCTCGAATACCTCCTGCTGTGCTAAGAGAACCTGGCCCTAGGACCCACTTTAATGGGGCACTCAGAGCACCCAAATGTCAAATGAAATGTGTGTTACGTTACCGTTAGTGCTTACAGTGCATGGGAGGAGGGGGGGTGGGGGGGGGGGCTTTTTATTTTTTTATGTTTCGGGTGGATTAATAATTGATCATTTTACTCTTTGTACCCCTTCCAACCTTAGCCTTTCCCTTTTTGTTTCAGAACAGTTAACTTCCTATAGAAGAAGCTAATAATTGAACTCCCAAAAGCTTGCTGTGCCCTTACCCGTTGTTTGTGGGGCAAACTCAGTAAAGCCTAGAACGTTAAAGGAGCCTAGTGATTGGCATTTTCTGGTTTAGTTAGAGCTTACTGAAGAAGCTGCAAAGAATGTGTTTTGCAGCAAATGAAGGAACTTCAAATGTGAGCAGCTTTTTATATTTTTTTTATTGTTTTAAACTTTTTTTGCATACATTTTTTTTTTTTTTTATGCATTCAAAAATAATGGGTCAACCTGGAATCGTCCATTGAATTAAACGTACGTTCAAGTTGCGCAGTCACTTTATATATCCTTTATGGTGAGATATTTACTGTACAGGGATCTCCTTACTGTTATTTCTGTAGGTTTTACATCGCAAGGAACTAACTGGACATTGATGTTTTATAATTTTTCTTTTATTACCTGTCTTTTAGCTTTTTATTTTTCATTTTCTTTTTTGCTCAATTAATGCTCAAAGCATGGAATAGTATAACCCATTTTTGTTTCTAAACTATTTTTCATTAAATTTTTTAATTTTTTTTACCATTTGCCCTCTGTTGACCTTTTCAGTATAATACGAATTCATCCTACCTGGAACTGGTTATGTCATTTTTGTTTTTTAATGTTACAAAAAACCTGATTATACAACAGTTAGTGTCATTTTTTTTATTTATTTTTTTAGCCACGCATTCCACCAAAGGCCTGTCTATTGCTGTGGTAATTCACTGTAAATGTGATACATTAACCCATTTTTATATCAAAAATGTTAAATCCATAAATGTATTCATTTTGCTTTTATTTTTTTAAGCGTTTTGTTTTTTGTTTTTTTTACTCCCCCTACACACACTTTTGGCCTTCCAGTTACAAGATTGCAAATTAAAGATGTTTAGACCATTTTCTGTGGATCTCCAGCACACACAGGGTTAACACGCCCATATGTAATGAATAAGTGCTTGACTAAGAAATGGCTTCCAGCTGGCGTGGCTCTCTAGACATTGTGTCAAACCCTGGAATGGGGCCAATCTGAGGCCTTGGAGGAGAAAAGACTTTCTATTCTTCTGTAATTTTATTTCAATCAGCGCTTATCAAAACAGTTTTATAAAGATACATGGCATTCTCAGAGAATGTTAACTGTCTGAGTGCCAGGAGACTCGGATACCCCTCTGGTATTTAACAGTAAAAAAAATTTAAAAAAAATAAGGGTACAAAGGAATTTAATTTCACTGACTTTTGTGAATGTATTAACTTATTTCTAGGGGAATAAATGGTGATACATTATTTCAAAAACTCTGATCTTGTGTTTTGTCTCTGTAGGGGCTGGGGGAGCCGTATCCTGTTGGGATGGTTTATATTTCAAATAAGAGAGAGGGTGCGAGATGTGATGAAAAACTTCAGAAATATTAAGGAGTTCAAATTATGTTGAAGAAGCAAATATTTTTAATTCAAAACGGTGTTAGAGCAGATTTTATGGGAGATGTTTGAGGGAAAATATAACAAAACAGACTTTACAGGAAGTGTAGTGGATACCAGGAATAGCCTTCGAGTGGGAGCAGTAAAGGCTAACGGTAATGTGGAAAGGGTAGTAGATACCTGGAATAGCCTTCCAGTGGGAGCAGTAACAGTGATATAGAAAGGGTAGTAGATACCCAGAATAGCCTTCCAGTGGGAGCAGTAACAGTGATATAGAAAGGGTAGTAGATACCTGGAATAGCCTTCCAGTGGGAGCAGTAACAGTGATATAGAAAGGGTAGTAGATACCTGGAGTAGCCTTCCAGTGGGAGCAGTAACAGTGATATAGAAAGGGTAGTAGATACCTGGAATAGCCTTCCAGTGGGAGCAGTAACAGTGATATAGAAAGGGTAGTAGATACCTGGAATAGCCTTCCAGTGGGAGCAGTAACAGTGATATAGAAAGGGTAGTAGATTCCTGGAATAGCCTTTCAGTGGGAGCAGGAATGGCGATATAGAAAGAGTAGCACATACCTGGAATAGTCTTCCAGTGGAAGCAGGAATGGTGATATAGAAAGGGTAGTACATACCTGGAATAGCCTTCCAGTGGGAGCAGTAACAGTGATATAGAAAGGGTAGTAGATACCTGGAATAGCCTTCCAGTGGGAGCAGTAACAGTGATATAGAAAGGGTAGTAGATACCTGGAATAGCCTTCCAGTGGGAGCAGTAACAGTGATATAGAAAGGGTAGTAGATACCTGGAATAGCCTTCCAGTGGGAGCAGTAAAGGCTAACTGTGATATAGACAGGGTAGCAGGTCCCTGATACTGCATGTTAATGGCCGGACAGCATGGTTGACATTTTCCAGACAGTTTATTTTTTATTTCTTGTATTTTGTTTGCTAAGAGAACAGTTACAAATGCTGCATGTTAAAAATTGAAGTTAAATTCAATTCAAATGTAACAAATCTCATATAAAAAATAAATACCGAAATACAGAAACCACAATATATGCTACAATTGCAGATATGAGCAATTAGTAGCAGAAAGTTATGTATTCAATATTTAGTAGCATTGCTAAAACTGGCTAAAAGGTATACCAATACCATCTAAAAAAAAAAACAAATACAGAAATAAATATAAATTGAAAATGCATAAAAAACACGAGAAAGCTGTTAAAAGAGAGGCTGTATTTTAGAAACAAAAACATCATCTATGGCGAGTTGGAGAGTTTTTCTAAATCAGCTAATTTGGATTAAATTTGGCTTTTAACTCGCTACAAATCGCTTTATCTACATTATAGCAGCATTAAGTGGCTGAGCAGGTTAGCGGATGATTGCAGCCAGCGACTGGCATTAAAATACAGATAACATTGATACTGCTAATGCAGAAGTGGAAGGCTTGCATTTAGGATTTTGCTGAGTAGGGGTCTCGGTATTAAGGACCCCCTACCTATTGTATCTTTATGTAAGGTATGAGAATTTCCCCAATAACAGTTACGCTGGAGACACCGTGATTATTTAAATTGTTAACAGAGTGCACAATTTAAAGTGATTGGTAAAAAAGAGCTCTGTGATTATTTAGTTACAATATGTAGGCAGGGAATTATAAAGAGGAGTCAGACACTGAAGGGAGAATCATGGGATGCGCTCACCCTGATCCTATAGTCCCGGACTCGAGGGGGCCCACAGACCCACTTTTGTTTTATATCTTCATGTACTTCAGTCTGGTGCAATATAGAGCAATTTTATTTTTGGTAATAAAGATATTATCACAATTGGAGTCCCTCTTCTTCACTTTCCTTTTAGGTATTAAAAATATTTACTCATATGAAAGGCTTATCCAAAATCGAGGCCAATATCGGAATAGTAACCAATAAACAATATATTACACAAATAAAACAGAATGCAGTCTACATTGAGGGCCGGAACACATGGCAGGTGGGCACCGCGGTCACCAAGTCCACAGGGCAACCAGGCCCCCTGGAGTGACCGTCCCGGTCGCAGCTGTAACCCCTGCGACTGCGGTAGTTCCATCACTGGAGCAATGTATCATTGAGTGATCACAATGTCTTCTCTCGTTATTCTGCATCACAGGTAGTGTCAGTGACATCATTTTGATATCCGAGGGACTGCCTCATGGCCGTGGAATCTCTGGAGCTCTGCTCTTCCTGCTACTCACAATAGAGAAGAAGTGTGTTCTGAGCCTTTTCTGCTTCCAATCTGTTTTCAGCACCCACGCACGCGATTCTGCTCACAGTGACAGCACCCTAAATCTCCCTAATAACATAAGGACAGCTTACAAAGCATTGTGGGAGATGTACCTCCGCTAACTAGGTGTTATTGAGGAAAATTCGAAATGTCAGGAAATTTAAATTGTTACATTGCAGCCCTGGATAATATTATCAACCCCTTGAATCGATGACTAACCCATTAGCATTACGGTCTACGTCGCCCAGTGATGCTCAGACAAGAGTTTGATACTGTATCTGCTGCAGTAATACGCGCCAGAAAAGGGGACACGGTACGAGTACGATTGGTACAGGGGAAACAGAAGGTAAACAGCAATTTGAGCTCAGTAGCTTCTTCTGTGTGATCGGACCAGACAGGTTTGTCTAAAATGTGAAATCAGCTCTATGTATTTGGAGTGTTATAGAAAGATTACTCTTTATGAAAAACTCTTCGAAATTCCAACATAATCAAAATATACACGTGTGACAAAGCAAGGAATACTTTATCTCATATACATGTTACTCTGACAAGGGGCACAAAAAGATGGCTGCACCAAGAGGCAAGTATTTCTCCTTAACTGCCCTTCCCCCAGCCAGCTCTTACGAGCCAACAGATCAGCTTGGAGGTCTGTGGAAAAATGCAAAGACTCCACGAGTGATGCTGCTGCTTTCATGGCACAAATAAAATGTTAGAAATACCAATTGAAATAACTGTCAGAATTTTTTTTAAGAAAAAAAAAATCTAACTAAACCAAAATTTAAATAATTCAGATCCTTTGGCCCAATGACTGCAACAAGTATGAAGAACTCTGCTAGCACAAAGTGTTATATGAATTACCGAAAATGGGAACCACTGGTCTCATAGGTATTAAAACTTTATTTTACACAACGTGCACAGAATGATGGCCCATGAGCTTACACTTTAATAGTATAATGTAGGCAAAAAGTAGCAAGTGAGGAATAAAGCAGATAACTAAGAATGCGAGGGCATCAAAGTTAATATTAACGTAGAGAGCTGGCAATTTTTGTCCTATAGGACATTTTGTCACTCCAAGCGGACATAATTCATTGTTGCGCAACAGAATATTGCCATGTAATGTAATTTGTGTAGTGCATATATGAATTGGCCACTTGGTTGCAAGGTCAAATGACAGAAGGGATAATGTAAATTCGACAGGAATGTGAAAGGAGGCAGATGGTTTACAACATGGATTGATCCTTAAATTAATCAACGGCTCTGTAAGATGTGAGAAGTCCCACATAAGTGTCCTGGAAGTCTAGTTCCAATGTAAACTAAACTGCCTTCAGCCATATGGCCTCTGCCCTTTTAATTGATTAGTTAATTTCTTTGATATGTTAATGATCATTAGCATTGTGTTCAAGTATCATATCCAAAAGAAACATTAATATGTACCCACAGAATAATAATTAAGCCTCATTTTTATTATATTTAGAGTGGGACAAGTGCCATCTTCTAAACAAGCCCAAACATGATTGGCATAACTCAATCATAGGGGAAGGGATTGTGATGTCTGCTATATTGGGTCACAAGTAAGAAGTGTGACATATCTATGGAATGGAGAAATGGTAACAAATTCATAGAGGCAGCATTTTATTTCTGTGGCAAGTACAAAAGAGGAAATAAAAAGAAAAGTTTCTATTTGGATTGATGTTGGTCTGGGACACAAGGGGGTTGTCACTTATAGTTTCTATGGGTAAATCTTATCTCCACCTCTGAGCCAGGCTTGGTAATCCACAGGGTATATATCCAATGATACCAAGATGTGTATTTATACTTGCTTGGGGGCCACAATCTATTTCTGAGTCACCACCTTTCTTACTAGAGACCCCCTGGGAAGAAGTTTTACTTTGAAAACCTGAGTAAGTGATTAGGACTTCTGTTATTTTATCCCTTTTGGTTTTATCTGTTGCTGGTGTAAATAATTTTTCATCTCATTTTTGTATGCACTGTGACTATTTTTTGCTCATAATAAATATTCCTTTATTAAGTTCTGCCTTTGCCTGGTAAAGAATCACGTTACCTGAACAGACAATAAGTGTGTTTTGCAATTGCATAGGTATTGTGCTACGTTGTATTTGGTGGGTTTTTATTATTAAGTTACCTGGGGGACCAAGGCACTCCATTTATGAATTGTCTTGGTGGTGGCAGCGTTAAAATAGTAATATTTATGTTATTGTGGTTAAGTGTGGGTGGTGTTAAGGGGGATTTTTATCATTATTTTCGGTCTAGTGCAGACAAATAGTGGATTTTAACCCTTTCACCACAACAACTACGTCACGCACACTCTTGAAGTAGGGTGCATTAGTAACACATATACTAACAATTATTTTTTTACATTTGAAACAGATCCCAAAAGAAATATCTAAGTGAGCCAGTCTAGGTTAATGAAAGCATTGAGATTATGGGCTACCAACTCAAGCACAAATTCACCCAGTGCTGGGATAGCAAAGACCCTTCAGAATTCTTGTCTGTACTGTGAGCTTTAAATGAATACAAAGTGTATTCCTAACACTATAGTGCCCTCTGATCCCCCACTCCCTCACAGCTCCTAATGGATTATAAAAATCCTAATGGATTATAAAAATCATTTATTTACTCACCCGATTCAATGCCGATTTCCCTTGGAACGGAATTGGCTCTCCACCTCCTCTGATTCAATGCTTTTCTATAGGGATTTATTGACGCTGCAGAGTGTGAGGACGTCCAGCATCAGATAGGCGACCTTGAGTCCGGTGAACTACAGGAAAGCGCCTCTAGTGGCTGTCTGGGAGACAGCCACTGGAGGCAGTCTTAGTACTGCAATATAAACATTGAAGTTTCTCAAAAATGGCAATATTTTACATTGCAGGACTAAGTGTGACAGGAACACTTCAATGAGATGAAGTGGTCTGGGTGCTTTTAGTGTCCTTTTAATCAAAAGAATGGTACGGCAAGACTGTATGCTAGTACCCCAGGGGGCAATTGACCGCTTTTCAGCCGCCCATGAATTGCGTCCACTTGTGAGAATCTGATGAGATTATGAGTTGCTTAGCAAGCAACTAATTGGTTGTTTAAACAGACGGAGTATTACGTTTAAAAATGTTAGAGGTGCTCTTGCTGTTTGATGCTAACATTTTCATTATAACAAAGTAAATGTTATCGCTGATCTGTAGAACATTTTTACTAAGGAGACATGTTATAATATAACATAATCATGTCTAAGTGCATATAATAAATTCTCTGTGGTGCTTCGGTTTGGTGGTTTTATCATTTAATACAGTTTAAAATTGATTTACTATATTTGTCTTTTTTTCTTTGTAATTAAACCTACCTTCAGCAAGAATCTGTGATATAAATACATATGGTCCAAAAAGATTTACATTCTTTTCGATGTGCCCGTCCTATGATTGTACTTCGTGATTTCATCATGGCCGTGAATAAGATGGGATAACGAAGCAGCAAAATTGAGGACGTCGCCAGAATTATTTACACTTTCATATTTACATGACAAAACTATTGTAGAAAGTTTTCTTGTGGTGTCTGAGTTCTAGTTCCGTGCTGAAATCCCATCTTATAATGCCCCGGTTACATGCCTCTCTATGTAGCTGGGAGGAAGCAACAGGTAATTCCGCCCCTGCCTGGAGTCTCCCTTTAAAAATACAGGACAAAAAGAAACAGGGACGTGTCATTTTAAGGCTACTGTAATGCACAGTTATGCCACTAGATGTCACCAAAGGATTACATTTCAATTATTTGATAGTAGTATACATTTATTATACAATATATCTAACTATAGAAGACAAAGCAGATGATATAAAATAGACAAGTAGACTAAAGCACAGCGGACAGCGAATGTTATGTAAAATAGTCACCATATACAACAATAAACGATATCAAGCAAGGCATGTAATATAAACAGAATATGTAATAATATAGAGTTTGTGATGCTGAAGTTACTGCTGGGAGTATCTGATCCATGTTAGTAAATCACATTTTACAACGTAGTACAATGTAGACCTCAATGGCGTAACTTCTAGGGGGGCAGACGGTGCAGCTGCCTTGTGCACAAAAATAAAGGGGGGCACCGTGCGGCACCAGCAATGTGGTGGAATGACCTTCCACAAGATGAAGGGGCTCATCTTTGATCAGGGGTCCTGTCTGGCGCCATGATCCTATAACAGCGAGACCGGGTACCCTCGTCTATGAGAAGCTGCAGTGTACTCCTCCAAGCTTACCAACAAACCGTGCAGCAGAGCGAGAGAGAGGAAGACCAGAGAGAAGGGAAAGTATGTACCAGATTCACATCATATAAAGCCAGATCCCGCTGGACACCAGGGAAGCCGCCCCTCTACACCAAGAAGGTATAGAAGCAAGGTGTGGCTAAAAATATGTCAATTTTGATCTTTGTGTGTATATGTGCATATCTGATATTTGTGTGTAGGTGCTATCTCTGCATGTGTACAATGTATCTGTCAGTTATGTGTGTGTATGTGTGTGTGTGCGCCAGTGTGTGCACATGTCTGCATCTGTGTGTATGTGTACACCTGTATATCTGTGTGTATGTGGTGTCTGCGTGTGTACACGTGCTGTGTGCATGTGTAAAATGTGTGTATATGTGTTATCTGTGTGCATGTGTACAGCTGTATATCTATGTATGTATTTGTCAGTGTATGTATCTGTGTGTGTCAGTGTGTGTATATGTATCTGTGTGTATGTGTCAGTGTGTATGAGTCAGTGTATATCTGTGTGTACGAGTCAGTGTGTGTGTCAGTGTGTATCTGTGTGTGTGTATGAGTCTGTTTGTATCTATGTGTGTGTGTTTCAACTTGCATGTGTGGGGCAGTGTATGTGCTTACATCCCAACAATCAAGCGCCAACTCTAAATACAAACACTAAACACAAGTACACCTCTGCTTTCAAATATTAAGTAAATACTAACATACAACTCTCAACACTAGACACAAAATAAATTCATTCAAACACAAAACATGCTTAAATTTGTTGCCAGTATTTTTTTCCGATTGCATTAAGAAGTGTTTATTGAGAAAAAATGTAATGCTCTTTATTGACAAATACTATAGCCTTTACATATGCTGAATTAGCCTTACAACCAGAGGGACAGGGTGACTGGGGGCTGGGGGTGGTACATGAGGGCGACAGAAACATTTTTTCTTCCCCGGGCAACCGTAACTCTGGTTACACCACTGGTAGACCTTGTCTAGTCTGAGGATGGGAACTAGTTTGCTCCGATTAAATAGTCTACGTCCCATCCACCTAAAGCCCCCTAGTGGACAGTCCTGCATAGCGCTAAGAACTAGACTGCTCTCAGTGATAGAGCTAGTTCCCATCCAGTTAAATCTCCTTTCTAACTATCAGACTGAATAAATGCAGAGTACAACAAATCCTTACAGTTTTATTATTTCAAATGTAATATGGCCACTGATCTCTGCGGCTTTGGACCCCAATATTACCTCTGCAACGTGTGTAACGAGTTGTAATACGGTTCTATACTGATATAATGTTATTGGCTATGATCGTGTGTAACGAGTTGTAATACGGTTCTATACTGATATAATGTTATTGGCTATGATCGTGTGTAACGAGCTGTAATACGGTTCTATACTGATATAATGTTATTGGCTATGATCGTGTGTAACGTGTTGTAATACGGTTCTATACTGATATAATGTTATTGGCTATGATCGTGTGTAACGTGTTGTAATACGGTTCTATACTGATATAATGTTATTGGCTATGATCGTGTGTAACGAGTTGTAATACGGTTCTATACTGATATGATGTTATTGGCTATGATCGTGTGTAACGAGTTGTAATACGGTTCTATACTGATATAATGTTATTGGCTATGATCGTGTGTAACCAGTTGTAATACGGTTCTATACTGATATAATGTTATTGGCTATGATCGTGTGTAACGAGTTGTAATACGGTTCTATACTGATATAATGTTATTGGCTATGATCGTGTGTAACGAGTTGTAATATGTGTAACGGACCATTTCAGCACACAAGGGGTTAAACCGCCGTTTAGTAGATCTTCCCGTCCAGAGACACAGGCACAGCTACTGCAGAACACCAATCCGCCGAACAGGAAACCATATGAATGCTGTAAACAGCCGAATAGGAAAAACCATACGAATAGGTTTACACTCCTAGCAGTCAAACTGGAACAGCATACAATAAATCCCCCCAAGAACGAGACAAAGCTCTGTGTTGAGGGTCAAGCAGTGAACAGACAGAGCTGTGGGTTTATTGTGCTTATGTACACATTCTTACACATTAGTACCACCCACAGGGTTTTGGAACACAACCAATAAACACATACAATACACTCAGACACTCCCACACAAATTCCTCCCCTCTGCATGTGATTCAATTACCTTACACAATGGGTAATGTAATTAGCACAAGCAGAGAAATACAATTTTTCCACATTATTCATAACTTGAAAAGTATGCATCACATTCACATAAAACTTACATTTTCAGAATCAAATCATACTCCAAATACAAACATACGTCAAAATCATACAAATTGGTCCAGTGGTTCAAAAGATAGATCATAGTCCTTTGTGACCACAGGAAGCATGGCTTTTCTGCCCAAAACCAGTTCCACAGAGTCTTCTATCCTGGAGATAATTAGAAGTAATCCAATTATCTCCAAAGACAGAGGCAAAACTCCATTGAACACATGGCAGCAAAAAGACAGTAAAATACATTAAAATACACAAGGTTACATTTATGACATAAAATACAGACATGCAACATGTGCGTTCAGACCTAAGCTATCTGGGCATATTATTACTGAATGGCGCTCAGAGCACACACATACAGTTCAATTGCCATGGAGCCAAAGTCTTTCCCATAGTCTTTCATTATACGAATGGGCTCCATGGCATAGCTATCTGGGGTATCACTGCTCAAGCAGGGAAAGCACAAAATGACCCGGCTTTCTTGTCTTTGCAGGGGAAAATCAAGCCTCTCTCCCCTTTTCCAAACAGACTAACAGGGTATCTGATCTCCTGCCGGTCAGTGCCCTTGTTAGTCCAGCAGCCCACCCACAAAACACAATCAACAGCACAGTCCACCCACAATAAATGGTTACTACACCTGGGTAGAGGAGAAGCTTGTCCATGTCCAGGTGTCTCACCACGGCTGTGCTGGGTACGGGTATGCTGACTTGGTGGGTTGCTGAGTGGGCAGAGACCAGCGGTACTCTGCCCTGGTGCCAGTGCTACTGGAGGGGTAGCCTGGTTGAAGCCTGGTTGTTGGAGGGGGAGACCGACTGTCTCCCCTTTAGATATACAGCCCTGCTGCTGGGGACCGACTGTCTCCCCTTTGGACACACAGCTCTGCTGCTGGAGACCGACTGTCTCCCCTTTGGCTAAACAGCCCTGTTGCTGGGGGGCAGAACCAACTGTCCCTACACCCTGTGCTAGACGTGCAGAGACCACGGTCCCATCTGCACAGTTGTGGGGCTTACTGTCTCCCCTGGGTACATTAAGCTGCTGCTGGGGAGAGGGGGTAACAAGCTCCTTTCCCACATATACTTCCAGCCGCGGGGGAGGGAGACCGACTGTTTCTGCTCCCAATACAGAGTCCTGCTGCTGGGGAAAGGAGACTGGGCTCTCTATTCCCGGTAGGACACTCTGCCGCTGGGGAATGGAGACTGGGCTCCCAATTCCCAATAAATCATTCTGCCGCTGGGGAAGGGAGACTGGGCTCCCAATTCCCGATAAATCATTCTGCCGCTGGGGAATGGAGACTGGGCTCCCAATTCCCAATAACTCAGCCTGCCGCTGGGGAATGGAGACTGGGCTCCCAATTCCCTGTAATTCACACTGCCGCTGGGGATCTGAGCCGACTGCACAGCATCCCTGTAGCTCACCCTGCCGCTTGGGAGGGAGGACGCTGCTCTCCTCTCCCTGCAAGGTACACTGCCGCTGGGAGACAGGACCAACTGTCTCTGCCCCCTGTAACTCAGCCTGCCGCTGGGGAATGGAGCTCAGGCTCCCAATTCCCTGCAATATCTCCCACTGGGGAATGGAGCTCGGGCTCCCAATTCCCTGCAATATCGGTGGAGAGACCTCGGTCCCATCTCCACCCGCCACCTGGGGTTCTTCCCATTAAAACTCAACGATGTCTTCCCAGCTGAATGGGTCTGGAACTGGATCTATCACCTTGCTGTCCTGCTGAGCTTTCTCAATGGAATGGAAGAGATCTCGGTAGTCCTGCTCCAGTTCCCACTCCAGGGTTGCTAGGTGGACCAGGTCTTGCTCAATGTCGTGAGTGTCATCCCAGTCATACCTGCTCTCCCTCCACTCCAAGAGATCACTGTACGGGTTGTAATACTCTTCTTTCCCCCCCTACCCCCCGTTTTCATTTACACCGGACGATTTCGAGACAAACTGTGAATTGAGCTGCATTGATTTCTGCAGCCAATATATGAGCGCCATCTAGTGGCTTTACATTGAAATATCAAGCCAATCTTACAATAGATGTCTCTAACGCGGCTCTGTAACTTTTTTGCTCCAGAAGGTGTTATTATTGGTATTTAGATAGCACCAACTTATTCCACAGTGCTTTACAAAACAGCTTGCAAAATCCTGCCTGACTCCTGACCACAGCAGGCACTTATTGTACTAAGGTAATAGAGGCGCGGCACATAGAGAGGGCTGTATAATGCAATACCACAGAGCTGTTGCGTACTCAAGGCAGGAAGAAAGTGACACACCCCATACGCAGAGAGTAGGTTTTATGTTGTCCAAGCAAGCACAAAGGGCACTGATTGGACGGGAGGCGCATGGCCCCAGAATCATCACAGCATCTGTCAGAACCAAGCAGAAGAAGGTTAAGCTCAACATCATTCAGAGTTATGCTCCAGCCAATGATTCCAATGAAGAAGACAAGGATGAGTTTTACAATAGACTGCAGAAAATCGTAGAGACATTCCGAGCCAAAGACATCGTTATCCTTATGGGAGACTTTAACGCCAAGATTGGACCCGACAACACAGGATATGAACAAGACATGCGGATACACGGGCTGGGAGTGATGAATGATAATGGGGAGAGATTTGCGGAATTGTGTGCTCTCAACAACCTGGTCATTGGAGGTAGCATCTTTCCTCACAAGCAGATCCACAAAAACACCTGGGTATCACTGGATAGTGTGACAGAGAACCAGATTGACCACATCTGCATTAGCAAGAAGTTCACCTTTTCATCAGAGCCTGAAACACTGGGGTTCAAGCTCCACTTGCCTGGTAGTATTTGAGTTCTGCTGAGAAAATCTGCCAGAATATTTTCTATCCCTGGGAGGTAGACCGCTTTCATCCTCTTGATATGAACTTGCGCCCAGGACATCAGTGGAGTAATTTCTCGTAAGAGAAGTTTGCTTCTTGTGCTTCCTTGGTGATTTATGTATGCAGCCACTGCTCGGTCCATATAGATATCCAAGGACTCTTAAAGGCCCCATGGAGTCTCCGTAGTGCAACGTATATGGTCCTCAATTCGCACAGGTTTGAGTGAAGGTACCTTTCTGATGGGATCAAAGTGCCTTGAATCCATGTAGATTCCATGTGAGCACCCCAACCTGTCATGCTCGCATCCATGGTGACAATTTGCCAAGGCAGATCTTCTATGTAGGTTGTCTCACTGTAGCCACCATACAAACTGATCTTTTACTATTTGTGGAATTTGAATCATTTGATTCCAGTTGCTGCGATGGCTGTTGAACGGATTCAAGAAATTTAATCGGATTGTTCTTAAGTTCCATTAAGCCCAACGGTCTAATCATATGGTTGAAGTTAGTGATCCCAGAATGCTCATGTACTCTTTGGCTGTTATGGAAGACTGGGGGAGGACCGAGAGAATCTTGTTTTCCAGTCTGCTCATCCTCTCTTGTGATAGAAAGACTTTTGCTTCTTTGGTGTTGATGTAGGCACCCAGGAAGTTGTGTGTTGGGAAGGATTGAGAGAATTCTTCTACTTGTTGATAATCCAACCATGTTCTTTTAGACAGTTCAGGGCTTGTATAGTGTGACGAGAGGCTTCCTGAAGGGATGGAGCAACTATTAATATGTCGTCTAGATAGTGAAATATGACTAGACCTTGTTGTCTTAGATGTGCTATAAGAACCACTAAGAATTTTGAGAAGGTACTTGGGACAAGGCTTAACCTGAAAGGAAGGCCTCTGAATTTGAAATGCTGTCCTAAAATGTGGAATCGGAGGAACTTGCGATGGAGAGGATAGATGGAACGTGGTAATATGCCTCCCTCAGGTCTATGGTCGTTAGCCAATCCCCTCTGTTGACGTTAGGAATAATCGTGGATATGGATTCCATCTTGATGATAGGCTTTTCAGAAATACGTTGGTGTTTTTCAGATCTATAATCAGTCTTCATTTCCCATTGGGTTTTGGGGCCAAGAACACTGTCGAATAGATGACTTTGTATCTTTCTGAAAGAGTCGAATTTGATTCTGTAGCCTTGATCTAAGATGGACATCACACATGAGTCTGAAATATTCGTGGCCCAGACAGATCAGAAATGTTAAAGTCTTCCTCCTAAGCATTCTGTATAGGCCTGTAAACCTACAGAAGTTTTAAGAAGGGACTCTAGATCCTCTCCCTCTATTGCTTTTAGAGGAAGAGGAAGGAGGCTGGTAGGATCTCCAAGATGCATATCGGTTATATTCTTTCCCTAGTCGATATGATCTATTGTCTCGAAAGGACTTGTCACGAAACCCCTTATCTTTCCATGAGGTCGAGTATGGGTTTCTCTTCATTTGAGGTAGGAAAGTTTTCTTGCTGTCGGCAGCTTTTTGGATGGCCTCATCAAGGTCTTTTCCAAAGAGGAAATCACCCTGGGAGGTAGGAGCGCAAAGGGAGGCTTTTGAAGAGTAGTCAGCTCCCCAATAGTGTAGCCACAGGGCTCTTTTGGCTGAGACAAATAATGTCATGCTTTTGGCAATCATCTTGGATATATCCGGGGATGCTTCGGAACTAAAATCTGCTGTGAGTCTAAAATCCCTAAGGTTATCCAAAAGGTGTTCTCTTCTTACACATCTTTGGATATCTTCTTCCAGATTATCTAACCAAACTCTGGACAGGATGGTAAGAGCTATGGCTGGGTGTAAGGCTGAGCCCAAAGACAGAGGCTTTTATTAGGTTGGCATCCAGTTTTTTTTCCATAGGGTCCCATAAATATGCCATGGAGTCAATGGGAAGCGTAGTACGTTTCGCAATTTTTATTACAGCCACATCTATTTTGGGGATTGCAGTCCAAGTCTTGCAATCCTTGAAGGCAAAGGGATATATCCTCGAATTCTTATTTTTAAGGGTAACTTTCTTCTCTGGTCTGGCCCATTCATTAAGGATCATATCCTTGATAGAAGGATGCACTGGAAATAAAGGTTTGTAAGATCTGAGGTCTTGTTGGATTCTAGGGATTCTGCCTTTTCTTCCTGTAATTTTACAGTATTCATTATTAGGAAGATAAGCTTCTCAACAGAGTTAGGGCCATACTCTGTATCTTCCTCATCAGAAATATCCTCGAAGGAGTCCAGCTCATATTCAGATGAGGGAGAAGAGGATTCAGCTCTATAACGTTTTCGAGAGGAGGTGTGTTTTGTAGAAGCCTTCAGCTATGGCTTGGGTTATCCAGGTTTTAAGTTCTTTTTGAGGGGAACCTTTTTGGGATGTCTGCCACTTCTGACATATAGATGAGGCATAAGTTTTTACCCTTTAGAGCAGTCTTGTTGCAGGCCAAGCGGCATTCGTACGGCAGAATTAGACGAACAGACAGGGAAACACTTACCCGAATGCGAGCTGAGCCATAAGAACATGAAACTCCCGAACAAGGGATTCCACCGACCTATGAGTACACGAATTGAGGAAAAGGTAGGAAAAAGTAGAAAAAACTCCAGAATGAAAAGGAAAAAGGTCTATCTCCCAGATGCCTCTAGGTTCTGTAGGGGGAATATCAATAGGCTTCTGAATTTCCAATGGAGTCATAGTCCACAGCATGTGGTACGGTCATCCACATGACAGATTCAAATAACTAATTTGAATCTGACCCAGTTAGTCCTGCTCATGCAGGCTGTTTACTGGGTCCTCCAAGCACAGAGAGGCTGAACTGTGCATGGGAGACCCATGGTGCACATGGGAAGGTGGCCAAAAAGAAAATTGTTGAGGTATAAATATTAACCTGTCTTATCCGGTTAAGGACAGTGGTATGGAAGGAGGAGGGACCTTTTATGCCTCCAGCCTCATTCTCTCTCTTATTGCTTTATCCTGTCCTGATCTGGTTAGGGGTGGAGCTACCCATTAGTGATGCTGCCATGATTAGCCAGGAAACTCCATTTTCCTTGATACGAAATCTGAGTAACAATTTGTGTTACTGTGTTGTGACTTGATTTCGCTATTCTCTAGCTATACTTTATTTATTTTTATTGCCATTGAAATATTAACAAGTATCTGGTATCTTTATCTGTCTTAAGAACATGATTTTAATATAAACCCCTGCTGTGTAATATTTAAATTAATTTCTCTTTGGGCATTCCCACCATATGTGGAATAGAGTGCCCATAGGCTGATTACACCTCCAGTATATATTTAAAGTTGCTTTATCAAACTTACTCATACAGTGAGGGTCCAGGTACTATGTATCAGTTTATAGAATGTTTCCTGTACATTCACAGAGTGAACCGATTTTGTAACATCCATCCAGGTTTTACACCAGGACTGCAAAGGAAACAGTTTATCAGTTTGAAACCTCGATTTTCATTAATGACATAAAGCTGCTGAATGGGGCTAAACACATTTATGATTCTGGAGTCACTGTCTAGTCACCGGCCCTAGGTGGTCACCAAAGGGCCCCTTTATGGTTATTCCTGCTCTGCCTTAGGTACACACTCCAAGATATCTGTGTAGGTACAAACACACAGACACATCCCTGGAAACACACACACACAACCAGAAATTAATTAGATCCATATTTTAACCAGCTTTTCATACCTTTTGGGTACAACTGATGCACTCTGGTTTGGAGATACATTTATATCTCAGCCAAATTGGCCACAGAATGATAAAGGGCTCTGGACCAAAGTATGTGATTTAAAGCCCTCTCACTTCACATCAAGATCCAACAAACAGGATAATGAGAATACAAGAAAGTCTTATTTACTATAACAAAACTTTATTTTGCAGTTGAACAAATAATATCCACAATTGTATGATATTTATTTATATATATATATTTATATATTTATTTCAACAATCTTTTCGACTGAAATGAAATAGATGCACGAAATAGGTCTATGAGCATTTTGTTTGCAGTGCAGGATTTGGACTCAAACAATACTTTGTAATGAAGGAGAAGATAAGCGTATTTATTTATACAGCTGCTGGTAACATGAGTCGAGATTACAAACGTAAGGCGTTAGAAGCACACTAGCAGGCAGTGAGAGAGAGCCACAACCTTGTTCTCACTCCATATCTTACCCGTGATCCAAGCTTACACCAGCACCCCAGAATATGGGAAAATTCCACATCCAATAATTAGTGAAATAAATAAATCAGTGTTCTCCCAGCCCCTATGCTGCCGCTGAACTCAGATGATTTGCTTCTGCATTATCTATGCAAATCATTCCACATCTGGCTCGGAGCGCTCAATGACCTCAACTTCTTATTTCTGTCCGTTCTTGCTGTCCACCTTTAGCCTGATAATGAGAAAATGGCAGGTGAACTGTGGCTTTTGTCACTGCTCAAAAGGAATTGTACTCAAGACTATTTGCACCACTACAATGATGTAATGACACAATAAACTGTTGTAGTTATGGTGCTTAAAGGGTCCCTCTAAGGTAGGGTGCAATAGTAAAAGAATCATGAAACCTTATTTTCAGTTAGTACCAGAAAGGGTGTTTTAGAATGACACAAACAGGGTTACTCCCTAAACTGCAAATTCTATCATCGAAAACCACATAACTGATAATAACAATAACTGATCTGTAAAAATGCTCAGAATCAGACGCTGTCCTAAATTGGCTAATTTAGACTACGTTTACCAATTCAGATTAAGCCTTGATTTAAAATGTTTGGATAAACTTTTAAAATGAATATTTAAAAAAAAAAAAAAAAAGTGTTTTCATATTTAATTATATACATGATATTTTTATAGATTATTTTTAAAAAATATTTGAATATTTCAAAAATCGTATCCATAAAGACTAATATAAAGCCTTAATTGGCTAGAACGTAGAGTGTCGTTAATATCCTTGTGAAAGCAACCACAACAGGTGGTTTTAAAAAATAAAAAATAAATCTCCCCCATAAATTTGAAAGGCAGAAAATATTTTGTGTTAATATTTCAAAACAGCTATCATCTACAAAACATGAGCTAACACATTTAATAAAATTTATCTCTCGTTATCAACACAGCTAACAATAAGTAACAAAAACTATAAAAAAAAAAAAAAAACAGCTTTCTTGTAATTGATTCAAGTGAAAATAAATCACAGATTTTTTTGTCAAATGCATTTCTGAACAGGTAGAAACTGCTACATTCAAGTAATGAAAATTGAGGAGAATATTTACTAAGTTGAAAATAATAATTCATAAAAGAAAGTTATATAGTTTATAAAATACGCCAAAACACAAAAATAATTACCTCGACTGAACAAAAAAGAAAAAGATGAGGCTTAATCACATTTTGTTGGATTTTAAAATACAATATTTTATGTTTTTTTAACATCGCAATAAAAACAGTTTCTAATAAATAAATCGTGGCTATGCCCAATTAAAAAAAATACTCAGACAGTGTGAATTCTTGGGAATTCAAATTGAATTAGGAATTTGAGGCCAAAATAACCGAACTGGAACAATTTGGCTGTTTTTGGCTTGACTGTTTGGGATTCCATTTTTAATTTCACTTTTAATTCCTGACGATTCACGATTAAGTAAATAACCCTACACATTTTTTTTTTTAATATATTTAGTTTTGATTAATACTGGGGTCTATTTGCTGGTAAAACATGCCCAGTTTGTCTAAGTTTCAGGTATATTTCAGGTATAGCAAACAGTGACTTGTCAGACATTTATCAGAGAATTGCAAATTTATGGTCAACACGCTGGAAACATAGCGAACACAGATGACACATTTTCGAATTTTGATTATTTTGGACTAAAGGTTTTAATTCCACAGCAAATGTTTATTCAATAATCTTATTCCTATAAACCCCACTTTTAGGCCCATTTTGTTTGTGGATGCTAACAGGTTCTAACACAAAATAAATTTACTTTAGGGGGTAAATAAGCCATAACCAATCTCTGCATTATACTACCCTTCTTTTAAGACTCAATGTGTGGCTGGGAGTGATAGGAGTTTAACAAGTTAGGTATATCTCAAAATTAACAATCTATTTAAAGGACCAGAGAGAGGATGTGATTAAAGTTCAACTTACAGAGCAGTAGATAACAACTTCTAAAACAAGTTAACACCTGATTGAAAAGGAACCCAATTTATTTTCATTCAGGCTGTGTCAATCAAAGCCAGGGGAGGTGTTGCTAGGACTGCATCGACAGAAACAAAAGTAATTTAACTCCTAAATGGCAGATAATTGAGCAGTGAGGCTGAAGAGGCATGATCTATACACCAAAACAGCTTCATTTAGCTAAAGTTGTTTTGATGACTATAGTGTCCCTTTAAGACTGAACAAGTGATAAATTTTATGATGATTTGCAAACTGTTGTTAGAAACCAATAAACCCACACAGTGACGTCATTTTGGTGATACGTTGAAGGCCATGCTGGTGTAATCTGGCTATTTAATACAGGGGGATAGAGAAAGGAAACTAATTTATCATCATAAAGCACAGCAGAATAGGTTTGCGCTATATACAGTAACCATTCTAGAAGCCATTTATAATGTGTTAGTAGTTTTGTGGTTTTGGATAAACAGTTACAATCCCACATGTATGGGGGGAGGTTTATCAAAGTGTGATGCTCAGAATTCTTTTTGCATAATACTAAAAGTAGGGCAGTTACCATGGAAACCACAAGGCACGTGCCAATGGTGACTCCTCCCGCTTACATGAACCGCATTAGAACACTTTGATAAATCTCTCCCAACAGTCAGAAACAGAACAAACAGCCACCTACATTTAAAAAAAACATATTATAGGAGGATATTTGTGATGCCATTAAAATAAACTATCAAACAGAACATTGAAAATCGCTATATAAAAATGTATGCTTGGGACATTTAGCTAAATCGTCTGCTACATGGAGTAACTAACGACAAGTAATGAACACAATATCTGGGCGCCTTAACTGTTGGAGGGGATAGTCTGCTCAACACTTGCAGGAAAAACTAAATCAAATACAAGCATTAGTGGGGGCTATATAAACTTTGGAGACATAAGTGATTAGCACCTTACAAAGTACAAAAATGCCCTTAAATGTAAATAAAGATACATTTATACATAAAATGCATGAAAAATATATGGGGAAAAAAAAATCTTAAAACCTATATATACACATACAAAAACTTATATAATGAGAACTTTAAAATGCTGCAGGTCATTACAGCAGAACTATTTACAACGTCAAAGTGTCATTCTAGTCCCTTCCTTACAATAGGGGTTCAGCTGTGTAACTATTCCTCATGAATGCAGGAGACGCTGTGTACTATAACTCTCATCACTGATGAGAAATTTACTCCCACCCACTAGGAGCATTCTCTCTCTGTCCCTTTGCCAACATCAGTAAGCAGGAGACACATTTTCACCCCAGTCCCTGAAAGTGACTCAGCTGATCACTTATGGTGAACCGGTCACGAAAAGTTCACTTTTATGCAGATTTGCATTGCATAGAGAGTTATTAAGAATCCATCACTACCCTCTCCAGCACTGTTTTGTGGGTATTAAAAGTAATTGAATGTAGAACCAGCTCCACTTTCCAAAGGCCTCAAATAGGACATTTTGGAATTAGAATTGAACTGCTAACCCTAGACACTACTTTCAAAGTTCCTTTACAGAGTTGAAATAGGTGGGGGGTTTTTTGCTTGAAAACTGAGCTCAGAATTCATTCATATTTTACAATTGGTGCTCTACATCCACTACTTTGCTTCCACAAACCTTTACATTCTGTTATCACCTAAAAGTTACATCATCAACTACCGCTGGAATGACCTTACCCACTGACTCACCTTGCTCTCATCCAACCTTCAATGCCTCTTTGTCACTTTCAGCTACCTTATGAACCTTTAAATCTACTTGTCATCCTGTACACACAATCTAGCCATTTATTTCAAGAACAGGATGTAACCCAGCAGACACAACTTTCCTCTCTATGCTAATGCATGTTGCATTAACGCCTAGAATTCTTTTGCCTAATCTCCCTCCTCAGGTAGACAGTCATTTATTTCCTCTTCCTATTTACCCTCCCCAGCATACTCAGCAACCCACCCACCGTGAAATGACTCTCCTTTACCCTAGTCCAGTGGTTTCCAAACCAGTCCTCAAGGCACGCCTACCAGACTAGAATTTTGGGATTACCCAGTTGTGTCAAGGTTTTTTTCTTTCTAGAAACACCTTAGACACAACTGGGTAATCCCTAAATCCTGGACTGGTTTGGAAACCACTGTCCTAGTCCCATCTTTCTTACATTGCATTTGCCTTTCTAGGGGAATTCTTGTTTTACCCTTGAAACATGTTTTCCTAACACCTAACTTAAAGTACTTGATAGCAGACATGTGTCTTTGTTTTCGGACCAATTAAAAAATAAATGAAACTTTTGTTTTTTGTTCATTTCATCCAAAAAGTAATAACAAAATAACAAATGACTTAACGGGCCGCTGTTCTTCGTAAATGCATATCCACGGTTAGGGGGTAGTTATGACTGTTGTATTTGGATTCATTCATTTCCATAGAGAGAACGGTTGTTCAAAATTAATAAAATAACATTTTAATTGAATTTCAAATGAACAGAAAATTTTCAGAACAAACAAAAAATGTCTTTCAGTGCACATCTCTACTCGATGGAACTATGAATCTATCACCTGGACATTCATTTATTTTCTTTTACTGGAATGTTCTTCTGGATCAGCATTAGTCTGGTATCTTGGTATCTTGCTCTACTACTGGGAGGGTTTTAATGGTCTCCTGATCTCTGCTAAATCCAAAAGGGGTTTACCTACTAATTCTGGACCTCTCAGTCAGCATATATTAATCATCTCCTTCAACTTTCCCTTCTCAGTCTCCATAACTTACTTGGACCAGTCCCTACTCTTCACCTCTTTCCTTAGCAAGACTTTACATTATCTTTTGGTCCAAATGATATCTGCCATTGTCTGACACATTTCAAACTACTTGCCTGAGGTGTAAGATGTAACAATAGATTATAAATTATATATACATAGAAATACATACCACCCCAAGCCCTCTAGTATTTCACTCACCTGTGACAGGTTAAAACAGCAGACAAGCAAAATGTTAGATTCATCTTCTTACAAGTAGCCTGTCACATGTAACTATCTTCTGAAAGTTTAGGAGTAGTTTCCGGGGCTGCTATCACCATAAAAATCCCATCACGTTTTATTAAAGTGCGCAATTTTAACAATATTTGAAAACTATAAACAAAATCCATTTGGGGACAGGACTTCGCTGAATGAGAAGGTGAGAGGTTTGAGTGTTCCATAATTCAATAAGATCTCTCCTGCCGCTAACTGAGCACAGCAATCTCTGGCTATCATGCCTTCAGCAATCTGTTTCCGATTTCCAGAGGAAGTCAAAAAAGTTGGAGTGAATTCAGTCTCATGGTCAGGTCTTACTGTCAAAATAGTTCCCCCCCCCCCATCTCCCATCACACATATTAACCAAAGTCAATAGTTTTAAACCTTTATCTTTAATGTGCCTTCAAATTGTCCAGGTGCTTGGCATGTCTATTTAAGGTAGTGGAATGGGCCAGGACCGGCAGTCTTAACTGATAATGATGTAAAGATATAACTCATCTGTGCCATGTACACTGAAATTTGGATCATTTTCTACAAAGACAATATGTACAAGACATGGGCGGTCGTTTAAATCAGGAACCTTAAAAGGGTTACTCCAGCCTGAATGAGTACTTCTACTTTTTTTATTCTACTTTGGACATGGTGGTAGGAATCTGTATGTGCCGCATTTCTGCTTGGAACACTGCACATTTAAAAACGTCTCTGCACCCGCGCCACACATGATTTAAGCAGCCCCATTCTGTTCCGAGCTGTCGTCCCTGTGCACTGATAAACATCTGCTTCTATCCATGCAGAGAGAACTATGAGAGCACCTGCAAGGTGAGCAATATGTCCCCTCTCTCCGCACCTTGTGTACGTTTGGTTTTATTTTGCTTAGGGGCATGCACACTCAGAGGAAATGAGTGATGCAGTGTGATGGACGGGGCATGGAAATGACAGAGGAGAACATCGCCTGGATTCAAGGTAAGTTTTACATTTATTAAGGTTTTCAAAAGAAATAAAGGGGCCAATAATACCCAACAAGGTATTATTCATTAAACTAAATTAATACTAAAAAGAAAAGGTTTGGAGTATCTACCTAGCTATTCTACTGAAATGATCACTGCCCTGGATGATATCTGTAGAGCAAGACATGCTGGAAGATCCTGGAGAGGTACAGTTGTCAGGTCGGCCCTGGATACCGGAATAAATAGCGAGGATGAGAATTCTGATAACAGAAAAACTGCCACGCTGTAATATAGGATCTTATTATTTAAACATATCTGCACAGTCTCACGGTTATTGATTACCACATATTGCAAAAAACATTTTAGAAAGCTTTTTATAATTTAGAAAGCTGATCTGTATGTTCCACTGTTGCATTGCTAAATGAATGTCAGTTTATAGAATCTCATTCCCAGTCCAACTTTTCGGCTTATTAATGCAGCGCCAAGTGTGGGCACTTTTAATAATGCTAGTAAAATGCAGGGGCATTAAATTTAGATTTTTCCTCTATGCCATTGGGATACAATCCTTTTACTTACTAACAGCATGTGCCCATGTCTGCAAAATGTTTAAAGTTTTTCAGTGAACACGTGGAGCTCTCTGCCCCAAATACAGGTCTGAAAACACTGCGTTTAATGAACAGAACCCAATCAATATAACTAGATGTATCTACCAACCCAGTGTATAATCAGTTAATAAATTGATCTTATTGGAAACTGGATCATTGAAGAATACTTATTTACACACTTTATTTTTTTTTTTCTTTTAATCAGAAGTATATCCACATGTCATGGTCTATATGAAGGCTGTACATATAAAACACATCCTTTTTATTTTAATAAAAATTCACATTTTTTTCAAGCAGTGAATGTCTTTACTGGACCGCAGCTGAAATGGAAGATAGAAAGGCAGTGAGTAATTGTTTTTTTCCTTAAAGCAGCATGGATGCTCTCTTAATTAAACTAATTAACCCCTTGAGTGGTTGAGGGCAGATGCTAGGTAATGCAAACTTGCCCACCAGCACACAGAGGGTTTAAAGTGGATTCTAACCTGTTCAAACGTGTACTAATTAAAATGGGTAATAGATGAACAGATTACATATTTCCAAAATACAAACTCCAGGTTCTCTGCGATTAGCGTATGTCTACGGAGCTTTCTGTGAACAGAGTCATTCCCTCTCTCTCTCATACACAGGGAACACAGTGGCACAATGACTGGCAGATTTATGACCCGATAATGTTTTGTTTTGAGTGGTTACTAAATTTACAACTGGCACATAAATAAGAAGATAAGCTAATTCCAATCGGCCTGTGTGCAACTAATGGTGTCTAAATTCAGACATGGAAAACAATACAGTAACATACAGTCACAATGCGGAGCCTGTCCTCTCCCAGACACACACAGCCCAAGTCTAAATGGGACAACACAACTAAAAACAGGATTTCACACTGCGGCCAAATACAGCCTGAAACAGAGGAAAGGAAAGATGCAGCTTGTGTGCAAGACGACGAGGAAAGCTGCCCCAGATATGGACATGTTAAACAATAAGAAATACTTCAAGAACAACAGAGAGCAAAATCCAGGACCACAAACTGCAGAGAAGGGATACCAGGGTGTCCCACTGACAGACACAAGCAAGGAATTAATTACCCAGAATGCAGCAGGATTAATCAGTGTCCCCTCCATTGTTATCGGAATATCAAGGAGGCTGTAAGAGGGGGTGATGTCTAATTAATCAGATCTCAAAGTCACATGCCTCTTCTAAAGGATCATAATAGGGACTATAAATACAGACTTTTAGTACTATTAATCACCTCAGCATGGGTGAAAAGGTTTCTTTGTTAATTGCTCTTTCTGAAAAGGGCTATCTATGGTTTTTGCCCAACCAAAGTCCCCTCTAGCCACCATCTATTTAAAGGTGGTCTCAAAACGAAGCTGGAAAGCATTTTAACGTCAGTCAGGGTACCAAAGCGTTTAGTTGCAAATAAAATCAAAATGCACATAAAAAAATAAATAAATAAATAACTGGCTTACCACTTCATGCAGAAATATATATATATAGGTTTTTAATTTTAACAAAAGAGGTTGTTTGTTTATAAATGTTCCCTTTAAAAAGTAGAATGTAAAGGTAATTTTTGTAAGGAACCACCTCTCCACCAGAGGGCACACAACCTCATGCAATTAGTGAAATGATAATGGGAGATTATGCTGCCATTCACACTGGATATCCCTGTACTAAACAGTTCAGAAAGCCAAACCAGACATAAACTCAGTACTTAGAAGGAGGGGAGGGGGGAAGAGTCCTCTAGGTTGATTAAGTCAGGCTTTTGTAGAAAATTATTTAGGATTACTTTCCGAGGGTGGAATTTAGAAACTGATTATCCCATAATGCATTGGGCCTACTGTGAACTAAACAGGTTTCATTCATTAATGCCACAGCTTTACAACTGCACAGAAAGTCTCTGGGAAATGAAAAGCAGTATACCCTGGGTGCAGACAATAGGGATAATGGGAATTTCAAGCCTTGTTTGCAGTGGATGAAAAGCATTACCTACTTATCTGTATGCTGCCATAGACACTTGAGTTACCTAGATTTGAAATGGAAATTCAGCCTCGATGGCACACAAACTGAGAGGAACGAGGATGGAGTAGGGGGGCAGGTTCGTGGCACAAAAGCAAAGTTACATAAATAAATCTCATTCTGTTTGTTCAGAGCAAAGCAGGAGCTGAAACTTTCTTTAAAAAAAGTTGTTCAATGCATGAGAAATGTAGAGTTTCAGAAATCTATTTTTCTTTTGTTTGTTTCAACATAAAGTGCAACAGTGCTGAAGTTTCCAAAGTCCATCGTTAACTCCTTGCTCGGTTCACCAAAACCTCTTAAGCTGAGTGAATTGGCGCTCTCCACGACGTCTGTTTCTCTCCGATCCCTGCTGCGGGACGGAATTTCTGTATTTGTATCCTGACTTCTACGTACTCCTCATTTTATGAAGTGATGCTTTTTAAAGGTTTAACAATTCCTTTTTCGTATACCTTCAAGATTGCTTCACAGACAAACCGGTACTGGCTCTGGGAATGAAAAAGAAACAAGGATAAGAAATTCAACAGAGAAACCAGGCAGATTCTGTATGTCAAGCGATTGAATGTTCTGAAATAATATGGCCTTCCCATTATCAGAACACATTTCAAACATAAACAACAAATGCACTAACTGACAGACCACACAATATTAAAATACAATAGGTCAGTAAGGCTGATGCATTGCCTATCAGCCTGGTAGTAGAATACATGGCAATGCTGCTCATTGAAGAGGGCAAAGGGAGAGAGTGTGTGAGTGAGTGTGTGAGTGAGTGAGTGTGTGAGTGAGTGTGTGTACACTAAATTATTCTTATTATTACCGGAGTCTGGATCATCATTGCCCTCTGGTCTCTCATTGTCCTGACAATATCCAGGGGGTACACAGCTTGGTTACACTCCATCAGGCACATTGCCGTCTCCATTGTGATTAAAACTCCTGTCCGACCAATCCCAGCACTAAAACATAAAGAAAGCAACATTGGCAAAGGAGCAAATAATAGCAGCTCATTGCAGAACATGTACTACTTGCTACAGTGATGAACTGGCTTCAATTCAGAGGTGGCACTGGAAAAAGAATAGATGGAAAGGGGAAATGGGAAGTAAGTAAGTGGAGTCCCCATACTGCACCTAGGCAGTATCAGTCGCACGTGGCTCTCAGGATCCTGCAAGAAGTCACAGGACCTTTCGATTACAAGCTAGAACAGTACAGCATGAATCTAGTATTGAGTTTTTTCCTAACCTCACGCGGCACCTAGTAACCCGCAGAGTACTAGATTACACTGCCTGCTGCTATAGTACTGTAAAGTGCTGCGGGAAATGGTGGTGCTATAATAATAGTAATAGGAATATAACAAACGCTTTACTGGAGGATTCACCCAAATAAAAGAATCTGTTGGAATTAGAACACTATGCTAGCTGATTCATTCTATGATATGGTATGTTAATGGCGTCTGTGCTCTCATTATAAATGGCCGGTACCGCCCCAGTACTGAACGATAACTATTGTGACATGTTACAAGTCTGTAAAGGTACCTGCAATGGACAATGACTGGCTCATTGTGATCAGATCTCTTCTGCCGTACAAGGCACACAAAGTCCAGGAAGTCACTAGAATCATCTGGAACGCCATGATCCGGCCACGCAGTGTACTGTATCTGGGTGAGTGCCCGGCTTTCGCTTTTCTAGAAAAAGACAGACATACTGAAAATGGGAGAGGGGAATTCTACTCGGTAGAACATCATTAACCCCTTAAGGACACAACTTCTGGAATAAAAGGGAATCATGACGGAATATTTCCATCATGTGTCCTTAAGGGGTTAAAGACATATCAGCAACAAGCGTGTAGTGAACCTTTTCTGGTAAATACTTTAATAAAGTTATATTTGTATTGATTTACAATCCTGGAATAGCAGTAATGACTATCTGGTATAACTTCATAATGTGTAAAATGCTTGCAAAGTACCTCCAAGTTAGTCAGTGTCATCTCTCGAAAAACATAAGCTGGATTCCCATCTTCCGAATGGCAGGTTATTTGGAAGTTCCCGAACTCAGACACGACCAATGTCTCGGGCCAGTACTGATGGCATTTTACCTTCAAGGACAGAATAAACTCTAGAAAGATTGCATCTCAAATATGATATTGTACAACAAATGTATGTGTTCAGTGGGAGATCGCATGTTGTCAACACATTTGTTTTTCTGTATTTTTAAGGAAGCGAGAAGTTCCCATTTGGCAATGATTTAAGGGATAGAAGCTCATTATACTTAGGAAAACAACTCCAAAGGAACACAATGTACTAAGGTAGATAGGACAGGCCTGCATGGCAGACGTAAAGTAAATATATTATGATGTAATCTGTTAATGTTACATTATGACTTTAATATGGAACTATATCAGGTAATAGGTCCCTGCTATATTATAACCCCAATAAGGGATTATTAGATTAGGTAATCGGTTAATGTTACATTACAACCTTAATATGGAATTATATCAGGTAATAGGTCCCTGCTATATTATAACCCCATTATTAGATTAGGTAATTGGTCCCTGCTATATTATAACCCCAATAAGGGATTATTATATGAGGTAATTGGTCCCTGCTATATTATAACCCCAATAAGGGATTATTAGATGAGGTAATTGGTCCCTGCTATATTATAACCCCAATAAGGGATTATTAGATTAGGTAATTGGTCCCTGCTATATTATAACTCCAATAAGGGATTATTATATCAGGTAATAGGTCCCTGCTATATTATAACCCCAATAAGGGATTATTATATCAGGTAATTGGTCCCTGCTATATTATAACCCCAATTAGGGATTATTAGATTAGGCAATTGGTCCCTGCTATATTATAACCCCAATAGAGGATTATTAGATTAGGTAATTGGTTCCTGCTATATTATAACCCCAATAAGGGATTATTAGATTAGGTAATTGGTCCCTGCTATATTATAACCCCAATAAAGGATTATTAGATTAGGTAATCGGTTAATGTTACATTACAACCTTAATATGGAATTATATCAGGTAATAGGTCCCTGCTATATTATAACCCCATTATTAGATTAGGTAATTGGTCCCTGCTATATTATAACCCCAATAAGGGATTATTATATGAGGTAATTGGTCCCTGCTATTATAACCCCAATATTATAACCCTGCCAATAAGGGATTATTAGATTAGGTAATTGGTCCCTGCTATATTATAACTCCAATAAGGGATTATTATATCAGGTAATAGGTCCCTGCTATATTATAACCCCAATAAGGGATTATTATATCAGGTAATTGGTCCCTGCTATATTATAACCCCAATAAGGGATTATTAGATTAGGTAATTGGTCCCTGCTATATTATAACCCTAATAGAGTATTATTAGATTAGGTAATTGGTTCCTGCTATATTATAACCCCAATAAGGGATTATTAGATTAGGTAATTGGTCCCTGCTATATTATAACCCCAATAAGGGATTATTAGATTAGGTAATCGGTTAATGTTACATTACAACCTTAATATGGAATTATATCAGGTAATAGGTCCCTGCTATATTATAACCCCATTATTAGATTAGGTAATTGGTCCCTGCTATATTATAACCCCAATAAGGGATTATATTAGGTAATAGGTTCCTGCTATATTATAACCCCAATAAGGGATTATTAGATTAGGTAATTGGTCCCTGCTATATTATAACCCCAATAAGGGATTATTATATTAGGTAATCGGTTAATGTTACATTACAACCATAATATGGAATTATATCAGGTAATAGGTCCCTGCTATATTATAACCCCAATAAGGGATTATTAGATTAGGTAATAGGTCCCTGCTATATTATAACCCCAATAAGGGATTATTATATTAGGTAATAGGTCCCTGCTATATTATAACCCCAATAGAGGATTATTAGATTAGGTATTTGGTTCCTGCTATATTATAACCCCAATAAGGGATTATTAGATTAGGTAATCGGTTAATGTTACATTACAACCTTAATATGGAATTATATCAGGTAATAGGTCCCTGCTATATTATAACCCCATTATTAGATTAGGTAATTGGTCCCTGCTATATTGTAACCCCAATAAGGGATTATTATATGAGGTAATTGGTCCCTGCTATATTATAACCCCAATAAGGGATTATTAGATGAGGTAATTGGTCCCTGCTATATTATAACCCCAATAAGGGATTATTATATTAGGTAATTGGTCCCTGCTATATTATAACCCCAATAAGGGATTATTAGATCAGGTAATAGGTCCCTGCTATATTATAACCCCATTATTAGATTAGGTAATTGGTCCCTGCTATATTATAACCCCAATAAGGGATTATTATATCAGGTAATAGGTCCCTGCTATATTATAACCCCAATAAGGGATTATTATATCAGGTAATTGGTCCCTGCTATATTATAACCCCAATAAGGGATTATTATATCAGGTAATTGGTCCCTGCTATATTATAACCCCAATAAGGGATTATTATATCAGGTAATTGGTCCCTGCTATATTATAACCCCAATAAGGGATTATTATATTAGGTAATTGGTCCCTGCTATATTATAACCCCAATAAGGGATTATTATATTAGGTAATTGGTCCCTGCTATATTATAACACTAATAGTGGACTTCTGCCCATTGGAGTGGTCTGGGTGCCAACTCCCACTTTTATAGACTGCACTAATTACCTTGCAGACAGCCACTAGAGGGACTTCCGGGTTCTTAGACGCTGTTTTAAGTGACGCAGGATGTCCTCACGCTATGTAAGAGTAATGCTTTCCTATGGGGAGGTCTAATACAACCCCATAGGAAAGCAATGAATCAATGTTTTTCTATGAGGTTTTAGCTGATGCTGGAGGTCCTCATGCCTAGTCGTCTAATGACACAGAAGCGCCTCTAGTGGCTGCCTGGCAGATGGCCACTAGAGGTGGAGTTAACCCTGCAAGGTAATTATTGCGGTTATTGAGAAACTGCAATAATGACAGTTGCAGGGTTAAACTGACAGGGGCAGTGCACCCAGACCACTTAAATGAGCTGAAGTGGTCTGGGTGCCTGTAGTGTCCCTTTAATAGGCCCCTGATGCACTATTACCCTAACAGGGTATTATTATATTAGGTAATAGGTCTCTTTTCTATTATAACTCTAATCGGATACTTTATTTGGTATCAGGTACTGTTTTATTATTCTAATTCTAACAGGATATTATGGTAAATAATAACCGTACCATTATGAGAAAAAACAAAAAACATAAGCTGTAAAGTCTACAGATAAATATAGTGTTATGTCTGAAATAAACTCTTACTCTTCCACGCTCCACTTGAGTGGTCAGCATCACTACCATAGACGAACCTTGCTCCCAAGTCATTTGCCAGAAATCAGGACATGTGTTGGGCAAAGGTCCCTGGCACGCAATGTACCTGTTGATTATGCTGGAAGAAGGTATTTCCATCTGCAGTTACACAAGAATACATACATTAAATAAAAACTGGTAGAGTAGAGAATTATTTTCACATGAGTATGCATCACTGGGAATGCAGCAAGGAAGTCATATTAAATCCCTGTACTACCTGATGCAATAATGAAGTGGCTTTGATCAGAAATGTTATTTGCAGCATGGAATCGCATGCTTTCAGCAACATATCTGACCCTGATTTTAAGATGGCTGTCCCCAATGTCAGCAGTAATTACACTCTAACTATAGCACGGTTATCCGAAAACATCAACATTAGGAAAATAATATTTTAAACAGACACATTTTCATTTTAATTGTTTTTATTCTAACTGAGGAGTCACTGAATCTATCAGGCATGTCTGCTTGTGTGCGGACTGATACCGCATTCAGAAAGACTGCTGGTCTGATGTGATGAGGAATGGGGGACAAGCTCAAGTAGAGCACTCCTGTTAGCTCAGTGAAAGAGATAGGAGACCAATCTGCTATTTGATTGACAGCAATGGAACACTTCATAATTTGAATTTTAAAGTACTGATTTCTGCGAGAAACTACATTTAAAATGCAAATAAAGTACTTTCAGTCAGCTGAAGGGCTTTGTGTGTGTGGAGCGGACCTTTAAGGAATCAAGAAGAAATTAATTTCCAACTGGAATTGCTTCCAGCAGCGTCCTTCACTTTCTTTGGGATCAATAGCAAAAATAGAGAAGGGCTGGGGTTGGAAAACGTGAGACTTTTTAAAACCAGGTTACTATGCTAATGTGCATTTTAGTACCCAGCTCAACCGTTTCTCATTCTCCGGAGATCCTAAAATATTTTGTATATGTAATACACAGTGTTATATTGTATATGTAATACACAGTGTTTTATTGTATAAGTAATACACAGTGTTAGATTTTATATGCAATACATGGGGTTTTATTGTATATGTAATACATGGGGTTTTATTGTATATGCAATACATGGGGTTTTATTGTATATGTAATACACAGGGCTTTATTGTATACATATACAACATATGAGGAAAAGGATATAGGGGTGATTATTTCTGATGACTTAAAGGTAGGCAGACAATGTAATAGAGCAGCAGGAAATGCTAGCAGAATGCTTGGTTGTATAGGGAGAGGTATTAGCAGTAGAAAGAGGGAAGTGCTCATTGTACAGAACACTGGTGAGACCTCACTTGGAGTATTGTACACAGTACTGGAGACCGTATCTTCAGAAGGATATTGATACCTTAGAGAGGGTTCAGAGAAGGGCTACTAAACTGGTTCATGGATTGCGGGATAAAACTTACCAGGAAAGGTTAAAGGATCTTAACATGTATAGCTTGGAGGAAAGACGAGACAGGGGGGATATGATAGAAACATTTAAATATATAATGGGAATCAACACCGTAAAGGAGGAGACTATATTTAAAAGAAGAAAAACTACCACAACAAGAGGACATAGTCTTAAATTAGAGGGACAAAGGTTTAAAAATAATATCAGGAAGTATTACTTTACTGAGAGGGTAGTGGATGCATGGAATAGCCTTCCAGCTGAAGTGGTAGAGGTTAACACAGTAAAGGGGTTTAAGCATGCGTGGGATAGGCATAAGGCTATCCTAATTATAAGATAAGACTAGGGACTAATGAAAGTATTTAGAAAATTGGGCAGACTAGATGGGCCGAATGGTTCTTATCTGCCGTCACATTCTATGTTTCTATGTTTCTAATACATGGGGTTTTATTGTATATGTAATACACAGGGTTTTATTGTATATGTAATACAAAGGGCTTTATTGTATATGTAATACACAGTGTTATAATGGGGATTTATTGTATATGTAATACATGGGGTTTTATTGTATATGTAATACACAGAGTTTTATTGTATATGTAATACACAGGGCTTTATTGTATAACTAATACACGGGGTTTTATTGTATATGTAATACACAGGGCTTTATTGTATATGTAATACACAGTGTTATAATGGGGATTTATTGTATATGTAATACATGGGGTTTTATTGTATATGTAATACACAGAGTTTTATTGTATATGTAATACACAGAGTTTTATTGTATATGTAATACACAGAGTTTTATTGTATATGTAATACACAGAGTTTTATTGTATATGTAATACACAGGGCTTTATTGTATAACTAATACATGGGGTTTTATTGTATATGTAATACACAGTGTTATATTGTATAAGTAATACATGGGGTTTTATTGTATATGTAATACACAGTGTTATATTGAATATATAATACACAGTTTTATTGTATATGTAATACACAATTTTATTGTATATGTAATACACAGGGCTTTATTGTATATGTAATACACAGTGTTTTATTGTATAAGTAATACACAGTGTTATATTGTATATGTAATATATGGGGTTGTATTGTATATGCAATACACGGGGCTTTATTGTATATGTAATACACAGAGTTTTATTGTATATGTAATACACTGTTATATTGTATATGTAATACGCATAGTTTTATCGTATATGTAATACACAGTGTTATATTGTATATGTGATACATGGGGTTTTACTGTATATGTAATACAAGGGGCCTCCTTCGTTCAGTGCTAAAGAAAATGTCCTGCATCCCAAGTATTGAGCAATCTCTCCACTCACATTGATATAGTTTGCATTAATGTAGTCTTCACCGTCCTTCAAAATGACCCGAGTGGCATCATCTATAACACAAGTAATGGGATCATTAGAAGGAAATATATTAAAAACAAATGTTAAAATAAATAAAACTCCTTAATGGCATGTGTATTTCTTTGTGGTTGTGAATAAATCCAAAGTGAATTTCAAATATAAGGTGAAAATAGCCAAATTGAAAAAAATTCTCTAAGTCAGCTACTCTAAATGTAAAATTCACTTTTAATTCACACTTCAGTGAATAACCCTGACAAAGTCACAGAGTAATTTTTTTCCTCACCCCCTCCGGAATAACATTTGTAGAATAACTCCGAACGTTCACGTTTATTCACAAAAGTGAGAATTGTTGGGAATTCAAAGGGTATTCTAAATTTAAAACCAAAGTATTCCAACTAGAAGCATAGATGGCTTTTCAAATACAGCTATTTTGGCCTTGAATTTCCAACAATTCTCACTTTGGTGACAAAATCCTATTTGACTGTTTGCATTTTTCTGGGAGGTAGTGTTCCCACTAAGTACGTCTTGTGAGACACAATGCAGGTTATAGAATTAAAGGACCACTATAGTGCCAGGAAAACATACTCGTTTTTCTGGCACTATAGTGCCCCCACCCTCAGGGTCCCCCTCCCGCCCGGCTCTGGAAGGGGGAAAGGGGTTAAAACTTACCTTTTTCCAGCGCTGGGCGGAGAGCTCTCCTCCTCCGATCCTCCTCTTCTCCTCCCCGTCGGCTGAATGCGCACGCGCGACAAGAGCTGCACGCGCGACAAGAGCTGCGCGCGCATTCAGCCGGTCACATAGGAAAGCATTCATAATGATTTCCTATGGACGCTGGCGTGCTCTCACTGTGAAAATCACAGTGAGAAGCACGCAAGCGCCTCTAGTGGCTGTCAATGAGATAGACACTAGAGGAAATAGGGGAAGGCTTAACCCATTCATAAACATAGCAGTTTCTCTGAAACTGCTATGTTTATGAAAAAAATGGGTTAACCCTAGAAGGACCTGGCACCCAGACCACTTCATTAAGCTGAAGTGGTCTGTGTGCCTAGAGTGGTCCTTTAATAGAGGCTCGGTACTTGATATGCCGCTAATGTAATTAGGAGAGCAAATTCATTAATTCGATTTGTGAAGGGACCCTACTAAGAGCTACATATCATCTTATTGATTTCACTGCTTTGTGATACAGAGATCTATACAGATTTCACAAGTAGCAGATTAGATTGGTCTTTTGAGGATATATGTATACACATCGTTAGCGTTCCTTACATGTACAGCATGAAATAAATCAGGATCAAACTTACAAGGCGAAATATCTCTGTATCGGTTTTTGGGAATATTTTGAGGTAATTTGGCACAAGACATGGTCATCCCAGGCTTCTTCCTATACAGTTGCTAGAAAGGAGTGGGAAAGAAAATTCAATACATATATCATCCAAAAATTGAGAGGTTTAAAAAAGTTTGGAGTGGAACAGGTGTTACATCTTACACCTTAGCCAATCTCCAAATATAAAATATTAATTTTGAGACTTTTTTTAACGCAGCAAAAGCTATGATACCTGCCCTCTGGAAACAAGTGGAGATCCCCACTAAGGAACAGTGGCTACATAGTTTAGAGGAGGAGATTAATTTAGCAGAGGCTACACAGGCCTCAATAATCGGCACAGGCTATAGGCATGTTGAACAGTGGTGCCCATGGAGAGAATATCTTGCGAGGGGAGAGTGCATTGATTGAGGAGATAGGAGGGTTGGGGGGTTTAGAGATCAGGGAGATGGCTTTATTCCTATTTTTTTTGTCTTATTTTAATTTATCCATTTCATTTTTTTTTTCCCATTAGGTATACTTAATAATGGAAAATTCACGTGGGCTACTAATATTCTACTTCATTTGGGCAATGTACCCACACTCCCTGAAGGAATACCCCCATGAAAATGGAGGGACATAGTGGCAACCTTAGGGTTTAGAATGGTTTAATTGGTGGGGAAATCCTATAGTTGTATACCAGAAATGGGTTTATGAATCTGTGTGTATGGTACACCCTACCATGGAATTAGTAATTATATATTTGACGTTGGAATGTTAGAGGTTTTTTTTTTTTTTTTTAGATTAAGGGAAGAAAGTAGTTGAGGCATATCTTGATATTGGGTGATGTGTCTAAGTTGATGCGGGGGACTTGTTCCCCATTTAAATAGTTTTATTAAATGACCAGCATTAAGTTACCTATTTTTGGTAAAGATATAATTGGCAGATGTTACCTTGTTAGTGTATAACTCAATGGTGATACCTCTATTGGTAACCTTTGTCATAGATGTGATAAATACCACACCTGTTATCTATTACTTACACTGCTTAAAAATGAACAATTGTGTGACTCTACCGTATTCACGAAATATTTCTGTTATTTGGAACTTGTATGCCCTACATTGCTGTTTTAATTTATATTATTTTTTTCTTTAAAAAAAAAAAAAGTTGGTTATAAAAAAATAAAAAAATAAATAAATAACACACAATAACCGCTTGGACAGTGTGAACGGTAACCATAAGATATTGACTTTCCGTACATCAAACTGTGCAAGGACCGTTCCATCAAGTAGACCCTCTGCCAGCTGTATCATAGATTCTCTAAGTGTGTCTTCATCAGAATGACCGCTGTCCACGGCAGTCTTCTCAGGGATGTACTGAAAGTCCGGCTCATTCTCCATCCTCTCCTCCACTATGTCATACACAGCTAGTAATGTAGACACAATCATTGTTATATACATTATATGATTATAAACCAAGCTCTCTATAAAGGTGACTAGACTGCTAATTTAAAAATCAACAATGAGCGTTAAAACAAGTGTAAATATCTGTTTATTGTAACCTCATAAAAACACAAACTTATAGTAAGGAAATAATACAAAGATTCTAAGATAAGAACAGATTACAATTTATGTTTGGAAATCAGCTGCATCGACTGGCTACAGACCTTCATGGATCAGGAAAGAGAACGTAAATGAAAAAAAATATGAACCAGTCTGTTTCTGTAAACACTTATACAACAATGGCTGGAAGCACACTAAGGATGATCAGTCACATCTGTGTGTGTCTCTGCACTTTGCGTTGTGTGAAATATTTAATTTCAGTCTTTTCTAGCTAATATACAGGTAACAATTAGCTTTAGCTCTGCATACTACAGTGACTACAGCTAAGTAGTGTTTTACAGCCATTTGGCACTAATGGTTTTTAAGAAGTCTGGGGTAAATCGTTCTCACCATTTGGCCGAACCAGCAGGACGAGTTCCCCAGAGTGCCGCTCACAGCTTGCCTTGATAAACATGACTACCTGGTCATGCGTGTGCTCTGATATGTCCCGTCCATTGATCAATACAACCTGATCACCTTCATTTAGACGAGGGACACACAGGTCAGCCTGCACAAGGGAGACAGGAGAGATATGCAGTGAGAAACGCTGATCAGTGTGCGCTGCAATATTTGCGACTGCAGAGAGCATTGCGGGAGCACACCACTTATATAAACCTTATAACTGAAGTGGACCATCTCGTCTACACATTATTAATGACAGATCTTTCTGTTACACTGCCAGTTTGATACAAAGTAGCCCACAAAAAACAAACTTGATGGACTGAGAGTCTTTTTTCAGCCTATATTACAGGAGAACAGATGGCACAAGGATTAACTCTTAATACTGAGAGATGTATTCTTGAAGTACTTACAGATGTTCCCGGCGCTACCCTTGACACTATAACCGGCATTTTCTGATCAAACCCTCCCTGCAGGAATTAAAACAACCATGAATTTCCTGCAACAAACATACACACTCCTAACAAATATTCTTTAACAAGCAAATAGAAGGGAAAGGTCATCATACTCTTGTGCTGTTTTCTGGGGGTGGAGGGTTTTACCAATAGCTTTTTAAAAAAATATATATATATATATATTTTTTTTTTACTTAGTGGGCAATGTCCAGGAAGATAATGCAGTGTACTGAAAGGTACACTGCAAAATTAGCAGATATCAGCTCACAAATAGACGTAAACTTGTGTGCACCAAAACATCTGTTGTAAAGCGTGACAAATACGGAAAACAAACAATTATCAGCTGTTTCACGCACATACTATGGAAATATCAGGAAATTAGTCTAAATCACAATTTACAAGACAAGACGAGCCTGTTCCTGCTCCTCTGCAAAGTTATTCACAACACAAGTAAGTAGTTTGTGGGTGGTAGCACCATTCAGGACACAGTGGACAACAATACAATACTCTCTATTATCCTTAACCCCTTAAGGACACAACTTCTGGAATAAAAGGGAATCATGACGGAATATTTCCGTCATGTGTCCTTAAGGGGTTAAAAGCCTATGTGCACTTACACAGGTGCAGGACAGTTTATGGATTTGCACACATTCCAAAACCCACTTTATTTTATTCTTTTAAACTGCTAGTCTTGTACATTTATAATGACATAAATCTCGGTACTATTCCCCCATTGTGTACCATGACTTATCTCACCTTCACATTGAAGCCAAACCGCCCGTTTTCATCAGGTCTCATTCTAATCAACACCAGATTGTCATGGGACACAAGGCCATTTGGCTGGAAAACAGAAAAACACTGGCGTTTGAGAAGATTATGGAACTATGACAGTGTCTTTTATATTAGGACTCTGATTCTATCTCTTGATACACTGTACAGATATGCACAGCTTGCCTGTGACACAGGACTGCCACCACGCAGAACACAGAAATAACACAAAAAAGAAACGACTCACTATGGATTTATCAGGACTCCACGGAGGATCGAAGCTTTCATTCACATGGTTTTCCAGTTCTTGTTGGGAGTGATAAATTTGGTTGGAACTGTTCTTCTTAGATTGTTTTGGTGGCAGCGCAGGGGGAGGAGCTTCAACCACATTGTCTTGGGATCTATTTGTGCCAGAAACACAAAGTCAAGTTTTTTATTATTTTAGAGGTACATGTAAATCATTTTGTTCAAACAATCAAAGACAATTTAACCTTGTGACCAATGCTCAGTTCAGCCCAGTCAGTTGAGCTTGTTTTAGATTCCGAATCTGCAGTTGGTTGGTCAGAAAAGACTCAGTAAACCATACAAAACAGATCAACATAGATGTAAACACCAGCAATCTGGTGTGTATTGCTGAAAGGGAGGGTAAATCATTTTGATGGGAGGCACAACTGGTCATCTCACTAATAATTCTGTTGAACACGAACTAGCAATTAGACCAAAATAAAACAGAAAAAATTATCACATAACGAAGAGCTAATACTTAGAGAGAATAGGAATAAATACAGTGACAACATAATACAAATAAAGTGCAAAATATTAAAATAAAACACTAAAACAGAGTAAAATAATAACATCTGCTAGTAATGCACAAAGTTCATGTCAAGAAATCATTAGTACCAAGATGTCTAACGTCTGATACAAAGAAACATATAATGTGAGAAAATGTAGCAATAAAATGTCAAACACTGAAGTGAAGGCTAATATTGTGTAAATACAGTAACACAAACACTTGGCAGCCATCCACCTCTCCTCCCTATCACATAATGCAATAGGATGGGGAGGAAATAAGATAGACGTGAGATAGGGTGTAATAAGCACCATTTTATTTTGGAATCAAAGTAAAAAAAACTAAATTAGCAAACTCTGTATTAGGTGCCACAAGATGAGACTAGCAAAAGCCAATCATAGCACAGGTGACTTACAGGTGTCACATTGAGAATTATGGCATATGCTGCAGCTGAGCACAAAGGAAGGCAAACTTTGGAAAGGGAGTTTGTTTAATGTAAACCAATAGTCAAAACTGCATAAAAAAGTTTAAGGTAAACCCTCACTTAACCCCTTAAGGACCAAACTTCTGGAATAAAAGGGAATCATGAAATGTCACACATGTCATGTGTCCTTAAGGGGTTAAACATATGTGAAAGCATCAGAGTGGAGGCGGCCATCTTGGAATTACATCACAAATTCCAAACGATTTGATGTGTAATGACATAAAAACAAGGCTACGGGGATCATGTGATGTCAGCAGCGAATCAGACAATTGACAATCAGCTCCCAGCATTTCAATGTGAAGAAAACATGAAATGGATCTTTGAATGCACTGATGAAGCTGCCCAAGGTTAGCGAGAAATTATTGGTTTGCTGCAATGATTGAAAAATGAGGTTCAATCAAAACAAAAAGCAATGTTTAGATAGTTATTAAAATGTTATATGATGCTGCACAGATTATATCTAATGGCAGGACCCCTTTACTCTGGCACTGGGAATAAATGATCTGAAATGCAGATTTAACTAATTAGCATTGACAATAAAGAATGAACAAACAAAATAAAATCCTAAAACCCTGCTAGATCTTTGACTCACAAACGAAGGTGACCAGCTGTGGTCTTTCATCACATGGTTTGTAAACCTGCGTGTGTGACCACATTAAAGAAAATACCACCAGCAAAAGAATGACTAAAAAATGCACTACATTTACAGTATGAAAGTGAGAAAATGCCTTTTTGCTTCTCTGTTGTCGACGTATTTTCCAGGGTGACAAGGAGTTTAGTTTTGCGCATTTGTTTTTTAGATATACTTTCTATGAAGTTATAAAAAGGATTGTACCACATCCTGGAGCCAGTTTCTCAAGCTGAGCGAAACATTGCAGGACAAGCGAGTAGCAAATATAGATCCATCAAATAATGTATATATCTGCGTTAGCATACATGTGGCTTTCGACTTGTGGAGGAGGTACAACGCCCTAGAAACGTAACCATCCAAAGATGCCCTTATCTACTTTTAAGAAGAAAGTTGAGCATCATGAGAGTTTTAGTTCAACCACCACAAGACCTGCCAACTGATTCCCACGGATATACAGACTATCCTGTCAATTCAAATAAAGAGCCCTAAGGCTTAGCTGGGAAAAGTTTCGTACACCGGAGTAAGGCTAACCAATGTGTCTACTGGAGACACCACAGAGTAACTTTCATAAAGTCGTTTCACTTTGGCTCAATTTTAGATCCCTTAATGTGTTTAGAATTGAATGTAAGCAAGTTACATGTTAAAGTTTTGGAGAAGTGCAAGTGAAAAAAACCTTCCCACAGATCGTATACTTTTACTCAGTATTTATATATCATAAGAAAGCGGGGGGGGGGGACAAATAGTACTCTGTGGGATGTTTTACGCTCTTTAAAATAGCTGTATTTTTTATTACTCAATTTTGCAGAGTCTGCCTTTTCTATGGGCACTGCTAATTTCTGGGAATCTATGGAATTTACTGCAAATGCAACAAGTGTAAACGTGTAATTCTCATGTATTATATTCTGAGTTGGTTCTTTTGGATCTTATTATCTAATGAATGGTCCGAGTATTGGTTCATTCAGCTTCCAAGCCGAGCATAAAATGCTTAAAATATCAGGCAGCTGGGGAGCCTATGAAATCTGTAAAAAGTGGCAATGCAGTCTGTGTTTATACAAATATTGTGCATGTGGGGAGTAAATAGTAAAAATCATCTTACAGAGCTGACATGTCTGCGGAGAGCTTTTTAAAGGTTTCACTATGCAAGCAGACAGTGCACAGCTAAAGATTTAAAAAAATAAAAACTATAGCCAAAAGGTAAAATGAAACTGCTGAGAGTGAGGAAAGCTGCAGAAATACCAGTCAGAAAAGCTTGGAAACATTTAATGCCAAGCCTGGTAAGAGAGATGGCTTACTGCGGAGAGTCCAGGATGATACTGTTAGCTTGGGTGGAGGACGGAGACCGGTGGTTAGCAAAGACCTCACCAGGAGAAGTGTGAATCATGTGGTCTACCAAATGTCCAACAGAAGAAGGGCGCAGCCGTGTTCTGTCTTGAGGGAACGTGGAATTTCGGCTATAAGAGAGACAGTAAGAAAGAGGTGCATATGGAATACATGACTGTCATTGTGTGGTGTGATGCATTTTGCAGACATAAATCCATAACCCATATAGAGCAGTGACTTACTGATTGGGGGTGCCAGGAGGAGAGCGCGAAGGCAGGCTTTGTGTCTCCAGCCTGTCGTTGGACAAGGAATTCCTGCTCACTACTTCCCAGTCCATTTCACTGCCTGGTTTTCGCGATAATGGTTTACTTGGAGATCTGGTTTAGAAAGAAAAATGGTTTGTAGACATCAGGAAGTATGTTTTCTGGTTCAAATGCAAAATTAGGCTTGTTAACTCTTTCATTACCAAGAAGATACATACACAAAGAAACTGCTGATCACTGCCTGACCTAGGGCCAAGTTACTTAAATCTGTGGTATGCGTACCTCTGAGGTTACACGCACCAAAGGCAGTAAGTACGCCAAGAGGTATTTTGCTAACGACCTTAGTTCCTCCTAGGAGGTGTCCAGCTGAGGGAGCTGTACTCTTCGTAGTCTTCCATCACTGCTCCATCGCGGGCCACTCCAGTCCTGGCATCACTAAACAGAGCGCAATGGAGCAGTGCTGCAATCACACAACCCCATACTGGGGACGCCAGGGAAAGGATCCACTCCAACTCTCCCAAAGGAAAGGGAGGCTGGGTACACAAAGAAGAAAAAAATAAAAATAAAATAAAAACTAATTTGAGAATGTGTAGGTTTCTGTCGTATCAGTGGGTGTCTGTCAGCAAGTGTGTGTGTCAGCGAATCTGTGTCAATGTCCTCTGTGTAAATGTGTATGTGTGTCAGTGTCATCTGTGTGTAACTATCTAATAGTTAATAGTCTAATACTATCCTTACCTTTTTGTGTCATTTTACCCCACTCCATCTAGCATGTAAGCTCATTGAGCAGGGCCCTCAACCCCTCTGTTCCTGTGTGTCCAACTTGTCTGGTTACAACTACATGTCTGTTTGTCCACCCATTGTAAAGCGCTGCGGAATTTGACGGCGCTCTATAAATATCATAATAATAATAATAATAATAACTATGTGCGTCAGTGTCCTGTGTGTAAATGTGTGTGTGTGTCTCAACGTCCTCTGTATAAATGTGTGTGTATCAGTGTCCTGTGTGTAAGTGAACTCTGTGCGTAACTATATGTGTGTAACTATTATGTGTATTTTCATTTTATGACTTTTATACTTAAGATTAATAGTTCATACACTCTTCCTTAAAGGAACACTATAGGATCAGGAACACAAACATGTATTCCTGACCCTATAGTGAAAAACCACCATTTAGGTGGCTTGCCCCCTCCACCCCCTTAGCACCCTCAGAATGGGTTAAAAGTTACCTTATTTCCAGCTCTCCACAGGTACACCGGCGCTGGCCCCACCCCATTGGTGACATCATCAAAATTCCCCATTCCCCTGGGGAAAGCATTGGATTGGCTAAAATCGGCAAGGGGGCCAAATGCTGTTTTTGCCAATCAGCAACTCCTCATAGAGATGCATTGAATCAAAAAATTCTGCGTCCCCATGCAGAGCGTGGAGACGGTGAACGGCAGGGCGGCCTACTGTGCAGCCCTGAGCCAGGAAGCCCCTCCAGGGGCCATCTGTGGAGTGGCCACTTGGAGGTGTCTCTAGTGGCAATGTAAACACTGCCTTTTCTCTAAAAAGGCAGTGTTTGCATTAAAATGCCTGAAGAGAGCTATTATACTCACCAGAACAACTACATTAAACTATAGTTGTTCTGGTGACTATAGTGTCCCTTTAAATACACAATATTCACATTGTGGTATATTTATTTTAAAACATATTCCTAACTACCTTTAATAAGACATTCTCCAATATAGGATAACGTACAGTGTCTACTCATTTAATTTGGAATGTAAATCAATAGAGATTACTTTTTTCGATTCTTTTTTTGTTTGTTTTACTTGCAAGGGTAGTTCTCAGTACAAGGTTGAAAAACACTGTTCTAGGGAATTTAACTTGCTTGGAACCAATTCCATTAAGGGGAAATAAATTAAAGCACATTACAAGGGAAACTCCAAGCACCTAAAGCAGTTTAGCTATCAGAAATGTTTTATATATGTAAACAATGTCTCCTCTTTTTTTCTATTTTACAAGCAGTGCAGATTTCAATAGAAATTGGCACTTTCATAAATGAACCTTGTTACACCCTCCTGGCTGTCAATCCTAAACAGGTCATGTTACTTCCTGGTTTGTTTAGATCAGTGGAGCAATTGCCCAGAACACCTGCCTTGCAAAGACGAGCTGGGTGGGGTTTAGAATCGGAGGTCTTGCAAAGGCTGCAGACAAGCTTGTGCACGCTATCTTTAGATATGAAAAATGCATAGTTAAATACATGCACATTTTCAGGCTATATCTACTAAACAGTGATTGCTATTTTTGTATTTCGGCAGTGGAGTGTCCCTTTAACTCCGCTTTATGCCAAATCTATTAAAGACTATAGCAAAGAGACTTGCTCTTTTCTATCTGGATCTCATCAAGGTTTGACAGAACGGTGTTTTCCTAAACTTGCTTCATTTATATATTGATGGGCAACACATAAACAGTGTTTCCTGTAGTAAATTTGGGATTATGTACAAAAAGTGTTGTGTCCAATTTTCTATCACAATTATTTTGTGCTGCACCTTTTCTGTCACTTTAGTTGTTGATTTGGGGTTTTCTTTTTTTGGTTCACGTGTCACTTTCAATGTAAAAAAATAAAGAGGTGTAATTTATTCTGTCACTGTCAGAGTGAAATGTTTTCAGGTAAGGAGCTTTCACGGTCTCTCTTTTTGCTCAAGGATTGAACACATGCTTCAAATTGTAAATGCGTCTTATTACTAGTAATATTACTCATTCGTCATTTTCTGAATGCAATGATAAAATCATCAAGAAAAAGGGTGCAGCAAAAAAAAAAAAAAAGATTTATAATAACGAATGCAAATGTACATACATATACACACACACATACAAACACACACATAAACCATCAGTCATTGATCAATGAGGAATATTAGAGCATTTAATTACAGCACTTTTAATATGCTGCCCATCAACATGAAATGTATTAAGCGTCCAACAGAACATGTTTCTGGCAACTCTATTCTTACCAATATCTTTCAGCAGTAATCTCTCTTCAGCACATTACTTTTTAGGCCTGAGAATAATACTGCACAGATATCTTGGACAATGGGTACTATATCATGATCACCTTTTTCATTTTCAAGCTGTAGCCTTTCCAATGTGAATCTTGCATATTTAGCATACGGAAAAACAGATTCTCTGCAGTTTGACCCATTCACAAATAAGAGACAATCCAAGCAACACGAAAAAGCCAGAAGGCATTAAAACGTTTGTAAAGAGGCAGCTGACACTCATTCTGACACTGTCTCGAAACCAAAAGCAACGAGACAAACAATATTCAGAAATCCATTTCTAAGAAAAGCCTGCTTTAACGTAATATTTTTTTTTCTGCTTGCTAAAAATCACAGGTGAAATGTACTCCGTCTAAGTAAAAAGTGCGCTCACAGTGACACGTATATCATCGAGAAACAAATCATCATTCTCAGCCCTGTTAAATAATCATTATTTTCTATATCCAAAACAATTCTGAGCAGACATTTCAGTTCCCCAAAAAGCACTATATTCTAAGAAAAGAAGTTCAGCGGCTAATTAACAATTAAAAGACACAAATTCCATGTTAACATGGGAGAAAGAACTGTAGCAAATGAACAGAGCTGCACGATGCCTAAAATTGCAATAAAGTAGCCCTTGGCGGCAACATGTTATTAGATGCATGCAAGTTGCAGGCACAGTTTTCTGTTGAATAAGTCTAAGTATAGGTAGCAACAGGCGGTTTATTGACACCAGTATCGGAACACTCACCTGACAAGCTCACAGTAAGATCAAAAGACAACCCTGGGCCATGACAGACGCAGCGATGGAGGCTCTAGATAATATTAGGTTTGTGCAAGTCTAATGAACAGTTTTGAAAGTAAGGGACCCACCCACTGGTGAATTTTTCTGTATTTCCTGTTGAGAGCGGCAACTGTTGAAAAACTCACCACAATGGTAAATATCTACCATAGAGACAGGCTGTCAGCCTGCATGATCTGTCACCAGCGAACTACAGAAGGACTGACAGTAGCAGCTAGCACTGCACATCCCCAAATCACTTTCACATCTATTTTTTACAAAATATATTGAGCAAACAAAGTGGTCATTCTAAATAGGTGTAAACCTACTACACATATCATTAGCTTATTAAGCACAAATATTCTTCAACAGTACAGAGATATAAAGAGAGTGCCTCAATGTGTCAGTGTTTGTGAGGTCTGAGTGTGCATGTGTGTGCGTGTTTGTGAAGTTTGTGAAGTTTGAGTGTGCATGTGTGTGCGTGAGGTGTGTGTGTCTGTAGAAGCATTAATCTTCTTGCCATCATTGATCATCTATTATAGGTATCCAAAAGACACTTCTGACTAAAGTCACATTTGCAGTCACCGTTTAAACAAGTGTGTATGTTTGTCATAACTTGCTTGAAGAAAGAAAAAAAAAAAAGAAAAACAAAGCCTGAATATATTTATCTTTTGATGTTAATTTGTCCCTTTGAGATTACACAGGGATCCTGAAGGCAGACCTCATTTATGACTGAATTTTACACTTCAAATCCAGTAGCACTAAGATAAAAAGGAATAGGGGGGTACAGCGGGTATTGCAGCACACAATCATGTTCACAATCAGAAGTGGGAGCAAGACATGGCTTAGGGGGTCATACCTGGCAAATACCCGGTCTTTATTGGCCTTCTCCTTCCCATACTGTACAGACTGGACTTCGGTCCTTCCACTGAAAAAGAAAAAGAAAACAAACTAAACCATGTGTAAACTGCTTCCCAATAATGGAAGCAATCAGTCACATAAATGGTTGCCTGATCTTTAAATTAAGGAAGAGTAACACGGCCACTAGACAGAGGGACTGTGGTCAAACCGGGACCTTATTACATACATGGTGGAGTTGCCTAAAAGTAGCTCCGATTTGGAGAGATATGTTTCAGCTTCTACTTCAAGTGACTGTGTACCCTTCACTCCTAAAGTGGCACTGCTCAGTTAAGTAACTAGTTTCCATAATCTTCTTGGGATGAAAATGCTGATCACTAGAAAATGGAAAGAAGTGGGTTCACCAATGAATAATCAGATCATTTTATTTTTGGACCAAATCAGGGAGAAAGAGAGCTAGACCCTCTCTCCTCATTAGAGAAAATACTAGAACCATATAAACTATAGGATAGCTTCCCATCCCTGGTAGTCTGTGGAGATTATGCTTCAAAAAATGCTTTCATTTTCTGAATGAGATACTTGTATGCAATCAATTCGTTTTAGGGTTATTGTTTAACCCTTTTATGTCATTAGGAAGGGTGTTCTGGTTTGCATTGCCTTTATATATGCCAATACAAGATGTGCAGATGCCTATTCCATCACAGTGACTAGACCTCTATTAATACAATTAGAGGACAAGCATTGGACTTTGTGATGTTATCGCACCATGCAATAACTTGTTTGCTTTCTGTACCCAAATTCATTTGCTCTTCAACAGTCACTGAAATTAAAAACAAATATATTGTTTTAAAAAATAAAAATAGTAAAGGGCAAGCCAATAGATGCACTAAAGTACTGTATTTAATTACATGTATTTTAAATAATACAAATGGAGGATAGAAAAAAAAAAATTCAACCTTTCACATTAAACAATTCTAAAACAAATATGACAGTTTCCCTTGTTCTACCTGTCCTTCAATCAAACACTTGGTACTTGGGTTCAAATGTATGTTTGGAATTATGAAACTATTTAACATTAAACATTTATTTGAGCTGTATTCGTTAAAGGGTCAGGTCTGCTACTCGGAAAATAAAATTAAGGTTTGTTATTCTAGAAGGTTTGCTTTCTAGACCGTGAATGCACACAAGAGAGCATGTAAGAAGGCCAAGATCTTGCCACAGTAATTTTTAGAAATGGACATGTTGCCAGCACACTTGAGCTTGTCAGCTAGCAGCGAAATATTCAACACTGTTATGAATGGAGAGAGCGAGTCTGCCGACTCTCGCAAGACACGCAGGTGGAATTCGATCTCCAACAAATGTTCGGCCTGCCCCGAGGACAGATTACTCCGGGGAGTAGCACTTGCTGACTTCACTCTCTACAGCATGAATTACCAATCTCAGAACTGCTGGTGCTTTAAGACTACACATCCCCTGATGTTCAGCCAGCCATCATACCCAAGAGGCTGAGCATCACAGAAAATTGAAAAATTAATAAAACTCAAATGAACACAGTGCGGTATTTTTCCAGGACAGCCAGGATTGCTATGAAAATGGTAATTAAAAAGATTTTGCTGGAGTAAAAGGGAAGCATTTAACTGCTGTGAGAGAGTTGAAAGCCACAAAGCAAGTAATGTTTACAGCTCAAGAACTTTGCAATGACCTGCTGGAACAACTAAAATCTTTTTAAAGCATCCAAAATTAAAATTTTATGTATTGATTAATGCAACAGGTCTACCTCAAGTTAATGGCTCATCAATGCCAAAATGCTACTACATAAACACTTAAAGCAAATGTTTTTTTCAACTTACATTGGGTGTGGGAGGGCACGAGGACCCTCCTGGCAACATAACCCCTATAGCAAATTGTAGTGGTTATGGTGCTTTGAGTGTTAGTTTAAAATCCAAAATAAGTGAAGAACTTGTTTTAATATGGCATACAATAATTCTGCACAATAATAAAAATGACAGTAACGACATTTCTGTGCGCTTGCTTCATCTAGCATCTTGACAAACTGAATACATCTGTGTTGTACTGCATACTTTATTCTCATTTTCTTACAATAAGGGCAAGCCAAAGTCATTGTTTGTTAGCTCTGATAGATCACTTACCAGTACCGAAATTTAGAGCCCAAAGTGAAATAATGGGAAAAGAAGTTCTTGTGTGGTGGCAGAGGCGAGTCCAGGCGGAAGAAGGTGTGATGTTCCACACAAGCCTTCCACATGTTCTTGCAGGCTCGATAATTCACCATATTGAATCCTAGTACGGTCTCTCTGTATTCATTCTGGAAAAGCAATCACAGCCACATTGCTAGCACATGCTATAAGCATAATGATATAATCTGGACATATAAAAACATCGGCCAAGTTGTTACACATAATGCCCACACAGCCCCTGTCTGTGACCTGGATGTAGCTCTTATGGTCAGTACAATAACATTTCCTCTATATATTTGCTGGTAATATCCCAGAACACGATGTATAGCTTAGAATTAACAAAATTAATAGTGAATTTGGTTACCACACGTTTACAGAAGGTTTTACTTACATAGCTTACCAGCCACGTGCTTATAGGGACACCATAGGCACCCAGACCACTTGAGCTCATTGGAGTGGTCTGAATGCATTGTCCCTTTCCCCTTAGTCCTGCAATGTAAATCATTGCAGTTTTAGAGAAACTAAAAACGTGAACCTCAAATTCAAGGCTAAAATAACTGAACTAAACACATTATTAAAGTCAGCTGAATGTCCAGTTTGGCTACTTTGGGCTTAAAATTTAAAATTCACTTGTAATTCCTTATACTTCTCACATTGGTAAATAACCTTTTAGTGTTGCGGTTGGCAGCTTTTGTTGCTATAAAGTTTTAACACATTATCCAAAAGCTTTTCAACACAGAAAATAACTAGTCTCTGTGTTTCATCCTGGAAGAGACTTAATCCTTTTAAATCACACTCTGTCCAGTTTGTTTTTTTGCGTTGCACAGTATTAACAGACTTGTCTCTCCTAATGCACTGCCAGTTTCATGAGGACTCTGGTTAGAGAATTGCAGAGTCCATTGGCAAACAGACAGTTAAAGAGATCTCTAGAGTGAGATAGGTGGGTGTAGAGTTAGCATCTCAAAACCCAGCAGGATTGCTAATCCTTTGGAAGCTTCTTCACATAATTGTCTTAAAACGCAGCATGCAGCAATGAAACAGCCAGACCACCTTTCAGCCACACAGTGCAATTCTGCTAACTGCACAGCACTCACAGAATCCCTATCAAATACTGATCAGCACTCACAGTATAAATGTACAATACCTTATTAGGGGATATGTTTATGGCCTCTGGGACCAGCTTAAAAATATCTAGAATGTTTGTGTACACCAAGCAACAAGTCTCACTGCTCCTACATAATAGGCTGACACCTCTATCTATTTTATAAGTTTTGAGAGTTTGGGTAAACCCTGCCCCATATCTTTCGTCAACACATAATGTACTACTCTACAGTAAGCTTCATTCAATGTTCTTATTTTTACAATTTATATTTTTTTACATCTCCAAAAAAAAAAAATGCCCCTCTTTTGGTTGTACAGAGAGACTCTCCAAGATAAGAGAGAGTGGAAAGGATAGGAGTTGTGTGCCAGTTGAGGTGGCATGATCAGTTGTGAAATTAAAAGCATACACAAAAACATTAGCTAAAATACTCACCAGTTCTTTTCGTAGCTGAATGAAAAATTGTTTGCACTTGAAAGAAATTTTTACAATCTTCAACCTTGAAGTAAACAAAAATAAATTATGTAAAATATCAGACTGAAATAAAGTATCATAAAACATTTGAATGCAGAGTATAAAATTTTCAATCATATAAATGGCATTGATGTCGATTACAGGGATATACCTCTCCCCACACTATAAGGGTTAATAAACACTTACCGTACTTACCAAATTGTAGAGCTGATGTTCCTCGGCGCTAGGTCGGCTCTCTGCCCCCTCCGATGTCACCCGATGCGGGGTGCTAAAGATCATGCGTGGCTAATATCGCTAGCGCACTAGGCATTCCCCATAGGAGGGCCATTGCTGCAATGCTTTCCTATGGGTAATTGACTGATGCCGGAAGACCTCATGCAGCACGTGAGGATGTCCAGTGTCAGTTAGGAAACAAAAGTTGCCTAACCACTAGGAAGTGCCTCTAGTGGCTGTCTGATTGAAGAGGTAGTCTTAACTCTGCACCCATTGCAGGGTGAAGGGGACAAGGTCACTGCACCCAGACAACTCCAATGAGATTAAGTGTTCTGGGTGCTTATAGTGTCCCTTTAAGCAAATAATTAAAAAATTACACAAATCTGTTTCCCCCCCAAAATAAATACAATTGAGTTATTAACCACTGAAATGAAAATAGAAAACAAAAACACCAAAGCACAAGGAAATCAAATAAATATTGGATACATGAAAAAAAAAATAGCAAAATGAGGACTGCACTCAACCACAAAAATAAATGTTAACATACGCTAAGAATGCCAAAATGATATCATTCAAAATTACCATAGATGACAACTTTGGCGCTGTACCTGTAGCGGAGTGCAGACAGTCACAAGATGGCATGTATCACTCCCACAGCGCTATACACAAGCCATTACTGCACTGTAGCATACAGGGGTAAATTAAGCTTTTCTACGCCAGTCATACAGGGTAGGTAAAGCAAAGTTCCCCCGTTGCCTATCGTTATGCTCCAATTACCTTTAATTCCAATTCATCGTGTTACAGGAGGGCACAGATGTAGCATACCCTTGGACTTGGCCTATTTTTCATTTTGCTAGCTATGTTCAGTGACCTTCACAGACTAATGCGTAAATGTTCATTTACACAGATTAATATATTCTTATTCCTTGATTTGATTTAACCCTTAAGCTTCTGTACCCAGATGCAAGTAACCAGAAACATTAGGGAGAGGAAAAAAAGTGGATTCAATTAAAAAAAATGGTTTAATATAAATATAGCCATTTTCCATTGCACAATGAAAGGTTATAGCAACCCTGCAAAAAGACCAAATTTTACTGACCGTAAATGTATTTTTCCTTAGGATTAGAGGCAGTGCACAACAACAAGGATATTCACCATGTCTGGGCAGGAAAAGGAAGGCAAACTAAAAATATAAACGTTAAGGTTTGCCTGTTATTCCTCCTCACATGGCATAAACCCCCCGAACCAACTTTGTAACCCCAGAAAATACACGAGCCAAGTAAAGGCAAATATAGATTTATTAAATAGGGAGTAATATGTGCACTGCCTCTAATTCTAAAGAAAAATTAAAAATTTTTTTTAATCTTTCCAGATTAGAGCCAGTGCACAACAACTGGGATGAACAAGGAATATCTAAAGAGCAGGTAGAAATCATTTGGCCACAGCTTGAAGCACATTGCGCCCAAAAACAGAAACTTCAGAGGTCAGAATGTCTAACTTATGTTTTGAGAAAGTGTGAATGGAGGACCAAGTAGCCGCCTTTCATATCTGAGCTGCAGTTCCCAGTCTCTTAGAGGCCCAGGATATAGCCATTGTCCATGTGGAATGAGTCTTTAAATGAAGTGGAGGAGCAACTTTAGAAGACGTGTGGGCCAGAATGATAGCTTCTTTAATCCATTTTGCCAATGAGCCTTTGAATGCCATGAGATCTGTCTTTTGACCCTGACCGAGCAAACAGGCCTTTCAAAATGACAAAAAATGCCGTTTTCTTCCCCTCCAAATAGTACTGCAGTGTGCATTTAACATCAAGGCCATGAAATTTACTTTTCTTACTCTTCTGAGGGATCTGACAGAATGTTGGGAGAATAATTTCCTGATTAATTATTGACCACCGAAAAAAAAAAAAAAAACACTTTATGGAGAAAACATGGGGCAAGCTTGAAAATTACTTTGTCCATATGAAAAAGGAGGATTACACACACCTACAGAGAGTTGTAGAGTGGACAAAAGACAGGGTACACAAACTGTGGAAGACGGTGGAGGAGACGGAGGCGGGTAGACCAATCTCGGGACTGCCATGGGACCGAAACGCGACGAACTGGGACGAAATGTCCATCTACACCAAACACACCCTAAAAATATGGAGAAGAGTAGTGGTGAAGGGAAACATATCGCCATACCCCTCTCCCCTCCTTCCATTGACGTTTAACAAAGACTTCACCCCGGGGCTAGACCCGAGGGCCCTTAGAGGCATCCTTCCAGACACACACCCATGCTTACATCACGTCATGCAAAACGGGAAATGCAAAAAGCTTCTGGACATGATGGGAGACGTACCCCCGACTTTCATGCACAACTTTCGATACTCCCAACTAACCAACTACATCCACACCCTACCACAGGGCCCAGCACTCACTAGAGAACATACCACAATAGAGGGGATATGCATGCACCCAGACCCGCTCCCACACGGAGTGTCCTTCCTATACACCATGTTGCAAACAGACATCCCAACTGAGACACCTGTATTTATGGGGAAATGGGAGAAAGCCCTGGGACACACATTGACAGACACAGAATGGGAATCCATCTGCTACCTCACACACCACTGCTCCACACACAGTAAAACACCAGAGACAGCCTACAAATTACTAACCCACTGGTATAGGACACCACACCTCCTACATCAGATAAACCCAGATCAATCTGGCCTATGCTAGAGATGCCAACGAGAAGAGGGAGACATGAAACACATCTGGTGGGACTGCACAAAAATTAAACCATACTGGCAAAACATACACAGAATGCTCGAGAAATTCACGGACGAACCACCCCCCTTGGAACCAGCAGCAATGCTCCTACACCACACTCCTACACCACACTCTAAGTACAAACGATCCATGACCATCCGAATACTCAATATAGCCAAACGGGTAATCCCCCAATACTGGAAACAGAACATAACACCTCCACTTAAGACTTGGTTCAGCCAAATGGAGGAACTCAGAATAACAGAAGAACTGACCATGACGACTAACGTAACCACAAAGACCTACACGGACATTTGGACATATTGGATCCTAGAGACAGCTAAGGAAGGATTCCAAATGGAACTCGGAACAGACGTACGCCAAACCACGGACAGTTAGGCTTAGAACACCCACTAGACGACAGACGACGGAGACAACGACTGCAGACACCCCCCTCCTCACCCTAACCCCGACCTTTCCCACCCCCTCTCTCCTAAAGACCCACACAGGACGATACCCCAGTCAAAGCAGAAATTATTTCATATAGAGGAGACACTAGGGCCCTGAACGGAAAACCCATACGGGTTCACACACAACTCATAAATTCCAAGAGACACGACCCTAATGAAACATAGACCGAGCAGACGGGATAACCACAACATAGCCTGAGGGCAGCAACGAACCACGTTCAAACCCCCCCGAAATATGAGTCATAACCCTCTCAACACAGGTACACTGTACCCTAGATACAGGACACCCGGGACACTAAGGGGAGACTCACATTAATCTGCTACAGGCACAAAGCCCAACACTAAATTTAGGGACATGAACGGCACCTAACAATAAAGGCTGCATACGAGGTCTGCGAACCTCAACACAAACATAAGGAGACCACCGGCTACTATACATGAAACGTATAAACCATGTAAACAAAACCCAATTAGGAAAACAAATGGCAGATGGTAAGATGTACTTGAAGGTGCTTGTGAACCTGGAAAATAGGGACTTGCAAGTCCGTCAACATTGTGGGCCTGCGAGCCCAAACATACATTGTTGTTTTCAAGGAAAAATTATGACTACTCACCTTAGAGACCTGCGAGTCTCCGATCTCCGCATAAGTAACACAAGAATAAATAAAAATTATATTCATTAAAAAAGAAAAAGGAGGATTAGCTGTTAAAGCCTGAAGTTGTCAAAGTCGCTTCACTGATATAGCGGCCACCAGAAAGACAGTTTTCCAGGTAAGGATCTTGAGATTGCATTCCACTAACGGTCCAAAAGGTGGTTCAGGTGCTTACAAATAAAGGCTCTTTTAGACGGGTATGTCCATTCACTCAGCATCAATTCCTTTCAGTTAGGATGAAATGCAAAGATTTGACTTTTTGTGCTTGACAGATTCCTGATCTTAATAGAATCCTCGTCTTCCATCATTGTACTTCTATGATAAGTCTATTCAGATTCTAACCTGGAAAATAATTTGTGCCGAGTATTCAGAAGATGAACAAGCAGAGGAAGTTTCTGAAATAAAATCTTTTAGGATGAGATTTTAAACACGGGCTTAGGAGTCACAGCTGACTGGGCTGATTGAATGGCCGCAGGTCTAATATCCAAAAAGGTCTGCAGCAAACTCTTCTGGAACCATGATAAAAATTAAAATACTTTCGTTGTTTTAGCTTATTCAGATGCTACAAATTTTATTTTTGTATCTGTCTGTTATAGGTTGGTTGCAGGATATCAAATGCTTTGATTTTGATAGACATCACCTTTTCTCAATGGGTTGATCTGGAGTCTCAGGATTAAACAGATTTAAAAAAGTATATTATATGGGAAGAAATTAAATATTTTATTTTTTATTTTTTTTTATTTAGGAAAATAAAGGAAATAAAAGACAAAGAGAGCGTGAGAGCACACTGCAACAAAGCTGACAGCCCCCGGCCAACAGGTAGTTGCAGCTGGGAATAAAGAGCCTCCACAGCCCTGGAAAACTTTAATTTGGGGCCTAAAATCAGAAATAACTTTGCGCATGGGTGTAACGATCCCCTGTTGTAACATGTGCGTGTGTCCTACCGCCAAAAAGCGTCCCAGCAAATGCGTGTAATGCACCATTGTCATTACCAGGCTTGGAAGCAGGCACCCAGCGAGCATTCCAACGCTGAAGAAAAGAGGAGGGAAGAACCACGTCCACCTAGAGTTATTCTTCCCTGTAAGAGCAGAGCCCTCCTTGGCATCAGCTTGGCTTGTTCTTTTTATGCCATGTGGGCTTAACTTTGACATTTCTAGTGTGCCGGCCTGCCAATTCCTGTTAAGACATGGTGGATATTCCTGTGCACTGCCTCTAATCAGGAGGGAAAATCCATTTCTACCTGGATACTTTATATGACGGTTTTAGAGATGGCCACCATCGTTTGGAGATTAATCCCCTTATTGACTTTAGCACTAGCCAGTATAGAGCTTCATTCTCGGGGACATTTCTGGAAGATGTGGATACAGACAGTCAGCTTTCTGAGACAATGGACGGATTAAACCCAAGAAAAGTATTTGTTAAATGACACCATCTTTTAAATGAGTTTACCTATGGTAATAGTGTAAGCTTGTATTATTCCACACATTTATATGAATTGAAATCCTTCTTAGAATTTGACCATACAAGGTTTTAGTTTTTGTGTCATTACCTTCTTGTGTCATTTTACCCCACTCCCTCTAGCATGTAAGCTCACTGTGCAGGGCCCTCAATCTCTCTGTTACTGTGTCACTATACCCCACTCCCTCTAACATGTAAACTCACTGAGCAGGGCCCTCAATCCCTCTGTTACTGTGTCACTATACCCCACTGCCTCTAGCATGTAAACTCACTGAGCAGGGCCCTCAATCCCTTTGTTACTGTGTCACTATACCCCACTCCCTCTAACATGTAAACACACTGAGCAGGCCCTCAATCCCTCTGTTACTGTGTCACTTTACCCCACTCCCTCTAACATGTAAACTCTCTGAGCAGGGCCCTCAATCCCTCTGTTACTGTGTCACTATACCCCACTCCCTCTAACATGTAAACTCACTGAGCAGGGCCCTCAATCCCTCTGTTACTGTGTCACTATACCCCACTCCCTCTAACATGTAAACTCACTGAGCAGGCCCTCAATCCCTCTGTTACTGGGTCACTATACCCCACTCCCTCTAACATGTAAACTCACTGAGCAGGCCCTCAATCCCTCTGTTACTGTGTCACTATACCCCACTCCCTCTAACATGTAAACTCACTGAGCAGGGCCCTCAATCCCTCTGTTACTGTCACTATACCCCACTCCCTCTAACATGTAAACTCACTGAGCAGGCCCTCAATCCCTCTGTTACTGTGTCACTATACCCCACCCCCTCTAACATGTAAACTCACTGAGCAGGCCCTCAATCCCTCTGTTACTGTCACTATACCCCACTCCCTCTAACATGTAAACTCACTGAGCAGGTCCTCAATCCCTCTGTTACTGTGTCACTATACCCCACTCCCTCTAACATGTAAACTCACTGAGCAGGCCCTCAATCCCTCTGTTACTGTGTCACTATACCCCACTCCCTCTAACATGTAAACTCACTAAGCAGGCCCTCAATCCCTCTGTTACTGTGTCACTATACCCCACACCCTCTAACATGTAAACTCACTGAGCAGGCCCTCAATCCCTCTGTTACTGTGTCACTATACCCCACTCCCTCTAACATGTAAACTCACTGAGAAGGCCCTCAATCCCTCTGTTACTGTGTCACTATACCCCACTCCCTCTAACATGTAAACTCACTGAGCAGGCCCTCAATCCCTCTGTTACTGTGTCACTATACCCCACTCCCTCTAACATGTAAACACACTGAGCAGGCCCTCAATCCCTCTGTTACTGTGTCACTATACCCCACTCCCTCTAACATGTAAACTCACTGAGCAGGCCCCTCAATCCCTCTGTTACAGTGTCACTATACCCCACTCCCTCTAACATGTAAACTCACTGAGCAGGGCCTCAATCCCTCTGTTACTGTGTCACTATACCCCACTCCCTCTAACATGTAGCCCATTGAGCAGGGCCCTCAATCCCTCTGTTACTGTGTCACTATACCCCACTCCCTCTAACATGTAAACTCACTGAGCAGGCCCTCAATCCCTCTGTTACTGTGTCACTATACCCCACTCCCTCTAACATGTAAACTCACTGAGCAGGCCCTCAATCTCTCTGTTACTGTGTCACTATACCCCACTCCCTCTAACATGTAACCTCACTGAGCAGGCCCTCAATCCCTCTGTTACTGTGTCACTATACCCCACTCCCTCTAACATGTAAACTCACTGAGCAGGGCCCTCAATCCCTCTGTTACTGTGTCACTATATCCCACTCCCTCTAACATGTAAACTCACTGAGCAGGGCCTCAATCCCTCTGTTACTGTGTCACTATACCCCACTCCCTCTAACATGTAAACTCACTGAGCAGGGCCCTCAATCCCTCTGTTACTGTGTCACTATACCCCACTCCCTCTAACATGTAGACTCACTGAGCAGGCCCTCAATCCCTCTGTTACTGTGTCACTATACCCCACTCCCTCTAACATGTAAACTCACTGAGCAGGGCCTCAATCCCTCTGTTGCTGTGTCACTATACCCCACTCCCTCTAGCATGTAAGCTCATTGAGAAGGGCCCTAAACCCCTCTGTTCCTGTGTGTCCAACTTGTCTGGTTACAACTACATGTCTGTTCGTCCACCCATTGTAAAGCGCTGCGGAATTTGACGGCGCTCTATAAATATCATATTAATAATAATCTCCACACAGACACACATTAAATTGGTAGTTTGCAAAAAAAATAATACAAAAAAAAAAAAATACATCTTTAACAATTTTAGTTAAAAATGTAATAAGCGAGCTCCTTACCATGGAAAGCTGTTAATGCGTACCCTGTTTTTGTAAATTAGTATTCCTCCAGACATGACACCAATCAAAATCTCATTGTTACTTTGATCCTAAAATAAAAAAAAATAAAAAAATAAACACTAAATGACATTGTTGGCATGAAGGATGTAAAGTATGCAAAACATAGGGCAGGTTTCCAATTTGGTCAGGTAGGTATTTTTAGATTATAAGCCTTTGGGAGCTAAATAGGTGGTAGAAATTGGTATTTGTTGCCAGCCATTCCTTGGTTTAATCTGGCTTCCTAACCATTACTGGTATAAACTGATCTTTTACAGGAACTAACATCCCAGATAAACATTATAAATAGAGCTCCATTAAAAGTGCGGCTATCCGACACAGCTCAATCTTTAGCATCACTAGCTCTCCAGCCCTACTCTACCAGCAGTAAGATCACATAGACCATAACACATCAGAGAAATGCTGAATGCTGTAATATCACGTGTCCACTAATCTGATTGCATTTTACATCACTACTCAAATTTAACTTAAAACAAGGTAGTTTACGGTTTCCTGGGTATACCCAGGGCTATAGCCCAGCAGTTAAACCCCCACCTATTAATTAGAAAATACACACTGCATTGACTGATCACAGTTGCATAGTCTTTGAAGTGTCTGAAATAATTTCAGCACCAGTTAGTGCACTCTAAACCCATTCACTCTCATGGAGAGCCAACAATGAATCTAAGAAGGAAAAAAAACACATCTCATTTAAAGATTTTAAATAAATAATCTATTGCCCTACATATTTTCTGGTGATTAAGCAAGCAGAAAAGCATAGATCACATTTGATAACACAGCTAAAAAGAAATCTCTCCTCCATTCATTTGGGAATGATGAGTTCACATTAAAAGTGTCAATAAAACAAATTAAAAACTGCAGTAAAAATAACAAGTTGCTTGAAGGGGAACAATCAGGAAAAAAATATTCTTTGAAATAATGTGGCAAATTTCCAAAAACTGAATTCCAAACTTTAGACAAAACTTTCAGATTTGTGAAAAATTATTTTTCCCATTCTATTAATAACTAGAAACAGCACATATTCCATTAAGACCGATCAGAGACAGTCCATATTTCATAAGGACCAGAGACAGCCCATATTTCATAATGCTGAACAAAGAACCTCTTGAGAAAGCCCTAAGGGGAGAAACGTGTTGTGGTTTTTATGCTGTTGTTAAATAAAGTATTTTGGCTATCTCACTACCTGCCTTTTAGCCATATATTTTAAGAACTTATTATTTATTTTTATACTTTTACCTGACATCTGGATCCATTACCTACTGCGGAAAACCAACAAAAGAAATCCTTGGTGGGGATTAAACCACTCAGGCTTGATCCATAGAGCGGTTAGTCTGCTCACTCTATTGTAAGTATATTTTTATTTACCTTATTGATACTTCCCTATCTATATTCTCTATATAGATAGGGAAGTATCAATAAGGTAAATATTGACTAGTGGCTGCTTTTTTGTCATTCCATATGATCTACCTCACCGTTATCCCGTAGTGATTTACTACCATTCTACTGTGTACCAAAACCAGAGGGATATCCTGCAAGTAGGGATTGTATACCACTGCATGCTGTTTTATCTAGAGCTGGTTATAGCTCTACCATATGTGAGTTGACATCTTATCTAAGGGTCGTTCGTCCTACCACGTACTACCATATTGCACTATTGGTTTGCCTCTGTTTTGCTTTCTTTTCATATACTGCTATTAAGCGAAGCTACCAAACAAGTCCCATACCAGGACTAGAAGATCTATTGCCACCTTCGAGACTGTGCCGTACCATTTGGTATTTTTTATTCTTTCAAGTTTTATATCCTGTGTGCTTTTATTGCTCTTAGTATATGCTATTGTGTTTGGAGTATTTTTCTTAGCGCCACCTGTATATTGTTGTTTGACATATTTCATGACCAGAGACGGCCCAATATTTCAGAATGACCAGAGACGGCCCTATATTTCAGAATGACCAGAGACGGCCCTATATTTCAGAATGACCAGAGACGGCCCATATTTCAGAATGACCAGAGACGGCCCATATTTCAGAATGACCAGAGACGGCCCATATTTCAGAATGACCAGAGACGGCCCATATTTCAGAATGACCAGAGACGGCCCATATTTCAGAATGACCGATCAGAAACAGCCCATATTCCATTAAGACAAGAGCGTCCATATTTCATGAAGATCGATCAGAAAGCCCATATTTCATAAAGATCAATGAAATACAGCTCACATTCCATAATGACCAATGAGAGACAGCCCATATTCTATAGGAAGTAAAAAAGTAAAAGAGAGCACGATAATGAATAGATATACTGGAAAAATTACTGGAAAATTGGCTAAAAATATTATGAGACAAATTTAGAAGCTGCTAAAACACACTGAAAAACTCGTTGGATTGAATATATATATACTTTGATGATATTTTTAAAATTTGACAATGTTTATATGATGTTCTATAAATTTTGAGAACTATGATATGATTATATCCAATTTACCTTTATTGTACTTGTATACTGTAAGAGTGGGTCACAAGAGACCCCTTATTGATTGATTTTATTTCATTATAATAAGGTTTTTTTCTTAGTACTGTTTATATATTCATTACACTATGCTGCAAATGGTTAATTCTTCATTGTTTTGTTGAATTATGGTGGAATGAAGCGTTAAGTCTTTGAAATGCCTATACTCCAGTGTACCTTTAAGAATAATTGGTTGCTTAGCCTCAGTCGAGGGTATAAAGTGATTCAGTGTCAGCCGCGGCACTAATCTTGACAAAGCCCACATCAGATGGGCGAAACGCGTAGATAGTGCCTGTTACAAGAGGACATTCCTTGGCCTCACAAACGTGGAGATTTGTTTTATAAGGGGGCTGGGAAAGTTTTTGTACTACATTGTTACTGTATCACGCTATGTTGCTCTTTTTTATGACGAGAGTGAATACATTATTTAAAATATTGGACCATCTCAACATTGTGGTGACTTATTTATGAATACTATCAGCATTACCCATTTTATATTGAGACTTTTTATTTTTATTAGGTAGCACCCTACAAGTATTGCCCATATTCCATAATGGCTGATCAGAGACAGCCCATATTCCATAATGGCTGATCAGAGGGATCAATGAATAAGGACAAACCGGTAAAAAAAAAATTCCCCAAAATTTCCTCCTTTAACACATATACTGCGGACAAATTAGATGTGAGATGAGGATTGAGTGGATAATTCACAAAAAAACCAAAAAAAAACATAAGCAATCACTTACCCGAGCATAGTGCAATTCGACACCATAAAGTTCTAATGTCCGCGCGGTGTTGAGATAAGTGAATTCTGCCTCTGCCGGTGTCAGGCCTCTGAAGAAAGATAATGCAGGCATTTAGGAAAGGAAAGCCTGTTAATCCTTCAGCGATACTTTAACTCCAGCTACAATACAGCCAGGATAACAATCACTATCACTACCCACCTGTCCTAAACGTAGGCATTGAGAGCTACAGCTTGTTTGGTCTCGCAAACGACAAACTCAGAAATGGTAGAAATACCGTAATACTATATACCCATGAATACAAACAATGGACTGCAGTAGCTAAAAAAAAAGTATTAAAATGCCCAAAAATCATTCACCAAATGTGCAAAGTATGAATAATAATAATCAGCAGGTTTCAGCAGATAACATCATGGAAAAGGAAAATTAGAACCAACAAGTGTGATGATCCTCCCTGTACTGTTGCTTCTCCTGGTGGACCATCTCACCATGAAGACATTATTAAATAATTTTTAAATCCATTGCTTTCTGGAGTTATAACCGCAAACAGCCTGTGGTCGATAGAGTGCATGGATCAGCCAACAGTGATTTTCTGCAGTTCACCCTGAAATCTACATTAACACACCTTCATATAAGGTGAGGGGAAATGTTGGTGTTGGTAATCAAATTATTAAAGGAACACTATAGTCACCTAAATTACTTTAGCTAAATAAAGCAGTTTTAGTGTATAGATCATTCCCTGCTCTTTCACTGCTCAATTCTCTGTCATTTAGGAGTTAAATCACTTTGTTTCTGTTTATGCAGCCCTAGCCACACCTCCCCTGGCTATGATTGACAGAGCCTGCATGAAAAAAAAACTGGTTTCACTAACAAACAGATGTAATTTACCTTAAATAATTGTATCTCAATCTCTAAATTGAACGTTAATCACATACAGGAGGCTCTTGCAGGGTCTAGCAAGCTATTAACATAGCAGGGGATAAGAAAATCGTAATTAAACAGAACTTGCAATAAAGAATGCCTAAATAGGGCTCTGTTTACAGGAAGTGTTTATGGAAGGCTGTGCAAGTCACATGCAGGGAGGTGTGACTAGGGTTCATAAATAAAGGGATTTAACTCCTAAATGACAGAGGATTAAGCAGTGAGGCTGCAGGGGCATGTTCTATACACCAAAACGGCTTCATTAAGCTAAAGTTGTTCAGTTGATTATAGTGTCCCTTTAAGTGGCTCATAGTGAACAAAACATGCTTGCTGCAGCAAATTATACTTCAATTACTGAGTAAAAGAAGAGAGGGTACATACTTTAAATCATTGCTCGCTCAATTAAGTAAATATACATTTTAAACTGGAACATAGGTAAATCAAATGCATTAACCAATGTCCAAGGTAAGAACATGGTTAATTATTCCCACAAATAACTGTTCTGTGAAAGCTGTGTACCTGCATGTTTAATAGGCAGGAAATCAGTGAGCAATTAAAAAAGGCCTGTAAATGCTTAATCCACAGGTACAGAAACATTCCTTTCAAATTTCAGCTTTAGGGTATCCTAGATTGCTCATTCGGCCAGAACCCTCTTAACCTTAATTTTTTACGTTTTTTGGTTTTTTTTTTTAAGTTACTGGACATTAAACATCCACAATGTAAAGTTATAAACCACTGCAGAATATGTTGCCGCTATAATAATAAATTAGGGGGAAGTTACGTGTGCTGTTGATGCAATTTTGCTATTTCTTTCTCAAAGTCTTCTGGTTGGATTGGGATGAATGAGAAATCTCCAAGATAGCCAGGCAAGTGATCTGAATTGCTGTAGTCTCCTAATTCAGCTTTGAAAGAGAAAACGAAAAAAGGTTATTAACTGCAGCGTGTATCCTATACCAGAGAGAAACCATGACACAGGCATGTACACCCCACGTGTGACAGGGCAACCATCACTCACATGACCCATAGCATGCATTCCACAAATGACATATTGAGAACTATGTGGAAATATTAGGTGATTTTTTTTTAGTCATACCAGCCATGTAGTTCACTACTTACATTAGTCTGATTCTTCCAATCTATGGTCATCTCCCTACACTGCCATTAACATTGTGTGAACTTCAAAATCTTACAATTAAAATACAATTGTTTTAAATCACAATATCACTGTAGGGGAGATAAAAATCAGCTCTAAAGCCAGGTAAGCATTATAATTATTATTTTGAAAATTAAATCCATACTAAAATTATCTTTTTTATTTTCACATTATTTGTTTCTTTAAAACCAAAAAGGACCAAACTAACCAGTGCATAAAAATACATCCAACAAGAGCCCAGAGGAAAGCCGCTGTGAGTATGCCCAGCATTAAGCCAAGAAGACCACCCAAAAGAAAACAAGGGGATATCCCTGCAGGCAGGTGCTGTCAGCAGACAGAAGCAAAAGCCAACATTCTGCAAGATTCTTATTGTAAACGAATACATACAGAGGACAAGATCCCAGTGAATCTGTTTATTGAAGAAACCCAGGAGCAGCTAACATGAGCGGTATAATTTAACCCAAACATGTTATTTTTAAGCAGGCTGTGGGAAGCAATTCTCTTTTTCACCCTCATTTTCCACTCTTGTCCTAACACAGCTTCCTGCTCAGGAAACGAGATGTGTTAATGAAAATAGCCACAAACCTCTACACCCTCATACACAGAGCAAATGATGCAGTAGATTTAAATAAAAAATAAATGAGATATATTTTTAAGTCAAGGAAAAGTGCCATGATTGTGTCATCATTTTTGAAAATAAGAGATTATGTAATATAGCCGATATGTATATGTATTATTCTGATAGCAGATGGGCAGACGCGGGTGTGTGTGGGCCAGTATGGATTGTTTGTGCTGTGAGCATGGTGTACACACAGCCTAATGTATGTATTCAAAATAATACACATATGGGCTATAGTGTATGACATTTTTTTAAATTTCCAATAAGAAAAATGAAGAGAATATTCCTTAAATAATTTTAAAAAATGATAAAGAACAAGAACCAGTCACACTGAATTCTTGGAAAATCCCAATCCAATTAATGGCTACTGACACTTGATATTTATACTTACACTGAACTGCATAAGAAGCCAATAGCACTGCAGTATTGTAAGGACAGGGCAATCTGTACAGAAAAAGAAAGAACAAACAGATGCATGGAAAAAAATAAATACGGTATATATTACCATCGACCAGACATTAGTCATTACAAGTGTGACTAATATAGAACAGACTTTGGAGAAGTAAAATATTTAATCTATACACAGTACTAACAAAATGATCAGTAAATGCAGAATATATGTGTCACTTCAATTACAGGTTTGGGTCCAATTCACTACTGTCAATATATATATATGATATTTTTTATGCAATCAACCACAGCAGACAGTACAGATCTTTGCCAATAAGCATTAGAAGCCATTCTTACTTTGTTCTGTTAATATTGATAGAAGCTCAAATATTAAAGGAAAGAATAATAGGTTATCTATACATTTGCATGCACTTTACATCTCATAATGCACGGATCATATTATATGTTTCATAATGAATTCCTCTATTTTAATTTAATCTATACTGTGGCTAAATTAACATCGCCACTTGTGCCTGGAGAGGACTGATTGCTAGCCTCTTGCCATGTGCCTATGGCCCCTGGGATGTATTGCCTGCTCTCCAGTGCTGCTGAGGATTGCTACCAACTAGGTGGATTTGGCTATGGAGCTTGTGTAGTGCCCTCTATTGGTAGCAACAGTAATATGCACTACCCGAATAGCAAGACTGGTAGTTTGCATATTCGGGTAGATTTGCATATTGCTAATTCTGCATGCAGGAGAGAAATTTTGTGTTAAATATGGTCTTCCCCACCCATTTATAAATATGTAATTATGTTATAATAAGTCACTGTATGCTGCCTGCTATGATTTGACTGCTTGTAATTTAATGGAGTTTTCACAGCAATGTTAATGTAATGACCATATGGGATAGTCCCAAGTGAAATAAAGTTTTAGACAGTTCTTCATCCTCAATCTAAGTCCTGTCTCTTATTGGTGGAATCTGCTAAAAGGGATTGCTATGCTCGTCATACTCTCTTGCTATAATCACTGAGCTCTTGTAAGAGCTGTTCTGTTCCTGTTATGCTCTCTGGGGAAAGAGAGGTTCACCCACTGGAGCTGGATCCTAGCCTTGGGTCCAGGGTGGGTGGAGACAGCAAGACCCTGGTGCAGTTGTGTTGCTGGAAATGGGGTCTGCAGTGCTGATGGTGTTGCATGGAGTGCTTGGAGTCCTGGGTGAGCACTAGGAGCATCGATTGGCAGAGGTACTCGGTCAGAGTGCCAGCGGTCCGTCACACATACATAAACATATCTTTCAAAGATGGAAAGATTTCCTTACAAGTGCCCTCAATGCAGTAAGTCTAATAAAGAACATGTGTGGCACGCCATTTTATTATAAAATGTTACAGAGACTTCAGAACATTATCTGTACATTTACAATCCAGCAGCATAACATAGCTTGAAAATGATGTTAACTACAATTAACTGCCAATCTCTCACGGGGAGTTAAGGAATTGTGCCAATTACCAGTTTGTCTTACCTGCCTGTTAGAACGTCTTGTTTTATCTGAAGAAAGTACTGGTACCTGAAGAGAGAGGCTGGTTAGTCAAACGTTCTGTGCTGAATCTGATGAATATAAATCACGCTGAACTATCAAATTACTTGACTACAAGGTGCTTTCGCAGAGAGGGATCTAGTGGGGACAAGGCTTGCTCCCAATAGGATTCTGTTATTTCTTAGCCCTTCGAATGATGATGAAAGTCTGAATTTATGTTAAAAGGTACACATTTCTGAAGTAAAACTGTTGAGTTGTCACCATAAACTGTTTCTGGCATAAGATAAACCTGCTTTCACTGTAACTGACCTGCAGTTTTTTTCTATACATCTCAAGACTCATAATATATACACATTATACAGGTGATATAAATGGTAAACCTATACAAAAATAGTAAGTCGCTGGATAGTGCAAACCAAAAATCGTTTACCCTTTTGATAGGGTACAACAGGAAAGACAACGAATATATAAAAGAAAAGATACAAAACAAATATAGTGCAGATTGTAACGGTTACACATGTGCGTACAGATAACTAAATGCACTCACATGGACAGGAGCCTAAATTTATTGTGCAGATTAAGTCTAGGCTCCTGTCCATGTGAGTGCATCTCGTTATTAGCTATACGCACATGTGTAACAGTTACAATCTGCTCTATATTTGTTGTATTTGGTGAGTGGGGAAGAGGGTATTCCCAAATGTGTACTTTAGAGCTGCTGTTTTAATATGAATCAATTTAAGCTATTGGACACACCTTCTCCTATGGGAGATTTATTATATTGTTCCTCATTATATAAACAATTCATTATATTGATAGGTTGAAAAAACTCTGCAACTGAACTGCAGCAATCACAATATTTCACAATCAAATGGACTAGGGCTGGTGGCTTAAAGAGAGACTGTCATTTATTACTATTAAAAATAACTGATTATATGTATTTATAGTTTTTGTGTATTATTTTGTAATGCATACATGCTGTATAAGTGACTTCCTATTTCCATTCTTGCTCTGCAAGGTAGCCATTGGTAATGACATTGAGATTGTTATATATTACATTATTACATATCTATGGACAATGTTACCAAGTTATTTGCGCTAAGGGCTCATAATGTTATAATAAACTTATAATAAATTATTTTGGTCAAATATCTTCAGATAAAATGTTAAAACCAGTCTTTTCATGATTCCATGTGCATTGTAAACTGAGTGTCTATGACATGCGCTGGCCTTGACAGTGAAAACATTTTATCTAATGTGCCAGAATTCAATAAAGATACAATCACATGTTATCTTTATTGGTAGCGAGCCAGACTGAGTTTCGACTCATTACTTCTGATTCACATACCATAAATAACAATATTCTGCAAAATAGTATCACAATCCACATCACTGTTACCATCATATCAGAAAGGGAGTAATAATTATCATTCAAACTTTTGCTTCACATTGTTACATGTACAAGGTCTTATCTCATAAAGACAGTTAGAAAAATAAAGACCTTTCTTAGTAACTGGTCCTACCTTGTATATTCCTCCTGCAGTTTGCTTGGGTCAGAGACAAAAAACTTGACTCTGAAGTTCAAGCTGTGAGGAGATCCCCCTACGAAAACACACAACAAGGAATAAAACAAACGCATAAGAATATAAGACATATACAAAAAGGAAAATATAAAATACAAAAAAAAAAAAGTCCCACAGAAGGAATAAAACAAACACAAAAAGGATTGAAAAATAGGCAAAAAAGATAAAAAAAGCATGTAACAATGACAAACAAAACTTGCAGGACAAAACAGAGCGCACAAAGCTGAACCCACGCACTGGACAAGACAGAGAACAATTTACTTACTCTTCAGCTGCTTTCTGATGGGTTTATTTGGGTCTAGCCACCGCTAAAACAAAAAAGTCACATTCAAAATGTATTTTTATATATATATATATATATATATATATTGGCATATATGCACAGTAAAAACGGCTGATAAATAATATCATCAGTTGTTAAAATAACAAGTTTAAGACACATAGAAATTAGTTTATTTAAGGTCAATGAGGGCCAAGCAATATCTAATCTACATGAAAGAGCGCTACAGACAGACAGCATGATTGGAAGCCAGACAGATGATATGGTAACATGTAGATTGTGGAATCTGATGGATATGGGGAATAAGACAACATCAACAGTAGTAGAGAAAATCCCACTTAGACAATATTTGGGGCAAGAAAAAGATGAACCAAATTACATGTAAGTAGGTTTTAGGCAGACAGGAAATAGGACGGACTGAATGGATGAACTGTTGACAAACGTATGGTGACTGCATGAGTCACACAAGTTTAGGGGCCCAAGTGATGCATCAACACAGCACAGCAGGAAATTTCTTAACAAAAGCCAAAGTTGGGATCCAATTTTTATAAGCTGTGCATTGTAACAGTGCTGGCACAAACTCTTTCACCCATGCCAATTACGATTCTTACACATTAAATAACATTAGGAAAAAGCAGGAAGACATCCTTACAGGGTTCTCACAGGAATCAATCTGCAATCCAAAATAGTCTCTCTCTGTCAAATCAAGAAACTTAAACACTAATCCTAGCAGAACATGTCCATGGTCGTGTTTCTGAAAGATACAAAAAAATAAAAACAGGATTTACAATCTCAAAAGGTTTACACTCTGCTAGATAAAACAAAAAGATAAAGCAGCAATTATTTCTTTTCAAAACACGGGGTAACAGAGGGTACAAACTGTAGTAACTATAGGGGCATTCACTAAACCAAGGATTCCCAAGCATAAGGCGTCACGGCTCGCCACTGGCCTTGCTCACGGATGAGAAAGTACAACTAACTTATTTACCGATCCTACTTCATGGTTTATTGTAAAATAGTTGCAAAGAGATACAGACATCTTGTCTCATCTTGTCCTAAAAAAATGTTTTATCAGTTTCTGGAGCTTGGGTCTCTTCCTCTTCTTCAAACATGACTTGAACCATATTTTAAAGTTAATTTCCCAGTGGAAATTTACACCATTCAATAAAAAAAATTGAAAATGTTCCAACTTATCTTGACCCTTTTCATGGTTTTTATATATATATATATATATATATATATTTAAAAATTACATTTCTTGTATTAAAGATTTGGCAAATGACTCTCTGTATGCCAGGTGCAAATGACAAAAGTTTATAACAATGATTGACAGGAATGGAGGCCCCCAGCTCCACCATAAAGAGGTGTGAGTTTATTTTTTTAATAACGTACAGATATTTGTTATATACAAGAGATAATTATAGTATTACACATCTAGAAAGACACAGTTCCCTTTTAAAACAGAAATCAATATTCCTGATTACCAAGCATTTATAGCAATTTAAAATCAGATCACCTTGTATGCCCTATTCGTTGCAGCCTGGATTAGACAATTCTGCACAAAGCAAAAAAAAAAAAAATGCAAAGAAACATAACTTTGACTTCACCTAAAGTAACATACCCAAACATCATAATTTAGAATATGCTTATACTAAAAAGGAAAACAGAAATAAAATCCCTTGTCGCATTGATAACATAATTCTAACTCTAAATTTCAGTGTACAATGCTGTGTAGGGATCTCCCAATACCACGTCAGATTTAAGTTAGTACTCTTAAGGAGTACTTATAGCAAGCACCACAACCATTATAGTGTATTGAAATTGTTAAGGTGTGGGCTGGTCCCTTGAGAAGTAATCAAGGGTTTTAGGGCTGCCTAGAGCAGTATTGTTCAGACATCTTTCACTGGCGATGGCTGTCCTGTCTGCGGACGTGTCTTCAAGCAATGCCAATCCTTTTACACTTTGGGCGGGACAAAGGAGTGACTGTGAGTGGGCGTTATAATATTATGACATACTCGCAGAGATGGCAGTGTTGGGTCAGAGGCCAGTTTAATTATCCCTAAATATTAGACGGATTAGATCATTTATCAGTATGAAAATAATATATGCAGTGCCTATTGTGGGTGTCAGTTAAAGTAAAGTAATGACAGGTTCCCTTTAATGAATGTCGCCTATCTAAGTAAATAAACAGCAAAGTAAAACATAGAAGAAACATGTACATGTAAGTTTTGCATTCTCATATTCATCAATCATGCAGCCTGTATATGTGTTAGAAACCTCTAAGGGGTCTTGGGAAAGAAGACCCGACTGCTTCTAAACTTAAAGCTTGAGATGATACGAACCGAGGTATGTAGAGCTATTGCCAAAGACGTGACAGTCACCGGCAGCTGTGACCTTGCCTCCTGCATTAAGACATATATTACACATTGACTCTTAAGCAGATTGTGAATAATAAGCTTATTAGCTCACTAACACAATGTAACACTTTCCAGGGACACTACAATATGAAAAGCGGCTGCATGCATTAAAATAACAAGCACACCTCTACAGGTGGTATCTGGTACCCACCTTCTTTGCCAATGTTTGCCCAAATACGTCTAATAAATTATGAAGGTGCTTGAACGATACAGGAACAATATCCCGTATTTGGTGGCACTTTACTAAGCTGGCAAGCAGTAACTGCCAGATAGAATCATACAAGCAAAGTATGAAGAAAACTACACCTTTTGGTTCACAAAGTTAACTTTTTCGGTTCGGTAGATAAATCTATGGAAAAAAACAACCACCCCTCTGTTTCATGAAACTCAAAAAAAACAGCATGAATTAGCTCTCCCTGTGTTGCCACCGTTCGTATAACCAAACAACACATGCTGGGAAAAAACGGCGGCCATCTTGTCGCACAAAAAAAAGCAGCAGGACTTGGTCGTCGTGTGCCTGGAACTCCAAGTTGGACATTCGACTCTGCGAACACTGGTCAACTTCGCGAATGCATGCTTCTTTTCCCAGGAGAGCGCTGTTTGGTAGGTTTGTTCGCACAAACCCGGTGAACAAACGCTACCTATAGCCAGGGGAACCATTCGTGGTTTTATTCGGTTTGGTACACCTGTGAAACAGTTTTGTGCAAGCGCCTCATGAGAGGTCGGTCAAAACTTTACCCAGGTCGCGATTCAGCTGTATTCGTGGCATCTGAGCGCTATTTGGACAACTTGGGCGCTCAGATCCAGGCTATCCCCATTTGACATTTATGGGGGTCCATATACGTTTTATGTGTATTATCATGTACTTTTCAGATTTTGTATTTTAAGTCATTGTGACTCAGGAATTTAGTGCGTGTGTTGTGGGCGTGCATAAAAGCAGGCCATCTGGCCTGAATAAAACATTCCTTTTGTACCCTTCATCTAGTCTAGGCGGATGTTTGGGTATGTGTCTGACGAACTGCTGGATTTACTGTATGCTGTACTTGATTCTTGGGGAGCGTACAAATCAGCGCTCAGAACTGCTGGCAATATTCACTAAGTACCTAGCAGTTCGGGAGAATGCGAACTAACGAGTAAATGAAATGCCAGCGTTCGTTACGCAGAGCTCTTCCCCAGAAAATAAAATGTTACACTCTACTTGAGAATTTGATTGACCTTGCTAGCAGTGAAATGGGTCTCAACTGTGATACCAACATTCCAAATGCTTATGGAAAGTCTGAAACAAACCCATAAACATGATTGTGCAAGTACATTGTGGAATGAGGTATGGCGACTATATCAAATAAAATGCATTAGCAGACCTCCTAGAGCAGCAAGAGAAGTCTTGTGAGCTGCACCCATAGAAGTAATTTGGATGGTATATCTAATTAAGTGAGAAGTTGTATCAATAATGTGAATTTCTAAAAGTTGTAACATTGTTGACCACAGCTGGAAATGAAGGATTCAGAGTACCATCCTAAATTGCAGTGTTCTCCTATCCCCTTCCCTCTTTTGTAACACTCCTCTATTCATTGATGTATGTATCACTAAATATTAAACGGTTTTCATATTCCATCTCTCTGAATAACCACAGCTGCAGCATTATATGTCACATTGGACAGTTGTATCAATGTTAATTTGGAAAAGCTGTATTGTTAACGAGATTTGTGAAAACCAATACAACTTTAGTACAACTTAAAAACAAAAAAATAAAATTCACGTGCACATCCCAGCACCACTTTGGTCCACTCACAGAACAAGAATGATGTTCAAACTTGGACAAAATTGGTATCTCAGAACGGGAATTTACACTTTAGCAATATTACAAAAAAATATAAAAAGTACCACAGGTGCTCAGGCTGACTCCTGGCACCATAACTACTACATTGTGATGTAGTGGTGATGGTGCTTAGACTGCATTAATGTACGTATGTAGAAATGCAGTGTTCCTATCAAGGACACCTGATGCTCTCCCAAAGGTCACATTCGCAGAAGCGCATCTCTGTTTTATCACCAAAGAGCTAACGGATTAGACAACAATGTTAATTTGCCCAATGGGAATGAAGATCACCTAACTACATTGGGGTCAAACTGGGTCAATCCTTGTGAAAGTGTTTGGGGAAGGGGATACTTAAATATTAAGTATCATCATTAGCCTGTCACATAAATAAAATAAACCAAGTACACTGAGCAACCAATTATCCTCAGACTGGAGTGTAATGTCAACCTGTGAATGATCAATTATCAAATTAGAGATTTCTGATCCTTCCTTTGTTTTATGCTAAAGCAGGGGTTTGTGGGATCAGTAGTTTATCATCCCATCTCTTCCCCTCACTGTAAAATTATTAGCTTAATAAATAGATTGATGATGAAAGCCATCTGCCATACTTGTCCATGCATGTATAAAAAGTATGTTGCCCTTAAACAAAAAATGGAGTGGATAAACAAATGGTACTTGGCTTAATACAAACAAGACAGCTTCCCAAAGAGGCCTTCCCCTGTAGCACCTCTGATAGATAGGTAGATATATGCAAAAAATAGGGATACAGCTGGTGGTCTATAACATAAAAGAAATAATATATAGTGAAGTACAGTATACAAATGTATAGCACTGCAGTTATTGGTAGCACTCACAAGATATAAATTCAAGAAGCGCCTCAATGCCCGCCCTCAAAAGGGCTACCGTAGTCCTCTCTCCACACTGGGTCAGGATTGATACTTAGCAGGCACAGGAACTTACGGAGTCAGGGATCAGGTAAAAAAATAACTTTAATTGGGCTAAAAATGCCTTCAATAAAACTATTTTATACTTTTGTTGATTATATTTTTAACGCGTTTTGTCCAGCTAGACTGGACTTCCTCCGAGATATGATATAAATGAACAGCAATGAAAAAGCCTGCATGATCCCATCCCTCTCCAAGTCCCATTAAATAGTGCAGGTTCAAAGAAGTTGATTGAAGAATCCTCCAGGTGGATTTGATTGTGTGTTAAGCTCATTGGTTATAGATGGCAGGTTCTTCCCGTAGGTTGTCGTGATTCTTTCTGCGGGTGATTTCAATCGTGGTTTATATTCCTCGTTTAGACACCGGATATAATCTGATTGTGTCCCAAATAAAGTCATATGCGTTCCACGATGAACTTCTGGTCTGTATGTCCAGATATCGTTTGCGCACCATCTCCATGATGATATGCATTCCACATATATTAACCCCTTAAGGACCAGACTTCTGGAATAAAAAGGAATCATGACATGTCACACATGTCATGTGTCTTTAACGGGTTAAAGCTGTATATAAAGCTGAGTGGACAGAACGATAGATTTTAAATATAAGGAAAGAAATATATACACAAGTATTTGCTGAACTTTATGAGCGTTGACATCGTCATAAATCAATTCTAAGATACCTCATAACAGGTTATATCGATCTCTCATCATAAAACACCGGGATACGGTAATAACTAAATTAAATACATTTGAAGAAAAAAAAAATTATTATGGAAGATTTTATACTTTTGTTGATAATATTTTTATCTAATTGTTTTATTAAAGGCATTTTTAGCCCAATTAAAGATATCATTTTTTACCTGATCCCTGACTCCGTAAGTTCCTGTGCCTGCTGAGTAACAATCTTGACCCAGTGTGGAGAGAGGACTATGGTAGCCCCTTTGAGAGCATTGAGGCGCTTCTTGAATTCATATCTTGTGAGTGCTACCAAAAACCGCCGTGCTATACATCTGTATACTGTACTTCACTATGTATTATTTATCTTTTATGAATGTATATGTCTGAGAAAGGGTTCCCTTATCAAACTGACATGGAGTACAAGCAATATATGTTAAGAAAAGACCCCAAATAAAATAAACTGAGGGGAATGGGGTCTGACATCTGACAGGCATCACATCCCTCCCAACAGTGAAATGAAAGCAGCAAATTATTTTTAATAATTACTTGAAGGGCACCTTGTCATGTCCAATATAATTTGACGTAACTTAAAGGACCACTATAGTGCCAGGAAAACATACTCTTTTTCCTGGCACTATAGTGCCCTGAGGGTGCCCCCACCCTCAGGGACCCCCTCCCCTCAGGGCTCTGGAAGGGGGAAAGGGGTTTAAACTTACCTTTTTCCAGCGCTGGGCAGGGAGTTCTCCTCCTCCGATCCTCCTCCGTTCCTCCCCGCCGGCTGAATGCGCGCGCATTCAGCCGGCCACATAGGAAAGCATTTACAATGCATTTACAATGCTTTCCTATGGACGCTTGGTGCTCTAAGCACGCAAGCGCCTCTAGTGGCTGTCAATGAGACAGCCACTAGAGGAAATAGGGGAAGGCTTAACCCATTAATAAACATAGCAGTTTCTCAGAAACTGCTATGTTTATAAAAGAATGGGTTAAGCCTAGCTGGACCTGGCACCCAGACCACTTCATTAAGCTGAAGTGGTCTGGGTGCCTAGAGTGGTCCTTTAAAGTTTCACATACACAGAAAGCAGTCACTAGAATTACTACCAAGGGCACGTATGAAACTTTTAATTTTTTTGTACCTTAGGGAATTAAACCTTCCTGTGCTTTGTGCCAGAAACCACCTCACACCCAAACAAAGCGGTGGCATCCCATAACCCCTAGGTATGAAATGTGGAGTGGCATTTAGAGTCAAAGCGGCTGCAAGTCCAGGGCACCATGTTACAGTCAGCAGGATGTGAACAACAGGTAAGTACAACTTTAATCTATCCACTTACTGACAACTCCCTTAGCACCCAAAGCCTGGCCATTCTACAAACACTCCATCAACACAGAGATACATTTCTGCTTTATACCCCTCAAATAACCTTGAATGGCAATGTAAGGGTGCTAGCTTCGGGAGCTGGTTTGCATAGTGCCATCCAAGGCAGGAAGAATTTAGATGGATAATGTAACTTGTGCATCATATGAATAGCTGCAGAGTGAACAGGCTTTAGGTGCCCACGGTTTTACCAAACACATTGTACAGTGCTACAGAATTTGTTGGTGCTTGAGAAGTAATCATATAATAATTAATATTGAAATATAATAAAAGGTTTTAGCTGACCCCTCTGTAACCTGCACATTTGCAAACTACAGATTAATTTTAGTGATTGTGCTTGTGAATCAAAAGGCTACCGCAGCCATGTTTTAATTTAAAGTGAACTCAATAATATGTCCGAGTAACAGTGAATTGACTGGATTCCTAGCAGATCAAATGCTGTGGGTTACCATTATACATGTAAAGCAGGAGAGTTGATGTGCGGGGATTGCCCTAGAAAATAAGTGACGATTAGAGAACATTTCAATACTTACATTTACACGAAAAGCTTGCACAGTGTTATCCAGGAGGAGAATATTGCAGACCACGTCTGTGCTGTGTCTGTCTCGTGCCTGCTCTGACGCGCGTACATTGTAGGTTCTGCCAGCAGGCAATCGAAAGCGTGCGGTCATTACTGTCCACACAAAGTCTGGGAGAGAAAGAAACATGAAGAATTAAATACATATCAACAAAATGTATTATACAGGACCATAGGTCAAATAGCAAAATATGTAAACATATATCTTACATATACACACACACATAAGTAATTCTGTGACAAAGTTCTAAGTACAGAGCAGTCACCATAGAAACCATTAGAATGTTCCTGCGGATTGATCCCCTTTTGGAACATTGCCCCAAAATGGCTATTTGTCAAAAAACACATACAGAATGACACCTCGCTATAATAGATACACAATACAGAATGACACCTCGCTATAATATATACACACACACACACAATATAGAATGACTCCTCGCTATAATTAATACACACACACACACAATACAGAAGGACACCTCGCTATAATATATAAAACACACACACAATACAGAATGACACCTCGCTATAATACACACACACACACAAATACAGAATGACACCCCGCTATAATAGATACACACAATACAGAATGACACCTCGCTATAATATACACACACACACTATAGAATGACACCTCGCTATAATTAATACACACACACAATACAGGACACCTCGCTATAATATATAAACACACACACACACAATATAGAATGACACCTCGCTATAATGCACGCACACACACACACACTATAGAATGACACCTCGCTATAATATATAAACACACACACTATAGAATGACACCTCGCTATAATATATAAACACACACACACAATAATAGATACACACAATACAGAATGACGCCCCTAGCAAATGTGTCATGGACTCTGTAATGTGGCAAGTATCTTTTAGGGCCTGGCACATAAATTTGCTGCAAAAGGTTTTCACCTATTGTAAAGATGTGTCTGTGTCTTTACACAGTATTTGCATTTTCAACACAGCTGTTCAGACACACCAGATTACCACTCCTCTTGAAGTTTTACTAACCTCTGTCTCTTTAAGGAAGCAACTTGTCCCCTAATACAGCATATTATAGTATATACACAGAATGTGTTTCTAGTCCCCGTCCCTTGGAATTAAGCCCTGGGACATAGCTAACATGCACTCTCTGCAACTTCATGCTTTGGAACCTCATTGTAAGGCCCGGTCCCTCTGATAAATAAACACTATTCACACAGTTTAAACAGGCCGTCTTGGCTCCGCTCCACAAGCAGGCTTTCCCCACTGGTAAAGGTTGAGCAGTCATTCCTTTTCCTGCCAAAATAGCTTGGCTTTTATTATGCAGATAGCTGGACTCAGAACAAGCAGCTCATTCAGCAGAGCCGCTGTTCACAGTTATACATGAAGACTCTGTGGTCACTATCTGTATTTACAAGGACGGATAACTTCCATAAGAGAGGCACTCCCCGGAAAATGAACACTTCACAACTGAATAAAGTAAACAAATGCAGTGAGAACATCAGATAACCTTACAAACTCTGCATCAGTACACACCTAGTCTGAGAACTTTGGTGGAGATACAAGAAATATTCACCCAATGTCTAGCAAATACCTCCACACATGTAGAAGCTGAAAACTGCAGATGCACAACTATCTTTATTTTGATTTGCCCCAAAAATAAGGCTGCCTAGGCACAGTAAGATGGAGGCACCAGTACTTTGAGTGTAGTGAACGTAAAGATCAATTTACAGAGCAGGAAACATTTACTACAGCAAGTTAACATGTGATTGAAAATGAAACCATTTTGTTTTCATGCAGGCTGTGTCAGTCACAGCCAAGGGAGATGTGGCTAAGGCTGCATAAACAGAATCAAAGAGGATTTAACTTCTAAATGGCAGAAAATTGAGCAGTGAAACTGCAGGGGCATGATCTATACACCAAAACTGTTTCATTAAGCTAAAGTTTTTTTGATGCCTACAATGTCCCTTTAAAAACACTTTGTTTATACAGACACAGATACACCTCCCTGCATGTGACATAGACAGTCTTCCTAAACACTTGCTGTAAAGAGTGTACACTTATTTTATTGCAAATCTATTTCATTTAGAATTTCTTATCTCGTTCTCTGTTAATAGCTGTAGCGGAGAGCTGGTCTTTCACAGGTTATCTCCACTAAAGATCCGAGTGAAGCTCAGGAACAAGTAATAAAATCCCATATAACAATAGTCACAGCAAGTAAAGTAATCCACGAATATCCAAATACAGATCCCAATGACTGGACGACACACAGCATCAGGAGCAGACTGAACTTTTAATCACACAACCTTCTTTTAAAGTTTTCTCCCATGCAAGGGAGGGATTCACATTAATTAGTAAAGTATCCAATAGTGTAACTGTTACCTCCCACACATCTCCTCCCCTCAGTGTGACACATAATCCATTTATACATACTGCAGTTTTACCCGATTTCTGGATGTACCCCAAAACAGTCAGATATAATTATATAATGGGTACCCCCTGGTAGCCCTGATCTGGGTGACTAACATATTCAAAATTCACCCAGATCGGACCAGGGGTTCGGGAGTTAGGTGGAAGAGGCAATTTGACCAACCGCACACGAGGCAGTATCCGAAAAGGGCTCCATCTGTTTTGGCCTTGCGGTCAGTCTCTATTCGGGAGATAATATACATAGAAATACTTGCCATTCAAAGATATATCGGTATTCGTATTACTTCCCTTATTCGGAAAATTTATTTCACCGAACGAGGGGCTGGTTGGCCCCTCCGTTCGGGAGTTACTGAGCTCTGGAGGTCTCAGCGGTGTTCGGGTAATTGAGTGTCCGATTTGAGTTCCAGACACTCGACGACCAAACATCGCTGAGATTTTCTTGCGTAAGATGGCCGCCGCCACGCGGTTCGTATGCCGAACGGCGACCACCCAGATATATACAAAGTAACGATTGCATGGTCAATAAGTTTGCGGTTACAGAGTGTGAAAGCTTAACGAGGTACACACTCCTCTCTGGGGTGGTCTGATGGTTCGGTAGTTTTCATTCATATGGAACACGGAATGAAAACTACCGAACAATCAGACCAATGCTACATACAATACAGCTATACATGGGAATAATTACACTAAATGCATTTTTAAAATGAACTTTGAGGACAGCCCAATGCCATCCGCTACAATAGCATGCTAGACCCTGCAGGACCCTCCTGTATACAATTACAGAGCAGGAGATTAAAAGTTTTAATGTAAGTTACAGCTGATTGAAAAGTAAACCATTTGGTTTTCATGTGGGCTTTGTCAGTCACAGCCAGGGGTGGTGTGGCTAGGGCTGCATCAACAGAAACAAAAAGTGATTTAGCTCCTAAGTGTCAGAGAATTGAGCAGTGAAACTTCAGAGGCATGATCTATACACACAAAAATGTTGTTAAAGGACCAATATAGTGCCAGGAAAACATACTCGTTTTCCTGGCACTATAGTGCCCTGAGGGTGCCGCCACCCTCAGGGGCCCCCTCCCGCCCGGCTCTGGAAGGGGGAAAGGGTTAAAAACTTACCTTTTTCCAGCGCTGGGCGGAGAGCTCTCCTCCTTCCTCCTCCTGGGCTGAATGCGCACGCGCGGCAAGAGCTGCGCGCGCATTCAGCCGGTCGCATAGGAAAGCATTCATAATGCTTTCCTATGGACGCTGGCGTGCTCTCACTGTGAAAATCACGGTGAGAAGCACGCAAGCGCCTCTAGTGGCTGTCAATGAGACAGCCACTAGAGGAAATAGGGGAAGGCTTAACCCATTCATAAACATAGCAGTTTCTCTGAAACTGCTATGTTTATAAAAAAATGGGTTAACCCTAGAAGGACCTGGCACCCAGACCACTTCATTAAGCTGAAGTGGTCTGGGTGCCTAGAGTGGTCCTTTAAGTTAAAGTTGTTTTGCTGACTATAGTGTCCCTTAAATCATACACAGGAGGTTCATGTAGAGTCTACAGACTATTAACAGAGCCAAAGAAAAAACATTTAAAGTTTAACAGAATTTGCAATAAAGGAAGTCTAAACATTAGATCTCTCTTTACATGGAGTGTTTAGAAAGGCTGTGTAAGTGACATGCAGCAAGGTGTAACAAGGGCTCTATTTGGCAATGAGACTGTGGGGGCATGATCTATACACCAAAACTGCCTAATTCAGCTAAAGTTGTTTTGGTGCCTATATAGTGTCCATTTAAGAATTGTTTATACTGCTGCACACCGCACCCTAGTAAAAGCTTCATAAATAAAGTTTACTGGGGTAATTACAATGGAGCAGCCATCAACTCAAAAGGGCCGTGGGTTCCTTGGCACTAAATGATCCCCTGAAACATCACGACAGTGTCTGTAAGGTCATTTTACATGATTTGTGGTTTTTTTTGCATGGTGATAAAGGCATGGTTGTTTAAAAGAACAATACAGCCTAGTCCCATCACTTCTGTCTTTCAAAAAGACCCTGTCGGGATATCCTGCCAACAAACTTTATCAATGGCAGACTGCACACTCAAGTAGTTCACAGACTGACATTTCATTAGCGGAAAGTAAAAGAATGAATGAATAAAAAAAAAATACTGTTGGCACTGATTTAGATTTAAGCTTTCCAATGAATGTACTGGTGAAATCAAGTGTGCATAAATGAGAAGCTATGATACATTTCCAAGAGATATACATTGGAAATTTCATATTACTTTGTACGTCTACACAGTCACACGAATTTTCTCACTGAAAAATGGCAGAGACAGTTCAGACCATTCCTGGTTTCAATGGGAAACATAGGAGACATATTAGACCCTTCAGTATTTCCAGCAGTACTGCACCCTATGTACACGGTGTCACCTTTACTAGTTACTGAAACGTGCAGAGTTTACTGCATCACTGAATCACAAGCTGCATGTATTGCATTACTGTACGTGGGGTCACATTTACTAGTTACTGTATCTGTGCCACGTTTACTGCATCCCTGAATCACAAGCTGCATGTATTGCATTACTGTACGCGGTGTCACATTTACTAGTTACTGTATCTGTGCCGCGTTTACTGCATCCCTGAATCACAAGCTGCATGTATTG